GCTGGAAATTAATTCCTCAAAATATAATTATTTGATTGGCCTATTAACCGAGGGGTAAATCTCCAGGAAAAATGTGTACACCAGACTTCCAATTAACATAGACTTCCAAAGACATCCAAAGACTTCCAAATACTTCCAAAGACTCCCAAAGACTTCCAAAGACATACAAAGACTTCCAGAGACATCCAAAGACTACCAAAGACTTCCAAAGACATCCAAAGACTCCCAAAGACTTTCAAAGACATCCAAAGAATTCCAAAGACTTCCAACGGAGTGTACACCAGACTTCCAAGGAGATTTACCCCTCGGGTTTAACGAGCACGGAATGATAGTGATTTCCTACGAGAATGAAGTTCGAGTAGGAAATTAGTATTCCGTGCAAGTTATACACTATGATTTTTCTACGGCTATAATAGATAACAGCGGCATTTCGATTTTTTCGTCTTGTAGCCATCTGATTTTCTGTCAAGTAATGCTCACATCTATTAGACAGAGCTGTCATTGCTTCACATTTGACATTCCATGAGCGATGAGATTCTTTTGAAATAATAACACAATGGAGTCATTGTGATATCAGATACGGAAATAATATTGAAGACATACAAAGTACCTCATTGACGTATCTAACACAGTAAAACAAGAGCAATTTTGTTTTATAGCCGTAGAAAAACACCTTTGTGTGATTGCTGTGTCTGGCTTAGTTTTTGAGGAAACAATAAAAATTCGATTTGACTCCAAATTGTAATGTAGGTGTTTTCAAGACTTCCATTGAGATTACTCAATAACCCCAATTAGAATCATTTTGAAATTCTGGGTCTTTCTCAGTCTCTATCCATACTGAATTTTGGCACCATGAAAACTTATACAGGGGGGTTATAAATGAAAACAATTAATACTCCCAACTTCAACATCCTGTATCTCAAAAACGGAGCAAGTTAGGACACAAGTTTATATGAACTTTATTTGCTAGAATATCACAAGGAAACACCCCTTGAATTTTATTGGTGTTATTTAGATACATCCTGTATACACTAAAATATGGACAACTATCAATATTGGACGAGTTTTGGTTATTTCGTCAGTTCCTTCTGAAATAATGAAAATAACTTAGCAACGGTTGATTTCTTTAGTCACTAGACTAGAATCTCGAATTACAAGATGTCAATTTTTTCTACCCTCTGTAGCTTTTCATGATAGCAAAATTCAGTCTGACATGTGACCGAAATAGTACCTATGCGAAAATATCAGAATAATACTATTATGGTTTTCCAGTAATCTGAACGAATGATGTCTGGAATAGAGTTTAGGTATTCTATATTTACATCAAAATTTATAGTCTGGTCTCGTTTTTTCATGTCTTCTCGAAAATGGAGATTTCGATTGGAGATTATAAGCTCTTGAGAATTTGACAGAGAATTCCAAAGCTTGTTTTCGTTCTATAATCAAATCAGTTTTGGTAAAGAGTAGTTCGACATATTTCGAAGCTGACGACGAAAGGATGTGCTGACTGGGCTTGTCGAGTTCATCTGATAATTATTGCTACTGATGGAATGATAGCTGACATTTAAATAACATTTTCCTTGGGAGTATCTATAGAAAAGTGGAAAGCCGACTTTCTTTCTATGTTCCAAATTAGGTGAAATGTATGAAAGTATGAGATAGATTGCGCTCAAAATTCGGTTGTTTCAGTAAAACACCGTTTCAGACTATATATAAACAATGCTAAAAAAATTGTCTGGACTATATCCATTTCAAAACGCACTATCATAAAACGTTTATCATCAAAAAATAATAAAGTAACTGCAGTGGGGGCTTTGTTAATCAGTAAACTAGTTATATTTCAATGACAGATGGCTGACTAAAATCGTTCATACAACTACTGCTACTGCTGCTTGTGTATACATTTTGAATCAAATAGTATATTATTTGTGAATTTGCCCAGTTTCCCGAAATTTCATGGATCATCAGATATTCTGTTATGACGGTAAATTTGATCTGCAGAAATTTTTTTCAACATTTTTTTAGTTGCCTAAATCTTCTGATTTATTTTACTATAGTTCCGTTAAGAGCGGTTAAGAGAGTTCATTCATTCAAAACTATTTCTAACATATTAGAAATTAGGCCTTGGGTCTTTCCAAATTCGATATTCAGATTCATGTTGAATTTTCTAAGTTTCGGTAATTTTATATTTAGCAATTTGTGGTATTACCACCTGATAGTAGTGACCCTGATGGTTTCCTAAATCGTTTTCAATGCCAAAAGATGGAAAATAAGCATGCTTTTTTATTGACAAATTACCTAACTCATCATGAATATTCCTTGCTCATTTTATGTTTGAGATAGCGTCCCAAGTTCAAGGTGTACTACATCTCATGGAAACTATTTTTTTTCGATTATATGGGTGTAGTAACTGATTTTAAGTCACTTTCTTGAATAATTGGGCACCAATTATATTCTTGTTTGGCTTGAGCACATTATTTGTTCATTTTTTTCAATCGACTCAATAAAATTAATTCCTCTGATATTCCTGAGATTGAAAATAATGTTTTGAAATGTATTCATATTCTACTATATCTTATGAGGATCCCGCAAATTTTCAAGGTAAATTGGGCCCCGGTGTATTTTTTTCAATTTTTGGTATGTTGTAGTTTATGTGGTTCTATAAAACGTTTTCATTGAGCCAACCCCCAGAAATGGACAGTTTTTTAGCCAAAAGGGGATTGAATTCACATTTTGATCGAATTGACCATTTATTTCTGACAAATTGAACGATGTTTCAAAACTCTTTGTTCCATTTGATTAATTCTAAAAATAGATTCTTCATAAAAAAATATAATGGGGGGGGGGGGAATTATTACTCCCAACCCCTACTTTGAAAACAAAAAAAAAGAATAATTACATCTAAGTGTCAAAATGTTTCATCACAAATAATTATGGAAACCGCATTTTTGCATTATTACTCCCTACCAAATGGGGGGTGCAAATGAAAATAAATTCGGAGGATTTCGCTGAATTTTTGATATGATTTAGTCCATATGATTCTGATCAGAAAATCATCGGGTGACAATCCTAAAAAATGGACAGTTTTTCTGCTATAGGGGGCTTCAATTCAAATTTTGCAAAAAATAGATGAATAGAAAGACAACTTTTTTCAATATTGTATTCCTATTGTTTATTCACAAGGAATTATTTCTCTTATGCTTCTCTCGGTAGCATCACGGATTATTTTTCAAGCTGGTATTTCCGAAAGAAACATCATCAAGGAATAGGAATGCAATATTGAAAGAAGTTATCTTTCTATTCAGAATCAAATGGTAGTCTATTTTTTTGAAAAACTGTCCATTTTTTAGGATTGTTACCCGATGAATTTTGGATCAGAATCATATGGACTACATCATATGAAAAATTCAGCGAATTCCACCAATTTTTTTTTCATTTGCACCTCCCATTAGGTGGGGGGCAATAATGCAAAAATGCGGTTTCCATAATTATTAGTGTCCGTGATGAATCATTTCCTATCACTTTTGGAAAATGGGGGTTGGGGGTAATAATTTCTCCCCATTATATATTTTTAAGAAGAATCTATTTTTAGAAGTCATCAAGTGGAATAATTTTTTTTTAATATCGTTTATTTTCTCTGAAATAAATGGTCAATTCGATCAAAATGTGAATTCAAAATGTGCGGGGTCATTTGTGATCGCCTCCGTTTTCCTTCAAATTCAGAAAATGAATTACTCTGTATTACCTCAGTGTCAATCCCCACTGAGAAAATCAACTGTTTCCGAATTACCAATTTTTTTAATTTTGCGCCTTGGACCTGTTATTATAATATGGAATAGTACCGGGTGTACCACTACGAAAGGACGCGCATTTTTTTTTATCGAAATGATTGGAAATCAACTCGAGAACATGGAACAAGTGTTTCTGATATGTCTTGATATATCAAATTTTCATAAGAACCCGTTTTTTAAGTCAGCCAATGCAATTATGCCCTCTAGCGGCTGTCCTGGACACTTGAAAATAATTTCCAGAGATTTTTCTTGGCCACTTTCATCATAAATATTTTTATGCACTAGCGGGCCGTAATGTGCACTTTACCGCCCGGTTTTGCGGGCGTTAAGTCGCACTTTACCACCCGCGGGCTCATTATGGCCCACGGGCCGTAAAGTGCACTTTACCGCCCGCTGTTCTCAGTTACCTTATATCCACATATCAATTTATGAAAAACCTATGATCATATTCCTAGATTCTCATATATCCAGCGGTATATCATAAACTTCTTCTTTATATCCGATTCCATAGTCTCGCTATTATTATTATTATCACTAATTTTTACTTTTCAGTCAAAGAATGACAATTCAGCTCGTTCAATGGATGTATTGATATAGACAACAACCATCAGCTTGATTGACAACGTCAAAATAAGTTAGGTTTATATACTGGGTATGCATATTGTAAAATTCTGGAGAATGAATCTCTTCTAGAGCTGAAAGAGTTTCACTATTACGATAATTGCAATATTCGTACGATAATTTTCATATTTAAATCATCCATGAACATTACGCTTCTCTTGATTACTGAATTTATACGTAACAAGATAAATTCTGGGGAATATTAGTTTATCGAAATCTATAGTCATTACTTTTTAGTCAAAAAATAAACCACTAGTGCATAAAATTTTGTATGTATCTCGTGCGTGAAATGCGTTTATGGCCTTCAGCGTGTAATGGCCCTCGGCTAGCGCCATCGGGCCATTATTTACGCCACAGGCCATAAACGCCTACTTTACGCCCTTGATACATAAATAACTATTTTCCTAAACCTGTGCGGCACCCGGTACATAAATGCCCTAAATTATACAGAAATGCAGAGTTGACTATACGCCGGGCGGTAAAGTAGTCCCCGGTCTTGCAGGCGGTAAAGTGCCATTTTACGCCCGCAAGACCGGGCTGTAAAGTGATACTTTACACCCGGTCGTGCATAAAGTTTTATTTTTCAAGTTGCTGCCACCATGTTGTCCGACATGGAGGCTCTGCCAACTGTCAAACTGGGGGATTACCTCCTGGAATTGGAGTTGACAGACCTCAAACCTGAAGTCGTGGAAATTGCCAGGAAAGAACTCAGAGAAACGCCGGACGTCAAGAAAAAAGCCACAGTAGAACTTAGGGACCTTTTAAAAGGTAATATTATAAGATTCATGAAAATATCAACGATTCGATTTGTTCAACTTGTAGATTATTGAATTTATTTGTTTGTTTGTTTGTTTTTTAGAGGAGAAAGACTTACATGTACCTCTGGATAATGATATATGGTTAGTTCGTTTTTTAAGGCCCTGCAAATTCTACCCAGAAAGTGCAAGAGATATGGTAAGAAACATTATTTATTTTTCTCAATTCAACTACCTATACAGAAAAAATTATGAACACGAAACTCGGCAGTAGTAGAAATTTTTTTTATTTTTTGGGTTGTAGGGTTGTAAGTTGAAGGTTTTTTCGATATTATTAATGGGACCACCTGTATATTTTTGCCTTTCTAAGTTCCTCTCAACAAACTTGTGGAGAGCTACAGGTACTTCAATATCCTCTGTCCGAAAGTTTTTTGAATGCGTTATTTAGTGAAATATGAATGATTATTGTATTAATCATCACGAAAAATATATAGGACTGGCCCAAATATACAGGGTAACTAAGAGATCAAAACAAATTGTACGTTTCAGACGTTTGTCGTAATTGTCGTGGTACAAATAAGGATAGTGAAGTACCTGTAGTTCTTGAATTAATCGTTTTAGAACACAAGTGTGATAGGTTGTCGGAATCGTTCCATCGGAAGGAACACAGAAATGCCAAAATATACAGATCTAACGTCAGGTGCCCTAAAACAGGAAGCTTATTGGGTAAAAAAAATATCAGAAAAAGCTGCAACAATTGCTTAAATTCACAATCCTAAAATTACAATTTCCTATACTACTCTTCAGTTCCGAGATATTCACTGTATTGATTGTCGTGGGAAACCATTTCAAGATTTTAACATCGACAAAATTGTGAACGAGTTCATTCATAGCTATTATTTTTCTATTTACTTAGTTGTCTCGAAATTTAGTATACTTGCATGAGAAAAACTATAACTTTTCCAGTATCTTTCAATGCCTTTCTCTGTTGCAGATCAAAAGGTACTACTCTTTCAAATTGAAACATGCAGATATGTATGATGGTCTCATGCCAAGTAGAGAAAGGAACATCTTCCAACAAAATATCTTGACGGTACAACCGAACAGGGATCAACTCGGCAGAAGAATTTTAATCATAGAATTAGGAAGTGAGTACAATTTCATATATGTATACAGGGTGATTTACAAGAAAGTGTCGATACTCTGTACACGTATATAAACACCTTAGGGGAATGTCAACTGTATATTTGAAAATGTCTTCTTTTTTTTTATAAAATATTGGTAAATACCACTCTTGAAAAATGTTTTCTATTTCACTCTATACATGCTTTTCGTAGACTGTGGAATGAATTTGTTACTTTTCCAATACTATCATTGTTTTTTTACGCGACGATGCTTCACTTGAATGAATATACAATCTTCCATTCACAGTGCTGATTTCAATAATTTCTATTTATTTATCGGAGGGGGAGTGAGAATATCATCCAGTAGATACTTTTCGAATCATACAAAGAATACAGAAAGTGAAAAACAAAAGTTTTATGTTTGCAATTGCACAATAGAAACCTGTTAGACATCATAGTAAGTCAAATTACAATTAATCGATTTCATTACAGTAATTAAGAAATTAATTATCAAAAGTGCGATCATATTTTTCTTCAATTATGGTGTAGTGTTATTAAAACATTAATATTTGATTGATTCACTGAATAATATTGACTTCACCTAGTTCTCATGGTCAGATCATTTAACATTTGCAATTATATCAATGTAGTCAATTCATTACTTAACAAAACCCTCAAATTCTCAATGTAACTGAGTTTTTCGAATGCTATCTCAAAAATTTTATGTTTGACTCCTACCATCTGCACCCTGTATCCAAGATGTTGAATTTACACGTCGATGTTGCGTCAGCAACTTTCTCGTTCATTTGTGTGACTTACGTCCATATAATTTTCCCACATTCCCATCAAGTCGTATCTACACATCTGTTTTTTAGAAAAATGGAAAACAAGTGAAGTTTGCCTCGACGAGGTATTCAAAGGCTGTGTTCTCTTCCTGGAAGCCGCCATGTTGGAACCGGAAACCCAAGTTTGCGGGGCTGTCGTCATTTTCGACATGGACGGTCTCTCTCTGCATCAAACCACAAAATTCACGCCTTCATTTGCCAAGAGGATAGTAGACTGGTTACAGGTGAGTTGAAATTTTCTTTGAAACGTCCAAAATCGCGAAGTTATCACGAATCATTCAAGTAACATGATTAAAAAACTCGTTATTACATCGAAACAACATCAATTTAACATCCATACAACATCAAAACTGCATCAATACAACATAAATATAACATCAATACGACATTTATTCAACATCAATACAACATCACCACAGCATCGAAGAAACATCAAATAAAACCTAAATGTAACATCTAATCATCAAAGCTCACCTAATATTCTGTCATATATTCATATATAAGTAATATACTTAACTTCTAGAATATTTGGTGTATCAAAATGCAATTCAAAATGGGTATGGTATGTGAAGAGGAAAGTTTTCGCATATTTTTCACTTCCCAGTCACTTCCGGTTTCGCCGGAAATGGCTCCTGTTTCTAATTTGTAAATGAAACACTATATATTATAACGTTTTTGAAGTTCTGGGACAATTATGGACCTGAATATAATATCTCTAGAAGTTTTCACGCCCACTTTATTTTTTTAGAGTCACTTTGAAATTGCATCTAAGTGGCCATGATGGGATGCCATAACTCATCCAAGGACCTCAGTGATTGGTATGATGATATGAAGAAGACAAGTTGACAAAATTACATTTTGGTGTCTAACTATTATTTTTCGAATGACATCCATTTTTTGACAAGCACTTTCCGAAAGAAGGATTTTTTGACAAGTCTAACGATACTTGGATATACCAAGATGCATAATAAATTTTGCAGTTATTTTTCCGAGTTTCCGAGTTTTTCAATGAAAATGAAGAAACTTATTCTGTCTGCTCATAAGGTTAATGTCACTGTCATTACCTGAGTGTTTTGTTTTCCAAAGAGGACTCGAAAAAAATAACAATACATACAATACAATAGTATGCTCCATGGCAATCCATAGCACACATGACAAATGTGAATAAAGAAAAATCCAGTGTTTGTTTTAGTAATATTAAATTCATCTTATTTTCAACCCAATCGCAAATAAATTGGTATCTTATTTTCAGTAGTAATATCCCTAGGACTTTGATAATGGACGAGATAAGAGAAGCTCGTTCCTTGGTAACAACTCGAAGCCGAGAGATATTCGGCGTCAAATAATCTGAAGTTGTCAAAGTCGATCGTGTTGTCATAATTGCACTGAATGCAGTTATCAAAATTTATTTTCAATGTAATCGTAAGAAAATTAGTATCGTTAGATGCGTCAAACATTCTTCTTTCCTGAAAGTGCTTGTCAAAAAATGATTGCCATTTGGAAAATATAAGTTAGACACGGAGATGTAATTTTGTCAACTTGTCTTCCTTCTATCTATTATAGTGACTAGTGACTGAAACTTTGTGGATATAATTTTATGACATCACCTGGGGTCTGAGGTCCTTCGATGCAATATTAAAAGTGACCCTAAAAAAATAGTATAGGCGTATAAAATTCTGAAAATATCATATTCTGATCCAGAATTATCACTTATGTTATCACGAGAGCTTCAATTATTTCCGGAACTTTTTTCGAGAAGACGAATATTTTGAAAATTCTAATTATTTAATTTACTAAATATTCGTGTTCGAGAAAAAAATTCCGGATATTAATTGAAGCTAAAGTGGTATTCGGTAGGAAAATTTCACACCAAACATTTTCGAACAATTTAAAGCTAAGGAATTTCAACAACACTTAGATGATTTAGATGAAAATGATAGTTGTTTGTGATGAAATGTAAGAACTTTTGTAAATTTCGAATTGGCAAGTATACCTACATAATATCATATGCTAAGCTAAAGATAAATGATTTTTATTTATTGACTTATAGAATGAACTCGAATTGATCTGAAGTTGAATGTAAATGTCATTTAACCTATAAACGTCAAAAAGTTTCCATTGTAATTTCATGTTAGGATCAAATTTCCAAGAAATGTGTTTAGTTGCTATGGTAACGATACGAAATACAGGCTGAAATTGAAATTTTCTCAGGAACACGAAAATGTTGAAATATACAGGGTATATATTATATTCTATAAGTTATATGGCTTATCGTCTTATAGATTCGTTGACACCCGGTATAATGGATACGAGAAAAGCTAATTAACTTTCAAATTCCTGGAACATTAGGGACGGAATATTCTGAGCACACAAAGTTTTTATCTTGTGACATCAGTTCGACCACATTTTTCGTAATCCATCGTCATTATGTTTTGTCCATTTGAGTTGCCGTGGTACATGGTAATGACAATATAATATAAACTTTGATGAGAAGAGTATTCGTGATTATCAAAAATATCACGTGCACGAAACAATGTAAGTAATATACGGTCAAGGGCAAAAAATGTCATAACTATATTATATCGTCTTAATAATTTCAATGTGATGCTTGTTGGAAACCAATCAGGTAAACAATAGAAGTATGGGTAGACCACGGTAAAAACAATTTTTCCATTGTGTTTCTAACAATATTGCGATGTGTAACTGGGCTGATTATTCTTGTAAGCATACATGGTGATCTATAAAAGAAACCGAAAAATCAGTCTGTGGGTTGTCCAAGAAAAATCTCGTCATCTTGGAGAACATGATTATCTTGATTTTTAATGGGTAATTGCTATTTTCTTCAAGATGGCCCCCTTTCAAAATTTTCCTGGACTCTTCTAGATGACAATAGAGAGTTGTAGATATCAAGAGTGCACGTTAATTACCATTTAATCGAAATAACCTATTATGAGATTTCAAACCTTATCGTCCGCCATCTTGTTTTGGATGAATATTTTTGTCTGAAATCCTGGTGTCGTATAGACTATAGAGAATTGAAAAACGTTTCAAATGATGTATCCCTGATGGACCTTCAAATTTATTGAAAGAAAAATCTTTCAAAATGGCGTCAGGGGTGAAAAATCTGTTTAATTAAGTTGCAACATTTTAACGTAATTGAAACTTCAACAAATGGAGAAGATTGCTTAACATTGGCAATGTATTCAGGAGTCGTTCCAAGAAAAAATTTCGAATTTTATTCGGAGCAGAGACAGAAATACCCCCTTCTCATGACGATTTCGTCGAGATATACAGGGTGTCCTGAAATCAGCCTGCCAAACTTCACCAGCCTTCTTCGACCAAATATAGAAAGAAAAGTTATATAATGAACATGCATGGGTCGATAAAAAATGTCTCCTGAGGAATTTTTCGATTCTTCTATTTGAGCTATGATTTCGTTGATCAAGCTCAAGGTATACCTATACGTAGAATGTGAAAAATCGAGATTTTTTTTGTATCGAAACTATACAATACCTATATTGATTTGTCAAAATGGCTTACATGTGTCCCTATCCTAATATTCTATTTACTATCTACTGATGCCATTTAATTAAAACAAATACAGGGTGGATCAGATTTCAGAATTATATAAAAGAAGTACTAGTATGCCTACTAAAAAAATATATATTTGAAATAAACAAAACAAATATATCACATAAAAAAACACACTCTAATATTCAACATAAAATGAAATTCGATCCCACTGGATGTATTTGAAAATGAAAACAGTGTGCATGTCACTTAATGGAATCAACCCGTATATCTAACGTAACTGTTAACTGTTCAATTTTCAGGAGCGATAGATATATGTATCAACTATGACCAAAGTGAGGTAATATTCAGTGAAATACACTGCTCGGGTCATGGACCCACCAAACATTTCCGGAAAATGATATTAGGAGGCAAGATAGGTTGAAAATCGTTTCGGATTCGAAATCAGGGCGTCCAATTCACTGACTATTCATATTGTTCCTGAGAAATGTTCAGTTCTGAAAACTCAAATTTTGTTTCAATTTACATGAAAGCACCCCCGTATCTTACGTAAGTATTCTATTCACAGCAGCAAGAAAGATACAATCAATGAGCACTTGAGCATCAGTGTATGTATCACTGAAGATGTCCCCACTTGGTCAAAGAGTTTATTTTTGGTAGGTACCTATATCTATATTCTATACCTATGGCTCTTGTGAATTTCAGAATCCTAATAACTCAACAATTACGTAAAATACAGGAGTGTTTCCATTAGATTGACAAATTTGACTCCAAAATAATTCAGGCACGCGCCAATATTCATAACGTACCTAGTTACTGCCGCTTAGGGAACGATCGGGCGTGTTCGGTGAACACACGGGTATGATCTCGAGACTCTAGTCAATGGGGAAGACCACTGAGGGAAGAGATCCGTGCAAACCTCTTTCAATCGACGAATCATGATTTACATTTTATGTACAAATAATATTATGAGTTGAAGTTGAAGGGAATCGAATCTATATCGTTTTGAAATCAGCATATTTCATCGATATTTCAAACAGCAAAATATGATGGTGGAGTCGTGACGTATTAGTACCGAACTGTAGCTATCTCTCTCTGATACCTAGTCATTCTGCAGTATTGCAGTGTAATTGGTCAGTTCGGACAATAGGCGTGTTGGGACTAAGACGTCGCACCAGTCACACCAATGAATTGATGAAATTTCAAATGGCGCAGGAATTGTGTGTTTTGAAATGGACATATACTAATTTATTTTTTTCATCGTCCTAACATGAATGAAAAAATTCAAAATAAATTCACTGGTAGTTTTTCAGTATAGAGTTCACGATAATGTCGTTTTAAAAAATCAGTGGTCTTACCCATTCTCCGCTTTCCGCTATTCTGAACGTTATTTTCTTCTTCTACCACCCGCCAGGACAGCGTCCCGCTCCGCATCAAGAACATCCATATCGTCAACCAGCCGTACATCTTCAAGATAGTGTTCGCCCTGTTCAAGCCGTTCCTGCGCGAGAAGCTGCGCAACCGCATCCTCTTCCACGGCACCGATCGCAAATCGCTGCACCAGCACATGGACCCCAAGTGTCTGCCCGAGTGCTACGGCGGTACCCTCGATTTGCCCAGGATAGACGGGCCTCAATGGCTGGAACTGTTGGAGATGTGCGACAGAGAATATGTCGGTGAGTATACCTCAAATTTTTCAGATTTTTGTCCCTCCTCCCCCTATTATATTATTATTACTACTACTATTATATGCAGGGTGTCTGTTAAAGGTTGGGACATGGCTCGGCTGTGGACTCCTGGGATAAGAACCAGTTGATTTAGGCCAACTTACCTATAACTCAAAGAAAAAACAAAATACACAAAGTCGGTCGATCACAATTATATTACACAATTGCTAGTGTGACTAGTTTCGGCTAAACAGCCATCTTCAGACACAAATTGAATAAAGTACCTAGGCCATGTGGTGATTACAAATTCATCAAATAAAAATCAAGCGGTTCATATTAGTCCTTAGGGAGATGGACTTTGGAAAAACTTTGAAATGTTAGCAGCGTTGTAGAAACCAAATCTTCAAGAGAGATTTCTTCCTCAGAAGCATATTATCCTGGTACTTTAGGATGATCAGAGCCTGACTGGCATTAGATAAGTCATGGAAACCATCCATCCTTCTCAAAGTGGTCCAGATTTTTTCAAAGAAAAAACAAAATACACAAAGTCGGTCGACCACCTATAACTTATAATAAAAATCCATAAATTTTCAAAAACTCGAGAAAATCTAGAAATTTTAGGATTCTAATGAAACCTTAATAGATTATAAATAGAGGGTGTAAATTTGAAAACTTCCAATGCGAATATCTCGCGAAAGAAAAAAGTTTGAAAAACGCCGCTTGGCAAAAATGCTAAAGAGTTAAGGGGAACTAGAACCACCATATTTCGGACAAGGGATGAGTCACCCCGTCGGCGCGACACACCCCAACTTTGAAATGTCAAATGGCACTACCTCTATTGTGATGCCTCAAATGAGCAGTCTTAGTCAGTAGTATTCACCTGTACAAGACTTTTTTTCCACCCACTACAGGGTGTACGAAAAATATAAAGTCGAATAAAATATATAAAATGAATTGTGCTGAAAGGATATTTTATTCGATCAGATGTTCAAAATGCATTCCATTCTGTTATAAGCAATAGTATAATCGATGTTCAAATGCCATTCTAACAATTTGGAACACATCTCTTGGAATATATCGGCATTCTGCATTTTATTTTATTCGACTTCATGTTTTCTGTTCACCCTGTAGTTGGTGGAAAATAAGTCTTGTACAGGTGAATACTACTGACTGAGACCGTTCATTTGAGGTATCACAAAAGAGGTAGTGACATTTGACATTTCAAAGATGGAGTGTGTCGCGCCGACAGGGTGACTCATCCCTTTACTGAAGTATGGTGGTTCTAGTTCCCCCTAACTCTGTAGCATTTATGCCAAAAGGCGTTTTCCAAACTTTTTCATATAGCGAGATATTCGCATTGAAAGTTTTCGAATTCAGACCCTCGACTTTATGTTTTTCGTACACCCTGTAGTAGATGGAAAAAAAGTCTTGTACAGGTGAATACTACTGACTGAGACCGTTCATTCGAGGTATCACAAAAGAGGTAGTGCCATTTGACATTTCAAAGTTGGGGTGTGTCGCGCCGACGGGGTGACTCATCCCTTCACTGAAATATGGTGGTTCTAGTTCTTCCTAACACTTTAGCATTTGTGCCAAGCGGCGTTTTTCAAACTTTTTTATTTCGCGAGATATTCGCATTGAAAATTTTCAAATTTATACCCTGTATGAACATATTCTAATTGCCTTTTCTTTCAGCTATCAATTCTTATGGTTACAACAAGAAAGTCGATCTTTGATGAAGCGTCCATATCGAGTTTGGAAATGAGCCATTCCTATGTAATTTTAGTTTTTTAGTAACTGGATATTGGTATTTTTATGTATATTAGTTTAATAGTATTGTTGAAGATTTATTTATTTTTTGTAATTGTTACGTTTCATGGTACTGTAGTCAAATCGATTCAGTTGAACTCCAAAAAAAAGATATTCTTGTATTTTAAATGTGATGATATTTCTCTATTGTTGATACATTTTATTCAACTGGTCTATCAGATTTATGGTACCTGAGACACATTTTTGTGATACCACCGCATCATCACTAATACATATTTTTACATATAGGAAAATTTGTATTGAAAATATGAAAGTACTTATAGATTGTCAAATAAATTTATTAGATATTTGTTTTAAACATAGAGGTTTCATTACAAGCACATAAAAAACGCCTAAATGGTATATAAATTATGAAATATAATAAAGAGAATCATCGATAAATTGAAGAGAAAAAAAAAATCAAATGTATTCACCAATTTTCAGCAAGATTCATGAAATGAAGAAACAAGTTCAATAAAAGATTGAAGAATGTCAACAACTGGTGTACTTACTTATGCTTGAAAATGATAATTTTTTTGCTTTAACCTTAATTAAGTGGAAAATTACATATCTTCTTCAAGTCAGCCAATATACAAAATATTCATGAGTTGAGATCCCATCATTGTTGAATTGTTGAAAGAAAAAGTATACAAACAAGGCAAACATATTCAATCTCAAACAACCTGAAAAACTGGGCACCATCGGGTTCAGTTTTATTGTAGTTATTTTCTTGCACAAAAAAAAACATTTTTCAAAAAGTTCATAGATATTTTCAATAAAATAGAATAAGTTGAGGCAAAGCTTTGGTACGAAAGTACGAAGGCGTCTAGGGGTCACAATTGTTTTTTTTTTTTCAATATATAGGGAGTAACTCAAGTACGCTCGAATATTCAAGTATTAGTGAGAAAATTTTGGAAAAAAAGGCTACATAAACGTGTGTTTTTTCGACGTGAGAAATAATGTTTTGCGTACGCTGTCATTATTTATTTCAAATTGCCCTAACATTTTTGACAGTAAACTTTTCGTACTTTTCATGGTAAAACCTTATGCCGTTCCACATATTTTCCAAATAAAAAAGGTACACTCCCACAATAACGCTGGAGGTGATTGTTTTGGAGATATTCACAAATTTCCATTTCGAGGCATGTTACTTAGCTCCTAGAGGGCGCTAAGTGAAGTTGCTGAGAACTTCACAAAACTGATGTGGTATAGGTCTCGTCAAGATAAACTACTTTTTTTCTACGAAATGTTTATCGAAACATGATTTGTTCTCTATATTTCAACAACCTGTATCTCTGAAATGAAGCATTTCCAACAAGTTTATATAGACTTTTTTTCTTAAAATTGTCTCAGAAATACTTCACTTGGATATTTTAACGTGATTATGTTACACCCATGTATTGTAAAAAAATCCAACATATTGAAAAAATACAATATGTTTAACGCTTTCGTACTTTGAAGACAGTGATCGATAAATAATCGAATTAAAAATATGTGGGTACCAGTGGCGTAATTAAGGGGGGGGGGGCATGGGATCTGGACCCCCCCCCCAGAGCTGTCTGAAAAACCGAAACAATCTGGTAAACAATTCTGATAATGAAGAAATATACATGATTATATGAAATATCATGAGAATTTCATCTGTAATTTTTTAGAACCTTCCGAACGAAAAAGGTTAGTTAGGCATTGTCATTGCGAAAACGTACTTGCTCTTTGCATTGGCTAAGAACGCTTGCATACGAAGGTGATCGTATGTCGGAACGCATTTGAGACTATTTCAGAGGCGTGCGGTACTGCAATACTTGCACTTGATTCGTTATTATAATCACAATTTCAGAGAATCTTTTGTTTTTTATCCAACTCGCAGTGATTTCAGCTCGAAGGAGGTGCATTTTAGGCCACACCATTATATGAACAACAATACGTACTCAAGATATTTACATCGAATTTTGAATCGCCTTGTGAATTGAATAGGTAGTTTTTTCTCGTTTTCTCCATCTCCCCAAAAGTAGTCTCTTCATTTCAACAAAAAAATGCTACAGTTTATATTTTTCTATTCTTCAGTAACTGAATTGCTCGATTTTTTTTTGTTATTTTGTTATTTTTTTGTTCCTATTTCAATGTTTGTCGTACCTGTTGATATGTGATATTATTTTATTATTTTTCGATACTTACTTTTTTTTATTTTGTTATTGGTTTCAAATGATGCACACATTTATTGAAACCTACGTAAGTTACGTATTGCTTTTCATTTTCTTAAATACCTATTGGATGTTGGACCTAGACCCCCCCCCCCAGGAATGAATCTTAATTACGCCACTGGTGGGTACCCAAAAAAATATAAAATATATTTAAAAATGAAAATTATAAAATATATAATTATTTCGGCAGCTAGCTTGCCATCTTCAGTCGAACTGAAAACTATATAAAAAAGATGTGGCGATTTTGCTAGTACATCTCGTTTTTTTTTTTCAGGTGGACACTAAGCTATTAAAATACTCATTCAGACATTTCCAAATATTTCTGTTGAATAATCACAAATTTCATTCGATATATACTCTCTATGACCGTAGTTATTATTAAAAAACATGAAAAAATGACATGTCCTACATCAATAATAAGGCATAACTATCAGTCGAAACATTCAGGAAAAATTTTAGTTGCGTAATATCCTCATTTCTTCAACATAATATGAGGATATTTCTTGCTAAAAATGTCCTACTCAACCTCTAGCTTTCTCTGTATCTGCTACATATCCGTAAGTACTGTACACTGAAAAAGAAAGAATATGAATCATTTCAAACAGTTATTAGTACATGGGCAAACGCAAACATGGGAAAATTATTTGTTTAAAGCTGCAATAAAATTTACCTTTTGATATCATTTTAGGGTATACAGGGTGTTTCCGAGATTGGGGCGAAAAATAAAATGGGTTGTTGACATTTATCATGTCATTATGTCTCATAATGACAGGATAAGTCAATGAAAAAAGTGTATCGTTTTTTTTTCGTCAAATGTAGACTATTATTGGAAGTCCGGCAACATTGTAAACGTCATAGAGACTTCTGGTGCCTCTGACCTCGCCGAAGCAAACGCTTGTGTTCGTCTAAAAAAGTTTTTTCGGGCGAAAATGTATTTTTTAATTTCGTTTTGTTTTTCGTTTGCTATCACCCATTTTAACACTCTGTACATACGGTGATCAAATTCATATACAGTCGATCCGTTGACTATTTTTTCTTTAACAAAAATCTTCCACGTCCCAATATAGTGTGTCAGAGTTGAAATTTAGAAATAGTTACTTTTTTGGTAACTCAAATTCTGTACAAATCTTCAACGTTAATGAGTCACATATTTTCAGTATAATAAAAAGGCATTATCGGTAAATTATCAAAATAGGATGGTTCAGGTTGGATTATTTTTTGCTAGTGAAAAATTACAATGAAATGGTTCAAGAGATGATTAAAAATGAGTGGTTGAACACATAGAATGAAGATTTAATTTATCTCTGAAAAGAATCTTTTTATCAAAATTTTCAGCAATTTGAAACTCTATAGATCAAAGAAATTATATTCGTATTATTGGTCTTAGTTATTTTCAACTTGGCTTTGTCCGATGCGTGAAATATGATTTTTTTGCAATTGCTTGGTTAAAAATCTTATTATTTCAATGGGCGCAAATCCTCATGACTAAAAAAAAAATCATAGGGAAAAATCTCGCGATTCAATGATAATTTGCAAATACTGATTTGAAAGAATTATGTGTTGATAGGTACTTGAAATGTTTCACAATTTCAGAAAAACTTCACCCAAGTTCGACAAAATAACTTTTGAAGAACGTGAATATGATATGTTGGATTTTTGTGGCAAGTATAGTGATACAAATTCTCATTAATTTCGGAAATATAAGCAAAAATCTTAATTATTCATTGAATATTTTTTATGAAAAATCCAACACTGGCTCAAAGTCGTTGCTATGGACAATAACAATGGAAATTGCTGTTTAATTGTTGTTTTATTTCGTTCTTGATGAGCTGCTTTTTCATTCAGTTTTATTGATTATTCAACAACACCTATAATAAGTACCTTATTACAATCTGAGATTCCATACATGTTTAACGAATGTAAAAACCGAATTTCCATTAAAAATATAATCGAATCTTCGATACTAACCTTCAAAATCGCTCTGATAGTAGAAAAGCATGTCTGCAAATATTTTTCCGGGGTAATCTGGAATATCCGCTGTACCTCCGTAGATTTCCGGAAGGCTTTCTTTCGAAATGTTTTCTAGGAGAGATTTGCTATTCACACCATGGAAGAATAACTACAAAAAATAAGAATTTATATTATTATCCATGAGTAACTTGAAGAATACGATAACCGAAGAATGAAGTGATAAAAAACTGGCCTGTGAAAAACAAAACAGTTCTTTCTTATTATATAAGTATCCTCAGTACACCCAAATCACCTAAAATCCCGAACATTATTGAGAATATTCAATCAACTGAAGGATGAAATAAATTTGTTTTTTAAATAATACATTCTAGTAAGAATTGGTTGTTTTTGAAAAACTTCAAGTGTGAAATTCTCTTCTGTTATTTTGAAATGTACAACAACTATTGCATACCATTTTTTTCAGTTTATCTCCAAGAAATGGTTTGAATATTGAATACACCATATTGAATAGAATTGGTTGATTTATGACATGGATTCCTTTCAATCTTACTGCAGTGCAATCCTGAAAAAAAATTATTGTGAATTTGAACCTTAAAAACTGTCAGACATTTTGGTACAGGTCAACAACTTGAGCTCTTAGCAAGACATTTTTCTCCGATATCAATTATTTTGCAGACACATATATCAATCAGTGAAGTATTACTTTTCCTGCCTAGGCAGCCTATTGATTTTTTTTATTAGAATAATTTCCTTCATATTTCATCCGAGACTTCTCCATATTTTCTGCTACCTCCTTTATTTCTGATGGAGTCGCTCCATCTGACCATATCAAAAATACCATTTATAGCACAATTATGTCCCATGGACATCCTTAGGACGTCCCGTCGGGATATTCAGGACGTCCCTAGGACGCTCAAATTCAGTTCCCCGGACATCCATTGGACGTCTGTGGAATGCACAAAAAATGTCCCACTTCAAGACCAACTAGCGACGTCGTTGCAGAGATATTTGAAAAAATGTATATTATATCCCATCCGAAACCTGCTAAGAACATCTTTGCATGGACATTCTACAATATGTATCACGTGGGACGTATATAAAGGAAGATACTTTTAGGACATTTAAAATGATGTAACTGCTGAGATATTCCATGGACGTCCTTGCTCGGACATTGCATGAGATGTACGAGATGGGATGTCCCAAGGACAATTATTTTAGGTCCGGGACATTTGGACTTGAATTGTACCAAATAGGGACGTCCCTAGGACGTGGTGTGCTATTAGGGATACCGATATTTTTCCACAAACTGTCAGAAATTTCATATAAGTTTTCAATCTATTATTATTATGAACATATACATTCCCATTCCAAAAATTGCGAATTCTATCAAATTTTGTTTCAATTCTCTACAGGAAAAATTTAAAGATTGTGGGAATCATTATTAATCTGCAGAACTTGGCATCAAAGTAGATTGATTTTTGACTGCCTTAGCTGGCTCTGAACTATCAGCCACAGCAGTCGAAAATTACTACTTTACTGCCTAGTCAATGAAATAACTATTGTTTTATAGATAGTTTACACAACACTTGTTACGTAAATTACTCTCTACATAATAATTCATTATTTAACTTACTTGGACCCAATCTAAAATAAGTTTGGCAGTTGAAGGTGAGAATTGATATACATGGACTAGTGACAGTCCTACTAAATCTAAAATGACATGCACTCCTCCCAACTGAGTTCTTGGTTCGAGCATGGCAATTTCAATGGCCACCATTACAGCTTTGAACATGTCCTCTAGACTCACTTTCTTCGGATTCCATTTTTCTGAAAGTAAAAAAAAATAGAATTTGGATCATACTTTGAAGATATCTTGATTTTTATGGAAGATAGAGCCTTGCGATCTCCACGTTCCCTTCCTACTTTTTTTGTGAAACTCAAGATGGTCTAATCAGATTTCGCATATTATCTGTTTCCGTTTATGAGATACAGGGCGATTTTGAAAATGTATACTTCTTGGAACCCTTTCATATCTACGGAGTTACTAGAAATGTTATTGCAGTAAGAACTACGACGTTCAATAGAAAATTTTGCGCAGAACTCAGTGGCGTATTCATTTGTTTTTTCTGGTCATTGTTTTAGAGATACAACACAAGCTTAGATATGATTCAATGGAACACCCTATATTTCATTATCTCGCTGAATTCGTAATTTTTGTTTGCTTCAAAATGATAACACTTTATACAAAGGATTTTCAGGAATGCTGAAAAAACACTAAAACATTGAATCATGATGAACTTCTGCTAGTAGGCTGTAGATTTTTCAAATAAAAGTAGTATCAGATAATTCTCATTTATGATATTTATTATAGGAGATCAGACGAAAACAAGGAGACCAACACTAATTCACTTACGTGAATCATAATATGACGTCGATACATAAAAAAAAAACAAATAAATAATACATAGTTCATATAATAGATACTATGAGGAATAGAAGAAGTACGACTTAATCAGTATAAAATATAAAAAATTACATATAATAATCCTTCAAGTGGAACTTGGAGAACCCATGACTCACTAGTAAAAATTCATCATAATAATTAAATGTAAATTTCCAGAACAATACCCCTAAAAAATTTTTAGTATACCACTGAATTTTGCGCAGAATGTTTCTGTTAGACGTTTTTCGTAGCGCAGCATTATATCTATAATAACTTCGTAGATATAGAAGGGGTATAAAAAGGATCAATTTTCAAAATCGCCCTGAATTTTTAGTATACCACTGAATTTTGCTCAGAATGTTTCTGTTAGACGTTTTTCGTAGCGCAGCATTATATCTATAATAACTTCGTAGATATAGAAGGGGTCTAAAAAGTATCCATTTACAAAATCGCCCTGTATCTCATAAACTGAAGCAATTATGCAAAATCTGATTAGGTCATATTCAGTTTCACAAAAAAGTAGTACGGGAACGTGGAAACCGCAAGGCACTATCTTCAATCACAACCGAAAAACCCAGCAGTTTCAATCAAAATGAGATGCACTGTACATGTACAGGGTGGTCCAAATTGGACACTTTTAAAGGGAAAGTCCTATTCTCCAACCAGATGGATGAAAACCGATGTTGGTGCCGAGGGTCGATTCTCATAAAAAACTCAATGATGAAATCCGCATATCGATATGTCTTCGTTTCGGAGTTACAAGGTGTTTTTCGAAAATGGGCATTTTTGAAAAGTTGCTACAGAATTTTTTTTGAAAATATTGTCTGTTGTTATGAAAATAACTGCGAAGCATTGAGTTTGTGATGAAAATTGTTCTCGAAGCACTGAAATAGGCCTTCCTATATCTAGTTCAAGAATATAACTTGTTCTTCTTGAAAGAAAAGTTATATTTTGCAACTAGGTATATGGTGACTGATTTCAGTGCCTGAGGATCACTTTTCATGACGAACACAATGCTTTAGAAATGTTTTCATGAAAACAAAGAATTTTTGACACAAAAAAAATTTTAGCCACTTCACAGTTTCGAAAAACATATTGTAACTCTGAAATGGCACAGACATCAGTTTTTTTCTATGTTATATACGGGAATAGGCCTTTCTCTTTAAAAGTGAATACAAAATCGAATCTAACGAATTCAAATCTGGTGACCTAGACATCAAGAATTCATAATAACCTGGAGAAGTACCTAGAACTTTATATTTGACAAGATAAAGATGATCAATAGGAGATGAAATTAAGGTTTCACAGAGTTGGTAAATCATAACTGTTCATCATCACTTATTTCTTCAACGGTTTTATTTTCTTACCCCCACAATTGACTATCATTATCCTGGCTCCCGAAGAAGTCCTTGTGGGTAAAAATTTGAAGACTTCAGTATCGAAAACATGTCTCACACTGTTCGGTGTTATATTTTTGCCATATTTCGGGTGCTTAATTTTGAACCTATAGAACCGCCTCAAAATTCTGGCAGCCGTTTCCGGTTGAAATCGACAGGGCCTCAAAAACTTGATCAGGAACGATTCATCTTCTAACGGTACATATAGATTTTCTTCAGCTAAAAAAAAATATTATTCACATCTTCGATTCGTTGTTCGGAGATTCACATTGAAAACACCAGCTTATAGATTGTTCTCTTTGCATGGTAGAATATTCTGGGAAAAACAACCATGTCGAGACTAGGTATATTGTTTGGTTCACCGACATATATCTGGAAGGAGATGGTATGTTATGTGATTTTCAATATATTTCACCATATACACACGTCTGGCAGGAATAATTTTCCTAGAGAGAAACGATTGCCCCACCTACTAGAGTCGGGTCTGGCCTTAAAATAGAGATGTTAACGCCATAAGCGATACGTCGCACGGTTTCTCTATAGGAAAATTTGTCTTGCCACACGTGTATTCTATCATACAAAGTGTCACACGTTTAGAGGAATCATTGCTTATTAATTCGAAGTTGGATGTTACAGAATCTCGTTATTTGAATTTTTTTATTAATTTGGATTCCGTGTTCACGTGTTACGTGTCACGTGTCATGTGTTCAATTCCAATGACATACATATTCAACTTTTGAATAAAAGAAGATACAATCAAATACAATGTTTGACAAAACGATGATGTCACGAAATTTGTAACTGTTTGTATAGATATACGTCGGTGAACCAAACACCTGTACAAAAGAAATTCTAAAATTTGTTACACTATTTATAACTCAAGAAGAGCTGAACCGATTTGGCTGAAAATTGATGGGGAGGTAGATTAGAACCAGAAGATACTTTTCATTCCTGTAAAGTCAAGATGGCGGATCAAATATGGCCGGATTTTGTGTATATGATCAGATCCTGTTCAAAATTGGTATCTGAAGATTCTCGAGATAGGAGAATATGGTTCCTTCGTAAAGAATTGGGGATTTCAAGATGGTGAATCCAATATGGCGGATGAGTTTTGTAATTATGATCCGATTCTATTTAAAACTAGTATCTAGAGATGTTCGGGATCGGGGATTATGATTCCTTCATCAAAATTAGGAAATTCAAGAAGGCGGATCCAATATGACGGACGAATTTTGTAATTATGATTCGATTCCATTGGAAAATTGTTGTTTGGGAGTTTTCGTGGTCGAAGATTATGATTCTTTCGTCAAAATTTGGAAATACTGGCAGAATTTGGAAATTCTGGATGGCGGAACCAATATGGCGGACCAGTTTTGTGATTATAATCCGATTCTATTCAAAATTGGTACCTAGGGGCTCTAGTGATGGGGGATTATGATTCGTTCGTCAAAATTAGGGAATTCAAAATGGCGGATCCAATCTTGCAGACGAGTTTTGTAATAATGATCCGATTCTATTCAAAATTTTCATCTGGGGTTTTAGGAGTTTCAGATTATGATTATTTCATCCAAATTGGAAAATTCAAGTGAAATTAAAAGGACTACAAAATATATATGGTAGTTTGAAGAACTAAAGAAACAACCTTTCATAGATACCCAAACTAAGTATTCCCAAGAACTCATAACCTCCAAAAGATAAAAAAAATGCCAACTCCTACCTCCTCTCCCTATCCTCCCTAAGTACGCATGATGTTTCAGGAACAATATAAGAATTTCCTTTCGTGCGCTCCAAGAGATGAAAAAAGCAGTGGAAGATAAAATAATAATAATAGTGTGTTGATGAATATTCAACTGCAAAAATATTTTCCAGGAACAATGTATACAGCAAACCAACGTTTGTGGGGTCAGATCATTAAATAAGCAACGGTTTTGATCTTTGTTGCGACTCTAGTCCCTCTGTCCCAAATATGTCTCAGATTCTGAGGTGATATACACTATATAATAGTGATAATGATTTAGACACAAATAGAGTACAGATCGAGCGAAACAAAAAATTGAAAAAAAAATATCAGAAAATGTGTTGATATCATCTCTAGTTTATGGACAATTTCGGTCTTCTGAACTTTGATATCGATCACCTGGAATATAATCAAGTGTATTTCGAGACTCACCCTGTAAAATTTCCTTAAACTTGCTTATTGCAAACTGAACATTTTCTGGGGTTTCCTGCAACTCTTTTTCTGCTCTTTGGGCTTCTTTTTCATTCAGGTCTTCCAAATCCAGTCGCATCAGGTGATCTCCAAGTTTGATGAAAGGAACATTGTCTGTTCCAATTTCAACGCAAATAACCATGATTTTTTTGGGTTTTCTTGGCGGGTCAGGACGCTTTCTTGTCTTGGTTATTTTCTGTCAAAAAATTTCCAAATCACTCTTTGTTGGAATGGAACTTTTGGAGACTGATTGCATGATGGATCAATGAATCCTAATATACCCTCATCGACAAACGATAAAATTCAGGCAATTACGATCGCCTGTGGTTTGACCTTCACTAATTTCTCCAAAAAATATTTACAAAACGCGCATCATATTTCTAAATAAACAACCACATAAAATTGTTAGTACCTAATAAATTTGTTCTTCAAACAACATAAAATTGCTTCCATTTCTGGTCTCAAGTTCAACAGTTGGTAAAAATTCTAGATGAAATAAAACATTATCGGTGTTGATTGAATAATTGGAAACTACCATTGGGATGAAATTATAGTAAGGAGGTCTTGAAACGGAGTTTCTCTCACCCTGTATATCCGTGTTGAAGCAACTGTGAACCAGTACTTACTAATGATGTTACGGAGTGTACCGGATGGCACTGCAGTCACAAAGGAGCCCAAAGAATCAAAGAAAGCAAACGTAATTGACGTAATCACAAACACAATATTAACAAAAACATTTACGATTATTATCGTACAATAACCATTTGAAAGCAATAACCTAATTGTCCTAAAACTATCACTGATAGGGATAGACATTTCGGCATAACATCAGGTACAGGGTGATTTTTTTGAACTTGATAAGTAAATTCTTCTAAATATTTCTAGTTACCTCTTAACCTGTAATAACAAGTGATGAGACACTCAGATGTTTGTCAATCATCAAAATCTTTTTGATAAAATCTGATTTCAATTCTGCACATAAAGATATAAATCGATATTCAAAACTTATTGAGGTTTTTCAGTGTTCAATAAAAGCGCTACTAACACTAAATAAATCAGATACTGCCGCATTCGCCAGGCCTTTTTGATTTTCTTATTCAATTTAAGTTACAACTTTTTGTCTCCTTAATAATTCATGTTTTCTAGACAAAAAATAACAACTTTTATATGTACTGCCTTGAACCGAGTGAACAAAAACTAACAACAATCAATTTTGTTTACTCATATATCCGCTCGAATGTTTGTTCCAAAAAGGTGAAGAACCTAATTCATGAAAATCAACAGGTTTCATTTTACAGGGTGTGTTAATATATAAGAAGCTGATCTTTGTTTCTTGATCGTATTGCAAGTAATCTACCGTCTATAATAGTTATTTATGTAATAAGGATCATAAAGACGATCATTATGGTACAAGTCGTGAATGTTATCGGGCGAGGCGTAGCCGAGTCCGATAACACGGCGTGTGCCATAATGATTGTTTATGATTCGTATTACATACAAAATTTTATCTGATGGCATTTATATCAATACATTTTCGAAATATTAAAAACTGCATTTTCGACATGTCACAATGACAACTATTTTTAAAGGAGTAAGTATTGTGTAGTTTCAAATATTAGTAGGTGAGTGAGCTGTGCTTTGCCATTATATTAATATTACAAATTGTAGTAATTGTTCTTTTACCATTTATAATAAATAGTTTTGTACATAGTTGTGCATTTCGAATAAACTTTTTTGATCAAACCATTACATGTTTTCCTTATCGAATTTCATTATGGTACTTAGTACCATAATGAATTCATTATGGTACTTAGTCCCATAATGAATTCATTATGGTACTTAGTCCCATAATGAGCTTCCTTATGTCATCAAAATTGAGTGACATAACGTTGTCATTATGACATGCCATCAGATAAATAATTTTATATTCATATTTTAATCTTATTGTTTTGTCACATATAATGTACTCACTTTTTATATACATTATGTTGAATGTCATATATTTTTATAATGTAAAATGTTAGGTATGTATTTATAAAAATGTAATGATTTGATATACCACGTACAAGTTGCCTCTGCCACTTCTGTAATCATTGTTGAACCCTTTTATGATTATTATTTTTGATAATAAACATGCATTTATTCATTCATTTATTCCTCTACCCTGTACCCCAGAATTTGTTTAGGATATTAATGTAACCTTACAGTATTAGGCATTGCGATGGTTTGACGTGACTTACCGATTGACAAAGTATCACCAAAATTAAAACTACACATTGGTCCTAAATCCTAAATATACCATAATATAAAGCCATGAACTTCACTTGCTGCTTATACCATTTTAATAATATCTTGAAAACTACGAGAACTTTCAAACGATGATATCAGAAACAATTTGGCTTTGGACAACGCGATCGAACAATGATGATTATTATTTATTTTTCAATTGATTTTGGAGAACTTTGGCCCCGCACACAATTGTTCTTTATGCTAATCCGCCGTCACTATACACTGTCCCAAAAATGGTGATCTTTTTTGTGTTATAAGTCAAATCTCAAAGATCATCGTATCATAGATTTTCTTCCAATTTTCCACAAAATTCATCTTTCAGGTACATAGTTTGTCCAATATAAGGATGTCTATCATGGGGTGGAGTTTTGTAGAGCTTAAAAAGTGGCAATGAAAAACTGTATTTTTCCTACATATGTTTGAATAACGTAGGATTCGTCGAAAACAGATAAAATCGATCCTCATCATGATAGACATCATTATCTTGGACACGTGTATATATATGGCTACTTTTTGAATTGTACAAACAAGAGTCAAGAACTGTTCCTTTTGAAAAAGGTATCTATACCGTTTATTATACCTAACCCAAAAGTTAGTCTGGAATTTTCCCAGAGATCCAATGATTTCAAGGAATTATTGGGTGTAGCATCACCAAGCAGACGAATGATTCGTCCCTGAATGTAATCTAAAAGCATTAGCGTATGTTTGGGTGCAGAACCCCATTTATCTGGGACAATATTGTTAAACAGGCCGTATAAGTGCTTTGTAGATTATCAGAAATTTCTGATGTAAGTAGTAGCTTGTGTTCGCAGAAAATAAAAATTCGAGTTTTTTTTAAGTAGCCTTCGCAATAGATCTGACATAATTTTTTTCATCTACTGATGTGGTATGGGTATATTTATTATTGTATTTGACTGTTAAACTACACTATCCTCAAGCTTCTTCTTGATACATTAAAAAAACGTATCTACCTTTAGTGTCATTTTCATTAAAACAATTATATGCGTATCAGGTTCATTGTATCATCAGACTATAGCTGGAATGGAAAACATGTAGAACAATCACATGAGCAGGATGTCAATGTCCTTATACCAATATACCTAATCAATCCAACAGTATAATTCAAATCTTGGATTTTTTGATAAATGCATAAGGAACTGTTACTTCTATTGCATACACATACATAATGTTGTATTTATCAAGGGTATGTCAAATATTATAGATTATTTTCAGCGAGATTTTTAGGATATTGAAAAGCGATATTCCCATCAGATACATTGAGAATTCGCATTCTCTATGTGATGGAAATATCAATTATTTCTCGCATTATTCAACAGAAAACAACTACTTTCCTGGCTATAAGAATTGGAAAACAAAATCTTCTAAAGTTGAGAATTTGCATTCTACTTCAGATAAAACTATGTATCTATATGCACATAACATCATTCTGAATATTCAACAGAAATCAACTACTTTCCTGGCTATTTGCCACGTCGAACATTGAATTATATCTGTTGACCATCCAAAAGGAGAGCATGAAAAATTAAAATCCTTCGAAATTGAGAAATGACAATCTGCCAAAACTGATGAATAATATGTTGAGTATTGAAATTAAAATTGAAATCTATAGGAGTAGTATACTTGTAATAAACTCTGATCTTGATGAGGTTGGAACTTTCAAATAAATCATTGGTATCAGTGATAATTATGAGAATTATATCTCTCACAAACACGTTATTTGAATTTATTCGATATGACTTTATTCGATATATTATTATATCAAAAGATTTTTATGATTTAATCAATTTACAATTTTGGCGAAGTAGCCTGGATCACGAAAAATACTTCATTCAGTTTTCAAAATACAAAAGTGAAATTCAGTTTTGTTCAGGAATAAATCGACAGACTTATCACGAAAATTCAATCACTTGTGATATTATCACTTCATCATAAAGCTATTCAAGAAGTTTATCCTACCATCAAGAATAATAATAAAAATTATGGAACTTTAACCTATTTCGGATCATCAACTGAGAAATTAGCTTCATTTCTACATAAACAGGATTTAAAAGTGGCATATAATACGTTGGGACGCTTTATCAAGAATAATGAAGACAAAACTTCTGAATTCGAGAAATCAGGGGTATATACAAACTCAACTGTGGATCTTGTCCTAAGGTATATATCGGTCAGACAGGTCGTACGTTTAATCAGCGCATTCATGAACATAAGATGAATTTTATGAAAAAGAAAACAAATTCGACATACGCCAACCATATATTAGAAGAAAACCATAGTTTTGATGATAATTTCGAAATTCTGCACGTAGAAAATAAAGGACAGAAACTCAATCATTTTGAATCATTAGAAATCAACAAACTCAAAAATTTTTACATTTTACTTAATGATCAATTAGACCTCAATAGTTCACCACTGTTGAATTTGTTTTCTTAGTAAGTAATAATATGTATTTGCTATCAACTCTTTCAAGTTAATCCGATATACCGTATTTTAATGTAGATATTGTGCCTAATTTCCGAAAATGGAGGTTTATCGTACCTGTCCACAGGTAACTAATCCTTCAGGTTGGGAAAGTAAGATAATATAAAAGTTAAGCAAGCCATCAACGTTAGTTTAGTTCATTGTACCAGTATAGCACTTGACGAAGCTACTCTGTTAGCGAAAAATGTCGTGTTTTTGAGAATTTTGTGGAAATATTATCGTTTGTGAAGTTTTTACATTTGTCATGGATTTCCATCAAGTACCGGCCGAGTCAATTAAAAAAAAAAAAATACTGCTGATAATTCCCTCTCCTTGTTTCACCATACCTCGTGCATCAGGAAAATTTGGGATTGTCATAAGATAAAGAAAAATACGTACCCATATCTGTCAAATATAAAAATATTGAAGACTGTTTTCCGAAATTTGTAATGTTATAGGTAGGTATTAAATAGATCACTGTGATATCAATTAGATTTTGTAAGTTTGATGTTGGCTCACTTCTTATATAGTTACTGAAATAAGTCTTACCATTCAAAATCATGCATTGTTCCAAAATGTTCATTTTCACTATTCACTAACTACCAACAATCCCACCTGTTTGTCAGCAAAGCCACATTTTTTGTCTTTATACACGCATCTCCCTATGCACATATAGCTGTATTGATTTATAATAATAACCTGCATGAAAAAAGTTAGGACTGGGCATTCCGACTGCATAGGTATGTACATACCTACGTGGCCTTTCGAATGTATAATTTTTTTCACTATATAAATTCAAATTATTATCATTTATTCATTCAGTTAAATATTATCAAAGAATTCAAATTTGGTTTCCCAAATTAATAGAAGTCACCACAACCATATACAACTAGGCATGCAGATGATTTTCCTGTCAAGAAAATTGGATTAGATATTGGTGAAAAATATATTTATCACAATGGAATGATACAATACAATTCACTGCCAAATAACTTGAAACTGATTAATAGGATTGAAAAGTTTAAGAAGGAATTAAAGAAACATCTATATACATCTCTGATATTGACATCTTATCTCATTTTTATAGTTTTCTCGTACAACTATTATAGTTATCAATTGGGTACCTAACACCTGAGTCAATTAAGTATCATTTTCAGTTGAACTAGAAAAAAATATTATTTCTTCTTGAGTGTGAATCTTATTTTAATGTCCTCTTCATTTCGTCATATATATTTATATATTCATCATGTTCCCTGCTATAAACAAATGTTGTTTCTTGGGAATAATAAAGTTGATTGCTTGGTTGATTGATAAATAAAAAATACCAAAATAAACTGTACATCTGCACAAAGTTGGTCTTTATTAAAAATGGATTAAAAATATTCAATAACAGTATATAAAGTACAACTATTCAACAATACTATACATATAAATGTCTAACAAAATAATGAAATCATTCGAAGTTCATATTACTTGAAAAAGTATAGTACCCTAATGGAATGATTCGTATGGACAAATTCAAACGTACAATATTCTCATCCTCGTTCCAGTACGTGCTCTCTCACTATACATTAAATATACACAAAAAAGTCCAATTCGAAATATCTATGTTTTCACTTCTTCGTCAGTCCATAAGAGTTCATTCGTTTGATATGATCTATGACGTCATTAACGACAGGATACCAATCTTTTCCGGAATAGTCGATAGCGGGCAATACGCCACCATAGTCCTTTGGCAAATGGGAGGGATCCAGATGTTTGTGAAGGGAGGACATTTTACTACCGTGGAAAAAAATCTGAAAGTTAAAATACCCACCAATCAAAAACAAGTACCATTCACTAATTAGATGGTAACGCAATAATAAAACACTATCAAAGAAGACCAGTTGGATATTTGCTAAACCCTTAGAAACAAGTAGAATGTAAACTAAATTAGATATAGAATTATAGAATCTATATAAAGTTAGTATAGAAAGTATATCTAGAGGAATGGAACTTATATTGACCAGAACAGGTGACGTTGTCCCATTTTACACGGCATGCCTTTTTATAATTAACCCAAAATATGAACAATAGACGGGTTCCTGGCAATCACACGTGTACACTTTACAAGGAAAAGCGCTTCTTTCTGCAACCGACACAAAAATCGTCCATTTCAATACCAAAAGTTACTCTTGAAATAACGTTTTGCTGCAACCGACACAAAAGTCGTCCATTTCTATACCAAAATTAGTTCTTGAATTGACGTTTCTATTACTGACAACATAGGCAAGGCTAGGCAACATATTTAGTTCTTAGGAGCTGAAGTTGGGTCCAATTACCCTTTGAAACTTGGTAGATGCTTAGAGGACCTCACAATAATCTCTGAAGCAAATTATCACGAAGATACCCAAGCCCAAAAATACTCACTCTGCCTTTGAGCTTCTGCTTGACGAAGGGCTTGAACAGCTGCCACACCATGTTGAAGATGAAGGGCTGCTTCACCATGTGTACCTCCTTCAGCCTTAACGGCATGGCCTCCTGGATGAAAGACAGCAGTAGCATGCTGAAGGCCGGGCCCAAGCCCTTCACCTGCAAGAATTCACATTTTTTATCTCGTGGACCTGTCAAAGGGGAATTTGAAATTGATAATGAAAGCGTACGCAGCGTCCTCTAGATGATACATGAACATAAACATTGACATGAAGTTATGATTCCCACGTCAAATAACACCCGGGTACCAAATTCCGTGCAAATATCATATATTTTGTAAAAGTTATTTTTAAAAAGCGAACAAAAAAATTCAATTCCAACACCACGTATCTCCGAAACGAAGAATTTCCGGAGACAAGTTTATATGTTTTTTTTAAATTGTCTCATGAATACGTCCCTTGAATATTTGAACGTACTTATGTTACACCCTGTATATCATTTCTATCTGTGCGGCTCTGTAAATTCTGAAGACATAGTATAACGTAATATAAAGAAGAATATAGTATATTGTTTAACGAGCACGGAATGATAGTGATTTCATTCGAGTAGGAAATTAGCATTCCGTGCAAGTTATACACTATAATTTTTCTACGGCTATAATAGATAACAGCAGCATTTTCGATTTATTTGTCTTCTTGCCATCTGATTTCCTGTCAAGTAATGCTCATCTATACGACAGAGCTGTCATTGTTTGAAATTTGACATTCCCTGGTCGATGAGATTTTTACTTTGCTTGTCATCAATTTTATTTCCGTATCTGATATCACAAGGAGACCATTGTGTTATTATTTCAAAAAAATCTCATCGCCCGTGGAATGTCAAATTTCAAGCAATGACAGCTCTATCAAATAGATGAACATTAATTGAGGGGAAATCAGATGGCTTCAAGACAAAGAAATCGAAAATGCCCCTGTTATCTATAATAGCCGTAGAAAAATTATAGTGTATAACTTGCACGGAATGCTAATTTCCTACTCGAATGATAACAGCATTCACCTATGGCTCGATCATGCTGCTAACTTCATTCTCGTAGGGAATCACTATCATTCCGTGCTCGTTAAACAATATACTATTACTGCATAAGAAAGAAGACTACTATCTCTTCCACTTCACTGTTTCACCACTAACCAAACCGATTTTTTATACACCTCGAAACGGGTTCCACTATAACTATGTTAACATCTTCAGGAGAAGATTAAAACAAAATATTCTATTCTATTGTGCTACTTATATTCTAGGTATATGTATGACCACCCAATCGTGAAAGACACTAACCGTCATGTTAATGTTTTTCATGGTCACCTTAATATTATATCACTAAACTATACAGAGGGCTATATGAAATAGGTCCATTATCTCTATTATTCACTCTATTACTATTCCTAAATATCTCTAAGCTTTCATATGCATCTAATTTCCTTACATTATTAACTTGCTTACCTAATTTGAGGTCATTAATATGTGTGTTATTATTGGGATTGAACATGTGCTCGGCTACACACGATGTATCCAACCTACCATATTTTGAATTTGTTTGTGTTCTTTGAACCTTGTTTTTATGGGTTGCCGGATTTGGCCTATATATGTTTTATCACAATCATCCCAACTAATTTCGTAAATTCCTGACTTTTCGAGTGTGACCACTATATATTTTGGATTACATAATGAATTGCCTAATTTTGACCCAGACTGATAAACGCTCTCAAAACCTATGTCTTCGATAACCTTATCAAGTCCTCTCGTGTACTTGAGATTGAACGGGATTGAAATTCTACTCGAATTGTTTTTTTCCGCTTGAAAAGTCGTAGAATTCTGAAATGTTAACTTAAATGTTTAGTATATAAGTAGCACAATAGGTTAGAATATTCAAACTACGAAATAGTCACAATGCTCTGAGTGAAATGAAATCCGTGTGGTGGTCGGATTAGAATAACCCCACGGTAAGTCCTGCCTGTCGTAGAAGGCGACTAAAAGGACGCCATTAGGTGGAAGATGGTTAACGCCATCGCCCGGTGCGATACCACCACATCAACCATAGGCACTGTGAAATGGGTATACTTACCCGTGTTTCAGTAGCTGGTTGATGTTCCGGCCAACCCAACCCAACCCAATTTCCTTTTCCTTCCACGCCAACCTCCCTTCTTTATACGGAATACACGATGATGAGTTCTCCTCAAGTAAAATTATCCGGAAGTAAAATACCTCTCCATTCGGATTTCCGGGCGAGAGGTGCTAGAGGGGGTTCACCATCGGCTGAAAAAGTCCTCAAGATAGACCTATGTAACATCCGAGGTCTAAGTAAGAACATCAACGATGTCCATCGACACCTTCAAATTGAAAAGCCAGACATATTGGCTCTTACTGAGACACAGGTCAATTCATCCACCAATACGACCTATCTGCTCTGTCCTGGGTACGAACTCCACACACGTTTCAGATTTAAGGGAGGTCTCTGCCTCTACTCTAGAACGAATCTCTCATGTCAACGAGAAAAAACTTTGGAACCAAATAAGTTTGATGTCATGTGGTTCAAACTCGATAGCCAGAAACAGACCAAATACCTTTGTTGTCTCTACTTATCACCAAATGATCCATCCTATGGAGAGCTCTTCGAATTCTTGTCTCTGAAGCTTGACCAAATTCAACAGAACCATCCAGCAGCAGAAATCATCATCATGGGCGATTTCAATGTACACAACACTGCTTGGCTCGTACACTCTAACAGAACGGATGAAGCTGGGCGACAAGCCGAAGCTTTCGCCATCACTCACGGCTTAGAACAGCTTATCAAAGAACCCACACGAATTCCCGATGCCAATAACCATTCAGCTAACATACTTGACTTATTCCTCACGAATAATTCAGCACCCTACACCATAGATGTACGAGCTCCACTTGGCAATTCTGACCACACACTCATCTCCACAACCTGCCCATTTTTCATTCCATCAACTGCTCCGGCACCCTCACGTCTTATATGGCATTACAATTCAGGGGATTGGGACGGTCTCCGCATGTTTTTCTCTGAGTTTCCTTGGCATAGAGTATGCTTTGACTCTGAGGACCCTTCACAGTGTGCTGCGGAAGTATCCGAGATCATCATGCTCGGAATGGAAACATACATACCTCATTTTTCGAAAAGATCATCACCTTCGAAACCCTGGTTCAACAAAAGCTGTTCTAGAACTGTTGCCTTGAAACAAACAGCCTACCATCGCTGGCGCAAAAACCCTAACCTCGCGACTAGAGCAGAATACGTTGATGCCAGGAATAACTGCAGCCAAACAATAGATGCTTCGAAAGAAACATACAATGCCAAGATCAGATCGAAACTCATAGATTGTCCCAATGGCTCCCGTTCGTTTTGGTCCCTTGCTAAAGCGGTCGGAAGAAATTTCACTAACAGTTCATTTCCACCACTGTCCAAATCCGACGGCACATTAGCAACAACATCGCAGGAGAAAGCGAATATTTTTGCAGAAATTTTCGCAGCAAACTCTACTTTAGATTCCCAAGGAAGAGTGCCGCCAGACATTCCACCCGTTGAGAGTCGAATGCCCGAAATCGTCTTCCGTCAACGCACTATCAGACGAATTTTGCTTGGTCTCAAAACGAATAAGGCTAACGGTCCTGATGGAATTCCACCCATTATCCTCAAAAAATGTGCACCAGAATTAACACCGATTCTCTGCAAGTTGTTTACCATCTCGTACAGGTCGGGTATTTTTCCATCATGCTGGAAGACAGCTAGAGTCCAACCAATCCCCAAAAAAGGGAACAAGAACCTGCCCAACAACTACAGGCCCATTGCCTTGTTATCAGTAATCTCCAAAGTGATGGAGAAAGCCATCAATATTGAGCTTATCAAATATCTGGAGAGCTCAGGAATCATCAATGATAGACAATACGGCTTTCGCCACCGAAGATCTACTGGAGATCTACTTGCCTACGTCACCCATTTATGGCAATCTTCAATAGAAAATCACGGGGAATCTCTAGCTGTCGCGTTGGACATATCGAAAGCATTCGACCGTGTTTGGCACGAAGGACTCCTCCACAAACTACCATCATACGGCTTACCACCTCAGCTATGCCATCTCCTATCGAGTTTTCTTTCAGGCAGATCGCTTCACGTGGTGGTGGACGGTGTATCGTCTGATACCATTGGCATCAATTCCGGCGTTCCACAAGGATCAATTTTGGCACCAACATTATTCCTGCTTCATATCAATGATCTGTTGGGAGTAACAACTTGCCCCATCCACAGCTTTGCAGATGATAGTACCCTCCATACTGCTTTCTCTTCCAGAATTCCCATTTCTTCCCAGGAAACTAAGACCTCACGGCGCAGGCAGGTCAATGCTGTCAATGAAGATCTTGCTGAAATCACAGCCTGGGGAACAAACAACCTAGTTGAATTCAACGCCACCAAAACTCAAGCCTGCATTTTCTCTAGAAAGGCGGAACTCAGTATGCCCGATATAGTAATGTCTGGCTCCACCATCCCCACCAAGCCCACCATATCTATGCTCGGTATTTCCATCAGCAACACTCTTTCATGGGATAATCATGTCAGATCCATCGCAAAAGCTGCTTCCCAAAAACTCGGATTCTTGTTCCGTGCGAAAAGCTACTTTACACCTCAACAGCTTCTCATGATCTACAAAGCGCAGATACGACCTGTTCTAGAATACTGTTCCCACATATGGGGTTCAGCACCAAAACATACGCTGATGCTCTTAGATTCCATCCTGAGAAGAGCCATTCGCCTGGTGGGTGACGCCACACTCACTCACTCTTTGACATCCTTAGAACACCGTAGAAAGGTCGGCGACCTTTCACTTTTCTATCGATACTTCCACGGGAAATGTTCTTCGGAAATCTCTGCTATCATCCCTTCACTAGCAATACCAATCAGACGAACTAGACAAGCCCAGTCAGCACATCCTTTCGTTGTCAACCTCGAAAGATGTCGAACAGCACTTTATCAAGACTCCTTCATCCATAGAACAGCTAGGCTCTGGAATTCATTGCCTGTGGAAGTATTCCCAACAACATATAATCTCCAGAAGTTCAAAAAAAATTCCAATACCTACCTCCTGTCCCTATCCTCCCTAGGAACGCACGATGTTCTTTGAACATTATAGGGATTCCCTCTCGTGCGCTCCAAGCGATAAAAAAAAAAAAAAAAAAAAAAAATGTTAAATAAATACAAAATAGCTCTAAGTCATCTCCACACAATGTTCATAAAACGAATAACAATGATAGATTTCGGGAGAAAAACAACTACTTTCCTGGCTAATGCCACGCAGAACATTTAATTACATCCTCACGAAATCTATGCATCGACTCGTATAAACGAATACTGTTACAAGTGATTCGTTCCTGAATGCCTATTGATTTCGATTCAGCCAGGCCACGCTAGACACCTACAGACCGGTTTCGAGCTCTTTGACTCTCATCAGTGCAGGGCAGTCTCCAGCCAGCAGTCCTAAGACCGACTAAGCGTAGCCTAGCCAAACAAAAATCAAGTCGGCATTATATTCCCTCAGAAGTGAACAACAAAGGTAGATTTCGGTAGAAACACATCTACTTTCCTGGCAAATGCAAATGAACATTGAATTTCATCCACCCGAAATCTATGCACCGACGGCAAAATCGAAATCAATGGGCATTCAGGAAAGAATCACTTGTATCAGTATTCGTTTATACGAGTCAATGCATAGATTTCGGGAGGGTGTAATTCAATGTTCTGCGTGGAATTAGCCAGGAAAGTAGTTGTTTTTCTACCGAAATCTACCATTGTGTGGAAATGACTTTGAACTGTTTTGTATTTATTTATAGAATATTTAGTTTCAATCTTCTCCTGAAGATGCTAACATAGCGAGACACGTGTCGAGGTGTATAGAAAATCGGTTTGGTTAGTGGTATAACAGTGTAGCGTATTATCTTGTGCCAAAGGTCGATATAATATCTCTTCATGGAGAGTATATTTTTCGTAAAATGACTGAGAGAACAAAATAAAAAATGAATTTGACCCTTATACAGGGATTTAACCATCAGGCCGCAGGACTGGCAATCTGATGTACAGCTCACTGTGCCATTCACTTACTTGAAAATCAGGTTTGAGGAAAGAATATCATGTGCTGTGGAGAGCGTGGAGACGCTTGATAGTTCCGAGAGCCACAGACGGAAATGGTAATTTTTTTAAAGTTCTGGTTCCCACGAAAAGGGATATCCTGTAATGTTCAGAGAACATCGTGTGTACCAAGGAAAATGAGGTAGGAATTGGTGTTCTTCTTGAATTTCTGGAGGTTATATGCCTCGGGGAACACCTCCCTTGGCAATGTATTACAGAGGCTCGCTGTTCGTTGGATGAACGAGTCTTTGGAAAGAGATGTTCTGCAGGTCTCCAAAGTGACCACGAAGGGGTGCGAAGCCTCAACTCGACGGGTTAATCTCGCGGGGACTGCCAAGGGAGGAACAATTGTTGATAATTCAGAAAATCATCGTCCATGAAAATATCTATAAAGTAGAGCCAGATCGCCAACTTTTCTACGGTGCTCCAGAGAAGTGAGTGAGTTTGTGAGCGAGGCATCACGCACGAAACGAATTGCCCTATTTTTAGCAGCATCCAACAGTTTCATGGTATGTTTAGGTGCTGCACTCCAAATATGGGAACAGTATTCCAGGAAAGGTCGAAGCTGTGCCTTATAGATCATAAGCAGCTGACTGGAAGTGAAATAGCTCCTGGCTCGAAACAGAAAACCGAGATTTTGGGATGCACTTTTAGCAATTGATCTCACGTGATTTTCCCGAGAAAAGTTATTGCTGATAGTAATACTAAGCATCGAAATGGATGTCTTCAAAGGTATGGTTACTCCTGACAAGCTTGTGTTGGGCACAGTGAGATCGGCTTTTCTAGAGGAAAGGCATGCTTGTGTTTTGTTTGCATTGAAATCTACCAAGTTATTGGATCCCCATTCGAGAATTGTTGCCAAGTCCATATCTCCCTCGTTCGTTTCTGATGGTTTCTGATTTGGTATGTGATTGGTCTAAGAGCCTGCATGACTGGACCGTATCGGGTAAATTTGAATTCGAGCCATTTACCTGTTTCATGCCCATGTCGTCGTAGTCCATGATGACCACCACGCCCTTCACTTGGGTCTCCTGCTCGAGCACTGCAGCCTCGTGGATGAGGTAGAACATGCGGAAGATTTGGTCGGAGGTCACTTTCGAGGGGTCCCAGGTGGCTACGAAAGGAAGAATTTTCTTCAATTGTTTTTTATCTAATATTCTGTATACGCATCTTCAAGCTTATAATTATGCAACAGTTATGTTCGCATATTTAATTGAAATGTCAAAATTCAGTTTGTCACACAGAACTGTTGGCGTTCTTTCCTATTACTCTCCGCAAAAATGATTATTTTATAATTTTGATCAACACGATCATATCGTGTGATGCATTTTTGTGATCAGAAAAGAAATACTTTTCAAAAATGCAAAAATCCAATGTGACGCCCATAACAAAAAACAAAGTTGAGTGTTGTAACTTCAGGATCAAGAATGTCATGAAAATTACGATGACAGATTCAGATTCATTGTGAAAAAGTGCCTCAAGAATGCCCGAGTCAGAAAGGGTTGTTTGGTTTTCGCTTGAAAAAATAAAAATGAAAATTGCAAATTTTCGTTCTCTTTCGATAATTCAAAAACTGAAAATGATACATCAAATTTTCTTGCAGATAAATGTTCAACATGGAACTCTACTCTCTACTCTCTACTCTCTACTCTCTACTCTCTACTCTCTACTCTCTACTCTCTACTCTCTACTCTCTACTCTCTACTCTCTACTCTCTACTCTCTACTCTCTACTCTCTACTCTCTACTCTCTACTCTCTACTCTCTACTCTCTACTCTCTACTCTCTACTCTCTACTCTCTACTCTCTACTCTCTACTCTCTACTCTCTACTCTCTACTCTCTACTCTCTACTCTCTACTCTCTACTCTCTACTCTCTACTCTCTACTCTCTACTCTCTACTCTCTACTCTCTACTCTCTACTCTCTACTCTCTACTCTCTACTCTCTACTCTCTACTCTCTACTCTCTACTCTCTACTCTCTACTCTCTACTCTCTACTCTCTACTCTCTACTCTCTACTCTCTACTCTCTACTCTCTACTCTCTACTCTCTACTCTCTACTCTCTACTCTCTACTCTCTACTCTCTACTCTCTACTCTCTACTCTCTACTCTCTACTCTCTACTCTCTACTCTCTACTCTCTACTCTCTACTCTCTACTCTCTACTCTCTACTCTCTACTCTCTACTCTCTACTCTCTACTCTCTACTCTCTACTCTCTACTCTCTACTCTCTACTCTCTACTCTCTACTCTCTACTCTCTACTCTCTACTCTCTACTCTCTACTCTCTACTCTCTACTCTCTACTCTCTACTCTCTACTCTCTACTCTATTTTGATCAACATTGAATGATTTCATATCCTTTTTGATATTTTGATGACATGTTAAGGGATTATGTTTTTCATGGAACATGGAGCGATGAGCTTCTTTTGGGGTGTCATTAATTTAAACTTTCTTTTCTTTGTTATTAATGTTTTTCGCTCAAAATAGGTTGTACCTACTCCATTCCATCTACTTTTCTGAGTTCTCAATTCTCTCATTGCAATATTACATGGCTAGGTAACTAAGAACGATTTGAAATACAAATAATCATGTTTTTTTTCGAGTTACGTCATATAACCTGTTTGTGAGAGATAGAATTCCCATATCACTGATACGAATGATTTTTTTTTTGAAGTTCTAAGCTCATCAAGATCAGAGTTTATAAAAGTTTCTCTTATCGTGTGTGTTCAATAGATGTAATTCAATGTTTGTCGTGGCATCTAGCCAGGAGAGTAGTTGTTGTCTGTTGAATAAACCGAGAAAGAATTGATATCTTCATCACATAGAGAATGCAAATTCTGAATGTATTTCTTTATACAGTGTGACCCACTTCAAATGGAACCACCCCTGTATCTCATGTAATCGTTAGGTAAGGATCCTGAAATTTGCTGGAGCGAGAGATATGCCAAAAATGCACTCTATGACCAAGTGGGGTCATCTTCAGTGATATACACTGCTCGCCAACAGCCATGGAACCCCCCCAATTTCCGGAAAATGATATCAGGAGTCAAAATAGGTTGAAAATCAATTCGGATTCGGAATCAAGACGCACCATTCACTATCTATCCATAGTTTTCCTAGGAAATTTTCAGTTCAGAAAAATTAAATTTTGTCCCATTTCTCATGGAAGCACCCCCGTATCTCACGTAATTATTTAGGTAGGATTCTGAAATTTGCAGAAGGAAGGGAAAGTCCAAAGATAAAGTCAATTACGTAAGATACGGGGGTGCTTCCGGAATGAACATATTGATGGTTTTATTTACCTCCAGCATTAACAATCAGGATTCTTCTTCCTTTGTGATCCCTGTTGGTTAGAACATTCACAACTTTGTGCTCAGTAAAGGCAACTTTCTCATCCTCTGGCAATAGATTATCTATGATGGCCTTGTGTTTGTCTTTGAACAGCGATATACGCTTCATCTAAATTAAAAAAAAAAGAAAAATACACTAAATCATGTGAAAAATAAGTTAATATTGGTTTTATTTTATCCATATACTTTAGTGTCACTATCCCCAAAGTAGCTAAAATTTAATGAGGTACAAAACGTACTTTACTAACATAATTTTACAAATCCTTTCTGGTGGCTATTTGAAGTTTTCCTGCTATCAAATATATATGTTTCATTTGCATTCGTTTGTTCTGATATTTAAAAAGACACGTAATTACATATAGTTAGAATTAAAATTGCCCACTTACTTACATTATTATCATATTATATTTACTATTATTTCAAGAAATGATATTAGATTATCATCAATTAGTTGAAAATTATCTTATTGTTTTTCAAATTAGAATATTACAATTATTATTACAATTCGAGTTAACTAAGTAAATATATAGGTATGGTAATACAGCAGGTGATTTTTTCGATTCGACGATTTCATCAGTTTATGCATGTCATTCCTAACAATTACCTACTTTTATAAAAACAATAATCCAGATTAGGTTGGAGGCGTATTTGTAGGTAGAAAGGTACAGATTTATAAAAACTAAAAACCGTCAAGTTTCCATTTGGAATTCTCATATTTCTCAATATTCTATGAACATTTGTGAACGGGTCAAATTCTATACCCAGTTCCAATGTCCTTTTGGGATGATAATATACAGGGTCGCTGATATGTATGGAAACAGGTGAATATCTCGGCAATCTGTTGTTAGATTTTTTCGAATTTATGTTCAGTGTGATTTCGAAACGTGGCGGATTTGGAAATGTTATAGCTTTTGTTGCCACTTTTTCAGTTATTCCGGATTTTTAGTAGCTTCCTTATTTTGAATGAAACACCCTGTACTTTATTGGATTTCCAGATTCTCCTTGAAGAGCTGATTCCATCGATCTATCACACTTGGGGTCGAGCGGGAATGATTACATAGGTATAGGGTGTTTAAAATCTAGGTTTTTCAACTTTAGGATTTTTTTATGTAGAAACTATCCATTATCGATCAAAACCGCTCCAATGTTCCTATCTTCACTTTTGATTTACTATCTACTGACTATTTAATTGGAACAGATACAGAGGGTGATCAGAATTCTGAATCTTGAACCACCCTGTATTTGTTTCAATTAAATGTCAGTAGATAGTAAATCGAAAGTGGAGATGGGAACATTGGAGCGGTTTTGATCGATAGTGAATAGTTTCGACACAAAAAAATCCTAAAGTTGAAAAATCTAGATTTTAAACACCCTATACCTATGTATTCATTCCCGCTAGACCCCAAGTGTGGTAGATCGATGGAATCAGCTCTTCAAGGAGAATCTGAAAATCCAATAAATTACAGGGTGTTCTATTCAAAATTAGGAAGTTAATGAAAAATCCGGTATAACTGAAACAGTGGCAACATTGGCTATAACATTTTCAAATCTGCCACGTTTTGAAATCACACAGTACATAAATTCAAAAAAATCCAACAACAGGTTACCGAGATATTCACCTGTTTCCATACATATCAGCGACCCTGTATATACTTATCACTTGTTCTTAAAGATTTAGAGAATTGCGGTTTTCGAGAAGGTTGGCTACTTTTTTGTGAAACTCACGATAACGCAAACTAAATTTTCATATAGCACGCTTCGTTTTTGAGATACAGGGCGGAATTGAAAATGTTGCACGTTGGGATCCTCCCCCCTGTATCTCAGCTATCCTTCAATTTATAGGAAAAGTAGAAACTGTCCACAATACATGATTTCACGTGGACTCCAGTGGGGCAGTTGGATTTTTGGAATGAGCTGTTATTATTCAGATATCAACCAAAGTTATGTTCTTTAGAACACTGGAAAATTAAAAATGAAATAATCAAGAAAATAATGATAGAGATAGACAGTCCTCATATCGGTACTCTAGTTTCAAAATGTTAACTTTGCTGACTGATTGGTGATTATCATATTGTTGTTGACAAGGAAAAGTGATGTTTCTTGAAAGCATCGCGAAATGCTAGTATTCACTTTTTATCCTTGAAGAATACTACTTTAGTCTCTCAAATGAGGGAGTCAAAGTACCTACCCTGCTTTTATTCCCTGAAGTGCATAATTACACACGACAAAAGTATTTTGGGAACATATCCTCGAGCTCCATGGAAATATGTTTAAAGAATCTCTATAAAAATATGTTCCCTGAAATTGGTATTTCAGGAATTTTTTTTCAATAATATGTATAGCCAGATCTCATCTTAATTTTCATCGAATATTTTGTTCTAAATAAACAAACAGCATCTAAACTACGCGAAACTAATTTCGTTGCATCCCAAAATTTGGCCTCTGTTGAAATATGAATAACTTTTTTCTGCTTTGAACGATTAGAATTCTGATCACACTGTTGGCTAGCCCAGTCCTTCAGTTATAATCTCGTAGTTCTTCAAAACATAAGGCTCTTCACATGAAATCGATACAGGGCGTTACCTGAAACTGTGCAAAATTTCGGAAATTTCAAAAGTATCCCAAATGAAGAAACACTTTTTTTTTCGACTCTGACAGTACAGGCATGTTGATGATCTCATTATCATGGGACAGTTCTCGAAGTGTCTCCCTATCTCATTTATTTACAGAGTGATCTCAAAAAATTAACTTCTTGGTTTTCGGTCATAACTTTTTTCCTCGTCAACCGATTTTTGAAATCTCAGGCTCAGTTTGAAGCTTGAACTTCAGATGAAGAGATATGAAGATCAGAATTGACTCAAGATGAACATTATACAGTGTGTCTCACTTCTAATGGAAGCACCCCTGTATCTTACGTCAATTTTTTGGGATCACTCTGTAAATAAAAGAGATAAGAAGACAATTTGAAAAATGTCCCAAGGTAATGAGATCATCTCCATGACTCTGCTGTCGAAGTTGAAAAAAAAAGTGTTTGTTCATTTGGGATCCTTTTGAAAATTTTTTATACGTCCATGGAAAATTCCGAAATTTTTCACAGTTTCAGGTGACAGACACCCTGTAGCGATTTTATATAGAGAACCTCATGTTTCAGAGAAGTACGAGATGAACAGCAGTATATTTCTACTCACCAGTTCATATGCACTCTGGGCGTACCATTTGCAGGGCCTCAAAAAAATCGTTAGAGTTTCGTCGTCGTCAGCGAAAAAAATTGTACTGTCGTCTTTGAGGAGTGCCCTCAACTCCGTGAATGCTTGCGCTCTGAGTTCGAGAGTTTCGCGGAGTTCCTTTTCAGCCTGAGCCACAGTTTCGGCATCCAGATGGCCCGTGTTCAGAGCAAAAGGAGACGACATCTATAAAAAAATCGCGAGGTTATTAAACAGCAGTATGTGAGTTTTATTCTGAGCGTACATTTTTTTGAAGTATTTCTTTCTGCATTTTTCTCAATAATTTCATAGAATTCAATATTATCTTGATCTGTATAAGGTATTCAGACCCGAATGATTATCATGATTCAGTTCAGCAATCAGCAAATAAGATGGGTGAGTTTTTCAAAATGTTCGAAAATATTTACTTAGTTACTTTCGCAATGACTTCCATACATTTTTATTTCACTTCCTCAATATTAATCTTGTTTATCATGGAGCAGTGTACTGGGGGTAATGAATTATCACTTGTTGAAATTATATTGTCGGGGTGGATTTCAAGGACATTTTTTTATATAATCAAGGAGAGTAGGAAAAACTCAATGAAATTGTTCATAATACCTAATTATGGTGCATAGACAATGATATAATGATCATCATACTTACAGCTGATATGTAGAATATTTGTGTAAGGAACATCAGGTATTGAATCAGATAACTTTTGAGAAAAACAAGATGAACCTATACAGGGTGTCAACAGATAACTGTCGCAACGGAAAACAGCGTATAAAAAATATTTTTTTTTATTTTCGAAATTTTTGGCCGGGTTTTGTTTTCAAGATACAGGACGTAAACAAATTAAAAATAAACAGTTTTTGTTCATTATCGATAATTACTACTTCAAGGCTCCTAATCAATTTCCTTGGACATATCAGTGGCCGAACATTTATGCCTCTGGAAAATTTAAAATTTTTTTCAATGCACATTCTGAAGCTCCAATATAATTCACACAAAAATGGTTCTCCCGCTTGAATTCTCAAGATCATTGGATCGCTATCTCTAATTTACTACTAGAAATAAATTACTTCATCAGTACTGTCAAATAACATTTTCAATTAAATGTCAGGTTCTTGATTGCTTTGTACTCTTTCGCTTATGTTACACTCTTTTTCGACCACTTGGTATGCCATAACTGGAAACCTTCAAAAAGTCTCGAATAATGAATCCTAAACAGAAACGACGCATCTTTAGAACAGTGCATTCCGATTGAAAATCGGTTGATTTGCAAAAAAGTTATCGCATTTTAAAAATCGTTGAAATAATGAGTGGTCCACTTGATTGAGCACTTCACATTATGACTGCAGTGATGAATATCATTGATGGAACCGACTTTATCATGGTAACTCAGTCAATCCCAGATAACTTATTTTGGGTTCAATTATATCATTGTGCACCTCAGAAATATCAAGAGAATTTCAATATTAGATAAGGATCCATCCAACTGAAACATAAATGTTCTGAATTGTACAGGAATGCCCGCAAAACCGGGTGGTAAAGTGTTGCTTCACGCTCGGTTGGTTAAACACTGGATGATTTTTCAAATAACGAATATACTGAAATGATAAAAGTTTACTGTGAAACACGCAGTGATGAAAATGGAAAATTCGATTTTTCTCTCCGCCCTGTATCCAGAAAACGGAATCCCGTAGAAAGAATTCGAAATAGTAGAAATGTATATTTTTTTATTATTTCCGTTGTGACACTTATTTGTTAACACCCTGTATAGGTACATATAAATTGTTATCTATATGGCCATTGATGGCCCTAAATCTGAAATAATCCATAATCAATCATTTCCTCTGAAGAAATGTTTTTCACAAATAATGTCTATAAGTACATTCACAAGAATTATCGGAATGCAAGAATTAACTAATCAAGATAAGATTAAACTCATTCACTCTGACATGGATTAGTAGATTTATATAATATAAATTTTTGAAAAGTTTACAACCCATTGGGGTTATATTTATTTATTAAATGTATGTTTTTTCTTACTACCGTTTTTGGCCGTAGGCAAGTCCTGGAAGTCTGCGAGAACAAAAAAAAATGTTTTTGGAAGTGTTGCGTACACAACGTTTTCGACAACCATATGTAGAATAACAATTCAATGAGACACATTTCCATATTAAATTTCTTTGTGGAATAAAATTTCTTCTTTATTAATTCTTAGATTTATCAAATACTGAAATATGAACAGAATACCTATACCTACTAACTGCTACATTGGAAAGGACCCCGCACATTTAGTACGTAAAATGGCTTTCGGCTAAATTTTCTGAAAATTTGATATGTTTAAGACATTATCGTCCTTATCACACAGTACAATTTATAGATCGATCCTATGACCAGTTTTCGAGCTACAGGGTGTCAAACATTAGATTTTGGCTGTTTAGAATATTTTGCATCAATTTGAATTATGTGCTCTAAGTCGTGATTATTCTTCAGTAGGAATGAACTCTTCACGTCTAATATCTACCTCATGAATCCCTCTATTCGGTTAGAAGATAATATCACATACAGAGTATTGCATTCCATCATGAGAAGGTAATATTCTTGGGAAAAGACAAATATTGAAAACATCAGAATTTTGATTTTTACTCAATCAATGAAAACTTGAAAACAAACGGCTAGAATCGGCCAATTATTTGACACAGTATGGGTCTTGATCATCAACATGAGGATTCATATGATTACCTCTGATACCATGTCCAATTGGCCATATATAGGGTGATGACAATTTGAAAGCTTATAGAATTGATGTAACTCAGGTACAAAATGAGATACATTTCTATAATATATGAAATGGAAAATGAAATGTCTCATGAAATAACCCACCCCCACCAAGCCCCTGATGAGTCACAACCACCCCAACGCATATCATCTCAATAGTATATAGCCCCTATACTTATTGTGATACCTCATCGAATAGCTTGGTGAAAATACATTTCAGTGGTATTATTCATATCTCGAACTGGGTGAACTGATAAAAAATATTCAATCCAGCAGAACATCTCCAAGATAGAAGTTGTAAAACTGTGACATGTCCGCTATGTTTGAATTCTCAAGAGAATTTGTATTTTGATGATTGTCAAAAGCTGCTGATAGATATTTTTCACATTGTGGCTCACATTCTGGTGAGATGGTCGTATTGAGACAAGTTGTCAGATACCATAATATGACATCAAGCATTGCTATAGATGAACTGATAGGCACAAGCCATGAATGATAGTACCTACATAATGGGTCACACTGTTGACGGCGATTTCCGAAAATATTGTAGCTTGGGTCTTCGCTGGAATTCAGCAGAGATCGTTCACTATCCAGATCTGCTTGAAGAATATATATATTTCATCAATGCGGTTATTTTTGCATATTGTTATGTGCATTACAAAACACTCATTGAACTATATAGACAATAATTATTCGAAACCTCTTTAATCAACATAAATCCGCCAAAGATGTTTGGATGATATTCGAAAATTGACTAATTGAAATATCACCTATACCTAGTCAAATTGTTCAACATAATTTTGATCTTATGAAAATATAATCATTTAGGTACAGTCGTCTTCAGAGATCATGTCGCACATGGACGGTGTCAGCTCCCATGATCACCGCTGCAATAAGAGCGCTCATACCGTCCAACCGCGACATGTTCGTTGAAGACGACTGTACTTACCTGGACTAAACATTCTGTTCATCGCCGTGTTCTCTCGCTACACCGATCTACTGTACACAAATACTTGTTTCAAATCCTCTGAATATAACTATTTCAGCAATATGTCTCTATAGTGCTCGATATTAACGATTTATTTTTCAAAAGTTATAAAATTAATACGTCACCCCAGCAGAATGATATAGGTAATAAATATTTTTTGTTAGTTCACCCAGTTCGAGATATCAATAATAATACCACTGGAATGTATTTTCACCAAGCTATTCAATGAGGTATCACAATAAGTAGGGGCTACTATTGAGATAATATGCGTTGGGGTGGTTGTGACTCATCAGGGGCTTGGTGGGGTGGGTTATTTCATGAGACATTTCATTTTCCATTTCATATATTATAGAAATGTATCTCATTTTGTACCTGAGTTACATCAATTCTATAAGCTTTCAAATTGTCATCACCCTATATATGGCCAATTGGACATGATATCAGAGGTAATCCTATGAATCCTCATGTTGATGATCAAGACCCATACTGTGTCAAATAATTCGCCGATTCTAGCCGTTTGTTTTCAAGTTTTCATTGATTGAGTAAAAATCAAAATTCTGATGTTTTCAATATTTGTCTTTTCCCAAGAATATTACCTTGTCATGATGGAATGCAATACTCTGTATGTGATATTATCCTCTAATCGAATCGAGGGATTCATGAGGTAGATATTAGACGTGAAGAGTTCATTCCTACTGAAGAATAATCACGACTTAGAGCACATAATTCAAATTGATGCAAAATATTCTAAACAGCCAAAATCTAATGTTTGACACCCTGTAGCTCGAAAACTGGTCATAGGATCGATCTGTAAATTGTACTGTGTGATAAGGACGATAATGTCTTAAACATATCAAATTTTCAGAAAATTTAGCCGAAAGCCATTTTACGTACCTACTAAATGTGCGGGGTCCTTTCGTATGGATATAGCTGTCAGCCGATATTTCGCTGCTATGGTTATTATATCCTCTGTTAGTTTTCTCAAAGAAAAAGCGTCCGGGAAGTGAGTACCGAAAAAATAAATTACTTACTTGCAGGTATAGCAACGCTCTGTGTTTCTTCATTTGATAGAAACGAGTACCCATATGGAAGATTTCTCCACAAAAAAATATGGAATATAAGAAAATATTCTCGTTTGATTGCAAATGACTGACGGAAAAACAAGATCCTGCCTATAATAATAATAATAATAATAATAATAATAATAATAATAATAATAATAATAATAATAATAATTTTTTATTTCCAGTTCTAAATTGATACATTGTTAATGGTACAGAGGAAATAAAAAGACAGGAGAATTTTCCACAGAAGCCGGTTGGTTAGTACGTGGCAATAATACAGCTTTCTTTCAAGTGTTCCACTTAGACAAAGTAAGTTGTTCAAATTATTCTATTACAAATTTTACTAAAGATATATATCCATGAATATTTTGTGATTCATTCGATTTTTTTTCATATCAATCGAACATGAGCAGAAACAAATAGTTTATCCGAATAAAAATAATAAAATATAATAATAATAATAATAATAATAATAATAATAATAATAATAAACGCCTTCCATTGTCATAAGTGAAATACATGAAAAAAAATCTTACATAGACTGTTGGCGAAGTCTAGCTCAAAGCTATTCCACTTAACCAACAGAGGGCTACGGCTACATGCCCAAAAGAGCAAAATGACTTTAGCAAATTGGCTGAGACAGCAAGTAAGGAAAACAACAAGAAAATAACAAAAAAATGAAATGCAATACATAATGGGTGCTTACTAATCAATTGCTAGCAATACAAATAGTAGAATTTCGAGTGATAAAAAATCTACGACATGATGGATGTACTGAATAAAATCATATCAAGACTGCGTATTGAGTAGATTATGCTTCTTTAATTTATATTTGAACTTATCTATATTATAAACTTTGAATTCATCAGGTAACATTATATACAGTTTGGCCCACTTTTGATGGAAACACCCCTATATCTTACTTAATCGTTGGGTAAGGATCCTGAAATCTGCTGGAGGGAGAGATCTACCAAAAATGCACTCTATGACCAAGTGTAGTGGGGTCATCTTCAGTGATATACACTGCTCGCCAACAGCCACGGAACCACCCCAATTTCCGTAAAATTATATAAGGAGTCAGAATACTATACCTTTTCAACTTCAATTTCGGAAACGGTGAGTTATATTTCGGAAAAAGTAATCTCGATTTCAGAATTGGTTAGTTCGATTTCAGAAATGGTAAACTCAATTTCAGAATCGGTGAGATGAATTTCAGAAAAAGTCCATTCAATTTCAGAAATGGTAAGTTGTATTTCAGAATTATTATTGGTAGGTTCCATTTCAGGAGATGAAATCCTTTTATATGTTTGAAATGTTTTTAATTGCAAAAGAGAAGACTGTTTACAGTGGATATAACGGTGTTTGAGAGCCCTATGTTGAATCAGATTGAACATAATATGGGGTGCCTTCAAGTCAGAAGTGAAGATCTTCTTGCAAGAGCATCGCCAAAGGGTCATAGCTGGAGATCCGAACAGATTGCTCAACCAGATAGAATTCAGACTGCGATGTCTTGAAGAATGTGCAAATCATTCAATGAAAATGATAACACCTCAAATATTTGCATTCTTATAATCATGTGCAACGCCACTCTCAACGCCACTATCTTCAAGCGATTCGGATGGAAGGCATTTGTGGATTAAATTGTTTTTGAAAAGTTGAATATTGGAAATATGATTTGTTAATCTCACATGCAATTGGAAACATTTCGAACAAATATAAGGATTTTTTTATGATATTGAACCTACCAATTCTGAAATACAACTTACCATTTCTGAAATTGAATGGACTTTTTCTGAAATTCATCTCACCGATTCTGAAATTGAGTTTACCATTTCTGAAATCGAACTAACCAATTCTGAAATCGAGATTACTTTTTCCGAAATATAACTTACCGATTCCGAAATTGAAGTTGAAAAGGTATAGTTCGAAAATCACTTCAGATTCGGAATCAGGACGTTCAATTCACTAACTATTCATATTTTTCCTGAAAAATTTTCAGTTCTGAAAAATTGAATTTTGTCGCACTTTTTACGGGAGCACCCCCGTATCTTACGTAATTGACTTTATCTTTGGACTTTTCCTTCCTCCTGCAAATTTCAGAACCCTACCTCAATAATTACGTGTGATACGAGGGTGCTTCCATAGGAAGTGAAACAAAATTTAATTATTCTGAACTGAAAATTTTCTAGGAAAACTATGAATAGTTAGTGAATTGGGCGTCCTGATTCCGAATCCGAAGTGATTTTCAACCTATTTTGACTCCTAATATCATTTTCCGGAAATTGGTGTGGTTCCGCATAGCTATTGGCGAGCAGTGTATATCAATGAAGATTACCCCACTTGGTCATAGAGTGCATTTTTGGTATATCTCTCGCTCCAGCAAATTTCAGGATCCTTACCCAACGATTACGTAAGATACAGGGGTGGTTCCATCAGAAGTGGGTCACACTATAATATACTGAATAGCATTGCAGAAATGTCTTTGAAAAAATGTATTTCTGTGTAAAGGTATTGTCAGGATGGTTCTCTGTCTGATATTTTTAGAGTGTATTCTGAATCGAGGAACAAATTTGCTTTTCAATAGTGAATGAGTAGAGGTCATATCGTAACCTCGAAAGATGTCGAACAGCACTTTATCAAAACTCCTTCATCCATAGAACGGCTAGGCTCTGGAATTCATTACCTGAGGAAGTATTCCCAACAACATATAATCTCCAGAAGTTCACAAAAAATTCCAATACCTACCTCCTGTCCCTATCCTCCCTAGGAACGCAGATGGTCTTTGAACATCATAGGGATTCCCTTTCGTGCGCTCCAAGCGATAAAAAAAATATGTGGAGCTGTCTTCTATTGTTTATATTGAGCCAGTTGCATTCCCTAAGCTTATGTGGAATATGATCATATTTTCTGATACCATAGATCATACAGCAGCTATTTTAGAATTTTGTATTCTATCTTTATCAATTTTCATCATCAACACGAGTGACTCGCACAAAGTTTGTTTCATTTTAACGCTGAGAACATGTCGATTACTGTATGCGAAAGCTTCACCAATAAGAGTTTTAATGTGCTCAGCAAAATGCATGTCAGTGTTTAGTACTAAATCAAGATTTCTTGCTGATTCACAGACTTGTAATGGGGTATTATCAATTTGTTGATTGAGACTATATTTTCTTCAAGAAGTTTATGTTATTTTTTCTACCGAAATAGAGTAGGTACCTTGGATTTTTCAGAATTGAGTTTCAAATTGTGTTCATATGAAGATGTCTTAATTCTATTCAATTCATTGTTCATGATTTCTCCTGCAAAAGCAAAATCTTCGGTACGGAACCTAAGATACAGCTGAGTATCATCAGCGAAAGCCTGCACTTTCGTATTGCAAGATCGATTTGAATTTTTGTTTTCTCTCCTAATATACTTCTAAAAATTATATAATTTGTCGAGCAAACAAATGTTTCAGACACAATTTTTTTGGCTTAATGCGATCACAAAAACTTCAGCAAAATTGAAGAAAACGGATCAGGTTTTTTTTACAAAAATTTTGATAATGACAATCAATTTGGACTAGTCACAAATACTCCTATATCAATTTTCAGAACAATATCTTGTACAGGGTTCTTCACTTAAAACTCCGCATGCCAATATCTCGAAAACAAATAGAAATATGTAATTTCTGTATGAAGTAGTCGAAAGATGAGGTCAAGTAGATTTTTTTCAAAGTTTAAAAAATTCAACGCTTATTAAAAGCTAAGCGTCGCGGTGCGTCGAAAACATAAATCGATTGCATTGACTTTGAAAGTACATCTTATTTATACAATTTTTTGTTATTTACTCGAACCTATTTATTTTACTCAATTCTGAGTTATACCAATTTAAAGTAGGTAAATGTTGCGTGATTGACAAAAAAGTCCAATGTATTTGTTATTACAAACTCGGGATGACTCTGCTGTATTATATGCAAGGTTTGCACAAGCATGATTCTCGGAAGAAATTCAGTATTTCTTTCAGTTCTAGGCATTTCATTATTTCAGACGTACGATTATTACTACTGTTTTGATATGAAGGAAGGTGAAGCTATAGTGTTATACTATATCGGAAATTAGTTCAGGAACAGGAAATAGAAAATGGAAGCGAAGAGAGTCGAGAAAGGTTTGATTTGGAGTATATATAGGTATATAGGAAACATCACTCCACATAAACAAAGGTATATATAGGCAAATAATACACTTGGTATCAGCAGATTTTGACATGGATGCTGTATGTGACTGCTTTGAGAGAGAACAAGCTCTCCATATCTAGTTCAGAAAATTCTTTGATCATCACCACAGTATATAACCTCTTACAAGATTTTATATACTGTGTTATATACTGTGTCATCACAAAAATATTTTGTTATTTGAAATAATATCTGTTTCGACTATTATTAGCATTAAATATGAGTCTACATATTGTTTCATTGCAAATCAGCTCCATAAATATACAAAAGAATGTGTATTAGACAAAATGGCGAATCTTTAACTCTAGCAAAACCAATAAATTTATGATTTTGAGCAAAAACCGATGAAACGAATTGATTTTTTTTTTCTTCCAAAATGACTATATACTATTGCGACCTAGATATTATATCACAAGAAGTGGATTCATCAGTTTTATGATTTTCTGCAATGAAGAGTTCCTGAAAAGGGAATATGGGACGATTATATTGAAAAAATCACTTCACGAAGTTCTTGGGAGCACTGAACACCCTATGAATTCTTACATGGAATGAACTTTCTACAAACTAATTAATCTTGGGGATTCTGGAATTGAGTGACTGTTTCCGTGAAGAAACGAATAGCTATATGAAAGACTCCTTCATGAGGAATATGATATATAAAACAATATTTTTAATCAATAGGATTTCTGCCCTTTCGTGTGCATATTCTTTATATATAGTGAGCCACATCTGTATATTAAATTCAGATTCTGATAAAAGAGCGAGTATACCTACCCAGCATATATGGAAAATTCCTTCACTTAAAATATCAAATATAGAAAAAAATATTCAATGGAATTTCAGCCTCTCATAATATATCATAAAAGGTTTTACTCACATTTTCTGATTGAAAAAAATCAACTGATGGAACTAAGTACAAGAACCGCGCACTCTTCGTGAAGCTTTCTTACAGTGTGTCCTGTCTATTGATTTACGTCCAGCTTTTGTCTATTATCTTATCCTTATTATTTTTGTTAAGAATCAAAGTTCATAATTCAAACCAATTTCAAAGTATTATTTTATCACGTATGAACGAATTCTCTAAAGTGCATTGGCGTAGATATAACGATATGATTTCTATATTAATCAACAAACTTTGTATCTTGGTTATAGTAATCTCTTGGCATTGCCCATTTGGTATTCTGAACCCTTTGAGTGTATTTTCATGTGTTTTTTTGATCAAATTCTATAGTTTTGTGTTCTTTTTACATTTTGATCTCGTTTTTCCATAATCATTTATTACTATATATGTCAAACATGCACTGATGATCAAAGGTAATATGATCTTATCATTGATGAAATGATTTTTATCGCTCATATTGTGTCTGGGTGATATGTATAAATGAATAATCGTTCAGGTATTCTTGAATTTTGATTTTTGTACCTTAGAATAGGAATGAACGATGAATAGATACTAAGTTTCAAAAATATGATTGATGATTGAAATTAGAAGAACTCACCTGCATCAAAAAATCCATGATAGGTATTAATTATAATAAAACAACTTCAGAAGTCCACTTAATTTTTCAGTGAGGAGTAGGTAAGTAATTATCTCACCTATAGTTGACATTCAAATCAAAAACAATTCATTATTTCTTCGATTTATATATAATATGCGTATTGATTAATGAAAATCATAAAAACATCAATTATTTATTGAAAGTGGAAGTTCTGTATTGTTTATTCCAGCGCGATTAGTTCCTCTCAGCTTTTTTCATCTACGTGTTGGGCAATCGGCAATTATTATATATGTCAACTACCTATATCGTTTTTTTTTTCACATAAGTGTGGAAAAAGTGCATTCATAATTAATGCGATGTGAGTATAAAAATATATATCTTACATAGTTCATGAAATAGTCCGAATTAATACCAATTACTCTTTAATTATCTTTCATGGGATGCATCGAATAGGATACCTACCAGATTATTCACATACTATACAGGGTGATCCACGGGGGAAGGCCCATTAGAAGTATCTGATGGACAACGAAAAAATTGAACATTCTGAAAATTGGGATGCTTTGGTAATTGAACATTCTCTATCCGTCTAAAATATTTTTATCGATATAGTGTTGCCACTTCTATCAGAAACAACTAGCAACTTTCATATAAAATTACATGATGATGACTATGAAATTATAATAATTCTAATTCGATTCCCTTATATGTAAAACAAAAACATTTTAGTTTGGCAATTTATCGAATGCTTAACGAATTTTTACTATTACCAAAAATTGTTCGGGTCTAATTTAAAATAAATATGTTTACTAATTTGAGTTGAGAACAAGAAACAGTGAGCTGAAATCTAATACTTTTTTCCCTTGTTTAATAATCAACTATTTATTGTCCCTCTGGATTTTTCTGACGCCTCCACTGTATTTGTAATGCGATCAAAACATGCACCAGTAGAACAGATAAATAATAAGTCTGTTGTTATCATCCTTCTTGATATGATAAGGTGTATCAGTGAGTCAAATAACTCATCATCAATAACTAGGGGCATATCTCCAAAGTGACGACCTATGACCAAAGATTATGTTCGAGTATTTTTTTTAATTTATGGGTGTAGCACTGTATTGGAAGAAAGATAGGTATACCTACCTATTTTTTTCTAATTGGAGTTTAATCTGTTATAATCTTGATTGATGTGACATTAATACTCAACTTATTTATCTAGTGAATTAGTTCTGGGGACTCATACAAAATATAGGTACCCAAAATATCACACTAATATTTGAAAAAGCCTTGATACCTACAGGATCCCGCACATTTAGTACGGAAAATGGCTTTCGGTTAAATCAAATGATTGACACCCTGTAGCTCGAAAACTGGTCATATGATCGATCTGTGAATTGGACTCTGTAATAAGGACGCTAATATCTGAAACATGATACATTTTCAGGAAAATTATACTAAATGTGCGGGGTCCTTTCAGCAATGATCTGTAGGGATAGTAATAACCACTATTCTTCGCCTATTCACAGCTTTGTGATATATGATAGTTAGTAGGTATACTTACTCTCCATACTGCATTTTTCCCCAGGAAACTAGGAATTTTACGACGATAGCAAGTCAAAGCTGTCAATTCAGTCTTGTAAAATTACAATATGGGGAACCAACAACCTATATATAATTGAATTTACACCACCAAAAATCATTTTGTATTTTCTGTAGACTGGCAGAAATCAGAATGTCTGATATATCATGTCTGCTACCCGCCATTCCCACAAAGTCCACTTTATCTGTGCTCGGTATTTTCATCAGCAATATTCTTTATTGGCACTGGCAATTCATGTCAGATCCATCGCGAAAGTTGCATCACAAAAACTCGGATTTTTATTCCGTACGAAAAGCTTCACATCAGCTTCTCATGACAAACTAGAGGTACTGCCCGTTTCAGAATACTGTTCCCACATATGGGGTTCAGCACCCATTGAACATTCGATGATATGTTCTTAGATTCCATCCATAGATGAGCCAGTCCCCTCCAGACAGCGAAGTGATTCTGGGAACCTTCTCAGAATATTCCCGTGGCATTCAGGATATTCTCAGAATGATCTCACAAGGTGCAATGAACGTTCTGAGAATATTCTAAGAACATGCAAATGGGACGAAAATTCACGTTATCATGATATTTAGACGAATAATCTCTGAACATTCCATGAATATACAGGGTGGCCCTTTGAAAACGAAACAGAGGCTCTGTAGGTCGCCAGAACCTCATTATGAAAAAAATCTGAAACACGTCAACTACATTTTCGAGGGGGAACATCGTTCTAAAATATTTTCAGCCCTGCGGCGTTGGGCGTTGTCGCTTCTAACGAAAAGAAGCAACAACTTTGTTATTTTAAATTGGACACCTTGTATTTCATTGCATTGTTAGATTCTCCCCGAAGAGCTGATTTCATCAATGCATCACACTTGGGGTCTAACTGGAATGATTGCAGGGATATAGGGTGTTCAAAATCGAGATTTTTCAACTTTTGCATTTTTTTGCGTCGAAACTATTCCTTTTTGGTCAAAGCGGCTTCTATGTCCCTATCTCAACTTTTGATTCACTATCTACTGACATTTAATGGGAACAGATACAGGGTGATCAGAATTCTAAATCTTGAACCACCCTGTATTTATAGGGAAGTCATTAATCTATGGTATTAGCTTTCCATTCGTATTATCGATTCATCTGGATGCTGAGAACCAGTTTTAGAACACCAAAGTTTAGTTCAAAATCGACCAAAATTCTGTCAACTTGTTTTTCTCAAATTTAGGAATTCTACTACTTTTATTTAACAGTTTTCTATTACCTCTTACTTCTTACCTTCTCCTTACAGTTCCTCTCGTGTCTTACAGCCTGTTCAGCTATTAGATGACAGATGGCGAAAAAATATTTGAGACAAGGAATCTATTTTATCGGTAATGTCATTCATTGGTCAGTTGTCAGGTTTTTGTTTGTTTTGGTTTCTGTCTGTTTTTTTTTTCTGTCAACCACTCAAAGTGAAGTAGTCGAAATAATAATCAAAACCTTAGACCACGAAAACCAGATTTTTTTATTCTATTTTTAAGTACTTTTTTAGTAGTTTACGATAATAATCATGTTTGAACGTGAGTTCGTAGAAGTTAATGAAATCGACAATTTTTTGTCGTTCTTGTGGAGTGTAAGTACAAAAGTTTGATTTTCCTTCAAGGTATTCAGCATTCAAGTGAGATATTTTCTCTTTTTCAAATAGTCATTGGGTATCGGGTCTAAACCGGTTCACCGGTTGATGAGTAGCATTTTCCATAAATTAATTAGATGCAAACATTATCATTGAATCAATACCTACTTATAAGGGATTATACCAACCAAGAATGATACAATATTACCAATTCACTTGGTAACTGAATGAGGGTGTCTTCATCAAGCCTATAACAAGCCTTTCAAAAACACTATTTATGAAATGTTATCTTTTTGAAAATTCCTAATTGCTAGAATTAGATATAAATCCATATAATATCTACCTACTCAAGTATTTGGTATTTTTTAGGTCTATATATTATAAGTGCATGTTGTTTTCTTCATAAACTACTGAGAACTACCTACCTACTTATTACCAGCTTACCAAAGATCTAAAAATCTATGCCATCACTATAATTTTTCATTCTTGATTTGTTTATGATGAATTCATTTGATGCTTGGACTGAATTGTGTCCATCTCAAAATTTATTCAACTGAAGCAGATTATTATGTAAAGTTTGTTTCTCTCACTACCTACAAATGGTATCTGTTCAAGTGGGTTCAAGTATATTAAAAAAAATCATCCAGGAAATTATTCATATCTATAATTCACTTTCAAATAATAAAAAGAAAGAGATTACTTGATGGATTATATTGAGATACCTATAATAGGTTAACAGGATATAAAATAATAAAAAAAAAATATAGAGGAATATTTTCAAAAATATTTTTGGAAAGAACTCAGACTTCAAGGCATGATCAAAACTTGGATTTGATTTTGTTTCAGATTGAATGGAGAGACCCATGGTTGATAGCACTCTGCACTTTTCACATTTCCATTTTCATGATGGCTATTCTGACCAGAAACTATGGAAATTTCCAAGCATTATTATTCTTCTGTTTATGTAAGGGATTTTGAATCATTTACACAAAATATGCTTGATCATTTTTTTTTCTAGTATTACTGGTTTACTTCTCAGAAAGCATAAATAAGTTAGCATCTACAAATTGGAAAATATTTTCCAGACAGCAGTACTTTGATAGTAATGGACTTTTTATATCTGTAGTTTTCTCTATGCCGATTCTTCTCAACTGTATATTAATGGTGGTAAGTGATTTTAATGTTTTTATCAAGTATATCCTTCCAAGTGAAGTGTTTCAAACCATATTTTTTCATTGCAAAATATTGTTTCCATACAAAAGTAACAAATAAATTAAATGCATTCAGCTAGACTAATTCATTGGGGTTATTATTATTCTTATCTTTGTAGCTGATTCAGTTATTTGATTCAACTTTTTTGGATTTATATTATGATCATTATAAGTCCTGTAGTTTTTAGAGATGATAAATTGTATAATCTTTTTCATTTTTAATATACCATGTTATTTGATTCATTTATGCACCTAGACTTTTGAATTGAATGCAATATCACTAAGAATCAATTAATATTGAGAGGAAATCAGCAGAATATGGTTAAACACCCAAGTCAGTGAAATGTTAATTAATAGGTTATTGATGACCTAGTTTCCAATTTTTGTTCATTTCAACATAAATAGTCTTGCTTGAATAACTGCCATAAAGAGGTAGCAAGAAACCTGTTTTTATTTGAACAATGTTGTATTCATTGTGAATTTATTGAACCAAACATGCATATAACAAAAAAAATAGTTCATTGAATTATGTGTCATATAGGAGAACTCTCAAGCAGATACTAATATCCCATTTGATTGATGCAATTTTATGAGAATATTTTTTTTGCTTGTCAAATGCTTTGCAAAAGACATATATAGGAAAAAAAATTAAGACCAAACAGCTGTATGCTTCTTTTTCTTTCAGTTAGTTTTTTCAACAAAATATTGTTAATTTCCTCAATGCTGACTATTTTTTTTTTTCAAAAAAAAATCGGACATCCTAAAAAACACTTTCATTACCTTGGAATTACCTTGATTTGATTATTTTTCAAAATTAATAACAGAAATTCAAATATTTCACCACTATTTTTTTTCAATTGAATTGTTTTTAGGGGAGTTGGCTTTACCAATCAACTCAACTGATGACAAATCTGAAAACGGCTCAGCTTAAAGAACAGTTGAGAAAAGATAAGGAACTGAAAGAAAGAAAAAAATCGAAGGCCCAATGAGTATGGATGCCTTATGTGCTGACCAAAGTTGTTACATCAAGCTAAGTGAAATTTTTTCAAATTTGAGGGAATAATTTAGAAATACAAGATAGTTACCACTCATAAGTGTAGAAGCTAGCTGAATTTTGGGAAAATTACTTGCCCCACTGATCTTGATAGAAATAGGATGTGGAAATTTAGCAGGAAATCATGTTTCTTGTGTGGAATGAGTCCTTCAAATATGTTGAATTGAAATTGACACTAGAGTTGCTTGGTAGTTGTGAGAATAAATTATTGTAAATATTATGTTAGGCGAGTATTTAAGGAATCCATCATGCTATATAAGCCTGGTTTATTTTTATCACATCACAAGTTTCCAGAGTATGACTATACAAGAGATCCACTTGTTGCATTTTTATAAACTAAACTGGTTGACAAATATCAGGTGATATTCAAAAATTTTCAAGCTTCATTCCACTTGGAGCCTTATCTTTCACAAACATATCTATAATTTCTCATGGTGAATTTATACAGAGAAGTGCACAAAAAACGGCCAGGACTGTAATAAATTGTTCATTAATTGATGAAACAATTTTTCTTCTATCACTTCCAGTTTCACCGGAAACGACCCCAACTTTTTATTTTTAAATCGGACACCCTGTATTGTATTCCATAGTCGGTTAGGGATTATCATGATGAATTCTACGATACCGGGTTTGATAGGGTTATTTCAAACAATTACGAAGATATTTGCGTTCGAAGTTTACATATGCTCAATAGGTGTGACTTCCCAATATCAAAACTTCTTTCTCTGTCACACTCATTGAGCATATGGAATCTTAGAACGCGAATATATGCGTAATCATTTGAAATAACTCTATCACACCCGGTATCGATGAATTCGTTATGACAATCCCTAACCGATTATGGAATACAATACAGGGTGTCCCATTTAAAAATCAAAAGTTGGGGTCGTTTCCAGTAAAACCGGAAGTGATGGAACCAAAATTGTATCGTCAATTAATGAGCAGTTTGGTATACTAGCTGCCCACCAATTTTCAAAACTCTATCTCGCATAATTCAGAAGTTACAGTCCTGGTTGTTTTTTGTACACTTCTCTGTACAGTGTGTCCCACTTACCATGCTCACCATGGGTATCTTTTTAACGGTGAGAGATACGAGGTCGGTTAAATGACACCAAATGTGGAGTTTGTCAAGGCCAACTATAATGTGAAAAAATATTTTGATAACATCTATTCGTTTTTGTTTTATACGCAAAAAACAGATTTTGATCATTTTCATGTGTCCTCCGTAACTTGTTCATTTATGAAAATATTCAAATAGGAATTTCACATTCTCATGGCAGTTTTTCAAAGTGATTTAGAAAAAAATATGAAATTTATACCAACTCTTCTAGAATTTGAGATATCAGCACCAACTTTAGTTTTTCAAATGTAGGTCATAACTCACTATGACTTAGTTACAAATAACTTTTTTTTCTCTCACAGATGATATGTCGCAGTAATAGTTTTGTGTTGATAACAACGGAGTTATCGTCATTTATACAAAAACAAAAAAAATATTTGGAAGCCGCCATCTTGAATTTATAAATTTTAACAAAAAACTCATGATCTCCGACCTCAAAAACCCCCACTTACCAATTATGAATGGAATCGGACCAAATCTTGTCCGCCATCTTGGAGCAGCCATTTTTTTAAATTTCTGTCTGTAATCAAATGTTGCAAGTGAATTTTGACTCACTTCTGGCCGTCCTGCCAACTTGAAATTTGGCAGATGTTCGTAAATCCGGTGACAATTCATTATGGAATTTTTGTTGAAATAAAAAAAAAGGCTGCTCCAAGATGGCGGACAAGATTTGGTCCGATTCAATTCAAAATTGGTAAGTGGGGGTTTTTGAAGTCGGAGATCATGAGTTTTTTGTTAAAATTTATAAATTCAAGATGGCGGCTTCCAAATAATTTTTTGTTTTTGTACAAATGACGATAACTCCGTTGTTAACAACACAAAACTATTACTGCCACATATCATCTATAAGAGAAAAAAAAGTTATTTGTAACTAAGTCATAGTGAGCTATGACCTACATTTTAAAAACTAAAGTTGGTGCTGATATCTCAAATTCTAGAAGAGTTGGTATAAATTTCATATTTTTTTCTAAATCACTTTGAAAAACTGCCATGAGATTGTGAAATTCCTATTTGAATATTTTCATGAATAAAAAAGTTATGAAGGAGACATGAAAATGATCAAAATTTGTTTTTTGCGTATAACAAAAACGAATAGATCTTATCAAAATATTTTTTCACATTATAGTAGTTGGCCTTGACAAACTCCACATCTGGTGTCATTTAACCGACCTTGTATCTCTCACCGTTAGCAAGATACCCATGGTGAGCATGGTAAGCGGGACACACTGTATACTGAGATACACAAATTCCTCCTTGAATATCTTAGTCCTGAGAGTATGTTTTTCTAATCACAATTCTTAGTTTTGGTTCTCAAATTCACCATTATGGATGTTATTAGTGTTTTGGTTTTGGAACATTGTATTGTATGTGATTTGTCCTTGTTTAAAGAAGAACTTGAAATTAACAGTTCAGGAAATCATTTTTGAGATGAGGTGTTTTTTGAGGAACACCAAGATAAACAAACCATCAGTTATGCAGTAATTTTTGGAAATTATCAACTTCTGACTCATTTCATCACAATTTGATTTCTAAATCTACATTTATATAGGTATGTTGTTTGTGAACTAGTCAATCTTTGATAAGGCCATTGAATTTTGTATAAAGTTTAGAGGATACCAGTTTAATATTTTTTTAATAATTATGTAAGACTGAAAGTTGAATTAGGGGTTGATTGTATGTATATGTTGAATAATCCATTGCTTTTAAGTTTTCAAGTGTTTTTTATTTCTTCTCGACGAAATTATTATTCGGACTTCAATCATATTTTCAAAGTGGACTTTTGCTACATACTCGAAATTCGAACATCAATAAAAATTTTCAACCTATTCATATGGTTCAAAGAACTAGATCTCAAAGCAAAGAGATCCAGGTTGAATATTACTGTTTCTGTCCAACAAGTCTCATCGGCCGCTCTCGGTCTGATAGCAATTGGTACATCTCAGTGGCGGCTCGTGACTTTCATGACAGAGGAGGCTGAATGATATGAGATTTATTGTGAATAAATTAAAAGTAAAAAAAAAACTTTTTAATAAAAAGATTTTATTTAAACGCTCTAAAAAGAAGAAAATGAAATTTTTCTTAATAATTTCAACTATCAACTTACAACATCATTATACACAATTTATATGATCATAGAAGTTTCGCCATATTCGTTTTTCAATGACTACACATCATTTTCCGAGTTACTCTCAACGAGCCTTTTCATTTGATACCCATATTGTAAAAGTATATCAAAAATAGCTATTCCGCCATCTTGGATGGTCCGCCATATTGGATTTAGAATAACGTCACATTATTTTTCGAATTACTCTCAACGAGCCCTTTTATTTGATACCCATATTGTAGAAGTAGATTAAAAATGACCATTCCGCCATCTTGGATGGTCCGCCATATTCGATTTAGAATGACGTCACATCATTTTTCGAGTTACTCTCAAGGAGCCTTTTCATTTGATACCCATATTGTAGTATATTAGAAATAGCTATTCCACCATCTTGGATGATCCGCCATATTGGATTTATAATAACGTCACATTATTTTTCGAATTACTCTCAACGAGCCCTTTCATTTGATACCCATATTGTAGAAGTAGATTAAAAATGACCATACCGTCATCTTGGATGGTCCGCTATATTCGATTTAGAATGACGTCACATTTTTCGAATTACTCTCAACGAGCTTTTTTATTTGATACCCATATTGTAAAAGTATATCAAAAATAGCTATTCCGCCATCTTGGATAGTCCGCCATATTGGATTTAGAACAACTTCACCTTATTTTTATAATTACTCTCAACGAGCCCTTTCATTTGATACCCATATTGTAGAAGTAGATTAAAAATGACCATTCCGCCATCTTGAATGATCCGCCATATTCGATTTAGAATGACGTCACATCATTTTTCGAGTTACTCTCAACGAGCCTTTTCATTTGATACCCATATTGCAAAAGTATATCAAATATAGCTATTCCGCCATCTTAGATAGTCCGCCATATTGGATTTAGAATAACGTGACACACCTTATCGTGCATTGTCATCCAAACTGAATGTGTATACAAAATTTCAGCTCAAAACAGGAAATAAAATCAAAATCCATGTATTTTGGTGTCCCTTTAATGAGAAAGTATAGATAATATAAGTTTAAGGAGAATCTCTGAGGAGGCTCAGCCTCCGTTGCCTCCTCTGAGGAGCCGCCACTGGTACATCTTAAATTAGACTAAACGTTGGCGCAAGCTATTGAAAATTTCCAGATTTGTTTCGCTAACAAAAACAGAAGTCATTAGGAATTTGAATAGATTTTATTTGTAAACTCAAAATGATCATAACTAGGAAACAATTCCCAATAAAACATACAAATAGTGCAACACGAAGAAATCCAAATACTAGTCAATAGTCTCACCTATAAAAAATATAAACAGAAGATGACAACACATGATACAAATAAATCTCCTTACGATTTACGATTGCATAGTCCAACGAACGAAAAACTTTTTACAAAAATCTTAAATGAATACTATTTACACGTCCCCTCAAGCAGCATCAATTTCCATAAGCTAAATTATACGTTTGATACAAACACTCTTTCACTTACATTACCGAAAAAACAAAGGAAAAGCGAGCTCAATCAGTGTCCATTGGAGTCGCTCCACCCTGTATGACGTCACTAGAACCACCTTCCAACTCTTGGTGGTCCATACCCTGCACGTCATCAAAATTCATTTCTTTGTCTGCTTCCGCCTTCTCTTCCACCACGTCAGAAATGAGATTCTCGATGTCATCGGGAGTTATTTCGGAGTCCTGGGGCTTCTCTGCCATTTCAGACACTTCCATTTCTTCATCTTCGTTCACATTATTCTCGACCGGAGGGATTTCTTCGGGAAGAGTCAGCGGCTCCTCAACGTCCGTGAGCTTCTCCGTCATCTCTTCTTCCAGTTGCTTCACGGTTTCTTCTTTCAACTCATTTTCATCGATCAACTCGTTCTCATCTGGTTCTTTTTCCTTTGATTCTTCCTTCAGCAAGTCTGTCTCTCCTGCTCCTGGTGATGCTTTCTCTTCACTTGACTGTGTTTCTTCCCCGAGGTCAGCTGCTGGGGTATCTTCAACTTCATCTTTCTCATTTTTATCTTCCACTGTGTCTTCTATAGACTCAGCTGTCTCTTTTTCTTCAAGCGCCTCTTTTTCTTCTACTGCCTCTTTCACGGCCTCTGTTTCATCTTCTACAGTCTCTTTTTCTTCTGCTGCTTCTTCATCTTCTTTCATTGGCCCCGTTTCTTCCTCAATTGTATTAGTATCTTCTGTCGTGGCCAGTTCTATTGATTCTTTTTCTTCTTCCAGTGTCGCTGTTTCTTTTTCTTCTGTCACTGCCAATTCGGTTGGTTCTTTATCTTCTTCCACTGCTCCTTGTTCTACTTCTGTTGCCACATGTTCTTTTTCTTCTTCCTTTTTATCTTCTATTTCTGAGGTCTCCTTTTCTGTATCTAAGACCGACTCGTTCTCTGGTCTTACTTTTTCCATATTAACGTCATTTTCCATTTCTTCTAAATCTGGTTCTTTAGCTTTCACTTCGCTTTCCTCGGTGCCTATTTCTCGCACACTTTCCGATAATTCTCCGTTTTTGCTTGCATCTTCTTTATCCTCGACCACTGGCGAGGCGCTTTCTTCCGATTCGACCACTTCCATGGGCTGTTCTTCCACTTTTTGTCGCTCTGGCGCTTTTTTCGGGACCATCGCGAATCCTACTCTGCGCTTGGAGAACTTGCCCGGTCCTGTCCTTTTGCTGGCGAATGGTTCCTTGGCTTCGCCCGACTTTTTGGCTGTCTCTTCGGGTTTTCTTACTAACCCCAACACGTCCAACATGCTGTGCGTGACAGTGGCTGATTTCGCTTCGGCCTTGGAGGGATACGCCGACTTTCGTTCGCATATTGCCAGATGCCTCGCCATTTGGTTTCCTGCAACGAAAAGTATTTTTTAATGATCAAAGGTAGCAGAGTGAACGCAACTGCGTGAATTCAATTCGAATGTGCATATGTTTGGGAATTTATTTCGGGAAATCTGGAAAAAATAAAGAATGGGGAAGTTCCTTCAGAGGAATTTTCATCAAATTAGTTTCACACAGATTAGAATTATGCTTTTGCAATCTATAGTGACAATGGACGTGTACACCTTAGTAGAACTTTTAACTCAAACCATGTTTATAATGATCCTTTTATACATAAATAATGATTGACGACATAATTCGATCGAAAAATTAACTGGAATGTTTTATTTTTGGACATAAATAATAGTACCATCTGAAAACGGACCCTCTTATGACGTAGGAACCTCATCTCGCCATAGTTAAAAAAAAGTACCAAAAGCCCGACGGAGACAGAGGCAACTGATATATTAGTTCTTCCAACTGTGATCTCGCGCTATTTCACTCTGTCAGAAATCATGTATCATTCATCTCTGTCTGGAATAGTCTTGTTTCAGTATTAGGGTTTTGACGTCACATCATCGCCTCGTTTTCAGTGGTCCGAAAAATCGGGGATTTCAATAATTTTTTATAAAACGAAGGGAGCTCACAGCAAGAAACAGTTTGCGGTGGTGAGCTAGTTTGGGTGAGTTCTATCGAATTATGAAATAAATTTTTTTTGTGATATAAGCCCATTGAATTGGTTCAAATCATTTCTATTCAGAGGATATTTTGGCGGAAAACGGGATCATCATCATAAGTGTGTAATAAGCCCGAACTAAAACGAAGGAAAAGTATCAACGTTTGAGTCACTGATGTTAGCGACTAGCCAGATGTCGGACGCCCTGTACCATTAGAAGCACAGAACTACAGTTAGTGGTTACATAAGGTTTAGTCACTTATCTACAAATGACTGTATCCGACATTCAGTTGATTCATTCTCATTTGAAGCGTTGTAGAGAATGTATTGTGTTGAGTGTTGATAAAGGTGGAAGGTTTTAGAGGGACTGATACGTCAACCCTATACCGAGCAGTGCTAATACTAATGATGATTAAGAGTATATCCTGAAAAATGGATGAGTTGATGAATAAATGAAATCGAAATTAGAGCTTATTGCTTACCACCAGTGATATCAGAAAATATTACAATTCTGACGAAATAATTAGACTATAGAGATAACATTCAACTTGAATCACAGCAACTAGATCGTGAATCAAGGAGAAAGTAACAAATAGAAAATAACAATAAACAATGGAAAAATTTAAAAATCCACCCAGGATCCCTTCAAGTTAGAAATTGTGGGCGTGGCCTTGTCAGTTCTCAGCATTCAGCATAATGTTGCAAAGTCTCCAACATTTACATGATATTTTGTTATGGAGTATAAGAATTATTTGCACATGCAGAAACTTCACAGAGAAATGAAAATCTCGAAATCGTAAACTGCCCATTCTAAAAAATGATGTGCCTTTTCTCAAGGTGATGAACGTCATACAATTTTCTCTAGAAATTAGTTTTCTTTTTTATTTTAGTGAGGGTTGAAAATATAAATACTTACCATCTGTACTGCTATGGCCACAAATGCAGAACATCTCAAATGGCAGCTTTTCTTCTGCGACTGGATTCTGATTTTTGCTGCACTTGGCGTTGTGTTCTTGCATGGCGTTCGTGCAACAAGTGGAATATTGACAGTTGGGGTTCTGACAACTGTCAAACGATCTGAGAAAGAAAATCTCGTCAAGTAATATTAAACTCAGCTCAGCTCTTAGATTGCCTACAGGGAACTCCATTTCACATTACCACAAGTACGAGAGATTAGAATGTATAATCTCTGCGAGGACCCAACTCATCAATCTACTCATTTCATCAATACCAATCTCATCTACCATCACACTGAGATTTGTTGGGTATTTATAGAAGAGTTAAATGGTTGGTAAATTAATTTGTTTTGAAGAGTTGGGTGCTGATTCACTTTGTTTGAAGATGGATGCTGATTGAGTGGGGAGTTTTTTCTCCTAACAAGGTCGCCCGATTTAAATTTGCCGCCATTTTGTTAAAAACGAGTTGTACAGTGTTTTTTTTTTCTACAGTTGTCACGTACAGAACACGCGATTTGAGAATATGGAGAAGTATTCAAATGTACGTTTAATTATTGCACGAACACAATAAAGAAATAGGAAAAGTTTTGCCAATAACGTCAAGTTTTCGGTCGCAATAATGCGCCAAATGAGTCGACAGCGATCAGCGTGAATTTGGTACCAAATTTTGTAATTAAACGCCTCAATTTCGATTCATTTGGCGACAGAAAACTTGACGTACACATCACAAAACACCATTTTCGTGTTTTTTTTTTGTTTCCCACTGGTGGCAGTAGAATTGACGACTAATGAAACGATGTACTTTATTTTGACAGTAACTGTTGTAACATTCAGCTGATCTTTTTTAGGTTATATAATGATGATATGATTCCGGGATCTTGCTGTAGCTGTTTAATTTATAATGGTCCAAAAATGGATGTTGTTCCCGCTTTTTTGTTATCCTCCTTAGTAGCTGCACCGATTAGATTTCAAAATACATTGATATTTATATATGGAATTGACCCCTCAATACTCGGAAGGGTTTTATACTTGTTTGAGTCTTCTGATGTTGTCTACAGGAATACTTGACTTCGGCATTATCATACAAAAATTCAAAATTATTACGAAGAAGTAATACCTACCGCAAATGGATTTATCAACATTCAAAAGCCATTTCAGGAGTCCGGAAGTGTTTGAAAGTATTCTGGATAGAATTGCCAACAATTCCAAAATATTTCCTGATGCGAGTTCACTTTTAGGCAATTTTTAAGTCAGATTTCGAGGTTAGACTATCTGAAATACCGCCATTTTCGCCATTTCGTACACTCCCTCCACACAATCGTCCTCCTGTCATTCCATATGAGAAGGCGGAATGAAACGTTGAAACCAGTTTCAGAATTTCGTTCAATAAAACGACATGAATTGTCGTTCCGGTGGAAGAATCTTGCCAATAAAACGCACCTAATAATTAAATCTTGTTCGTTTGAATATCCTCTCCATATTCTTATTTCGCGTGATTTTTACCTGACAACTTTAAAAAAAATCAGCGTACAAGTCGTATTAACAAAATGGAGGCAACTTTAAATCCCCAAATAACAGTACTCATATTATAGTGCACAAGAAGGGGAAAAAAAGGAGATTCATAGTCTTCCAGCTTTGATCATTCCTTTGCATATAAATATATCATCATATCATCTGGTAATTTATTAAATTTCGAAATCGCCTCATGTGTAAACTTTTTTTGTCCAAGTTTAGAATTTGCAGTCCGGTTGATAGATGAATTGGATGTTAATGAGTAGAATGTTGATGCAATGGGTTGAAGGAGCTTATGTGAGTTCATGAAATAGATGTTGATAGGTTGTTGAGCTTCAAACAACAAGTCGTGTAAAAATATAGTATTTTCTGTGATAAAAACAGGGAGTTCCACAAGGATCAGTTCCGGGGCCAGTTTTCTCTCATATACCTGATAAATGCCTACTGTTTGCTACAATAACTCGCTGATTGTATTGAAGTTTGAGATTTGACTTACGGGAAATGTTTGGGCGCGCCCATCGACCGGCCGCACTCCTTACACGCCGCGCTCTCGCCGAGGTCGAAGCGCAGCGCGCCGAAGTCGATCACCTCCCCGTCGCCGGGGTGCTTGTCCGTCCGCGACTTGGGCACCATGACGCCGTTCCTGGGCGCCTGCCAAGGCACCAGGCCCGGCTTGCCGCGCTGCGACGCGTGCATGCGCGTCTGGTGCTCCTTGAGCATGTCCTTTTGCACGAACCACAGGTTGCACTTGCCGCAGCGTTTGGCGAACTGTTTGCGCTGGTGTTTCTGCAAGAGAGATTTTTTTTATGTCCTGGTTCCCACGAAAAGCTCACATTGCTAAAGGTGATTGTTGGTTTGAACTCGGCCATCGAAAGATCACTCTTTTTCTTCCAAAATATGTTCGAAATGAATTTCATTATCTGCAAGTTCTTCGTTTCTTGTTGGTTCTAAATTGGAATGAGATTCTTTTCGATACTCGCTCAGTTTACAAATTGTGGTTTCGGCTCTTTCTCTCAATACGATCCTATTCTTCAACATCAAATCTTCCGTTCTCAAATGTACCTGTTGAAAATGCGTTGAGAAATGTTCTATATCCTACCAAGAAATTTGAAAACCTCACAAATTTTGTGGCCTGAACCTATATTCCATGCCGGCCGCATCATATTCTGTATCCATTTTTGTAGAATTACGTTATCCGATGAAAATTCGAATAGAGTTAATGGGCTTATATCACAAAGAATTTTTATTCCATAATTCGATAGAACTCACCCAAACTAGCTCGCCACCGCAAACCGTTTATCGCTGTGAGCTCCCTACGTTTTATAAAAAATTATTGAAATCCCCGATTTTTCGGATCTCTGAAAACGAGGCGACGGTGTGACGTCAAAACCCTAATACTGAAACAGGACTATTCCAGACAGAGATGAATGATACATGATTTCTGGCAGAGTGATTTAGCGCGAGATCACATTTGAAAGAATTAATATATCAGTTGTCTCAGTCTCCGTCCGGCGTTTGGTATTTTCTTTTAACTATGGCGAGATGAGGTTTCTACGTCATAAGAGGGTCTGTTTTCAGATGGTACTATTATTTATGTCCAAAAATTGAACATTCCAGTAAATTTTTCGATCGAATTATGTCGTCAATCATTATTTATGTATGAAAGGATCATTATAAACATGGTTTGAGTTAAAAGTTCTACCAAGGTGTACACGCCCATTTATTTCCCGTGTTCTCGCAGTTGGAAACTGCACAAACTCGCATCTTTCTCCTAATTCTATCAATTTGTCAAACCTTCGATGTCATGTACGTCCGTGTACTGTCAGTTCCCGCTTTTTCCATCAATTTATTTGTGGTTATGTCTGATTGTCAGTGCTTGTCATAGTGTCCGTACTCTGATATACAAAAAACGTCAAAACAGCAGTGTCAAGTACATTCAGGAACTCTACCATCCAGTGACTACATGAAAGTAGCGGAAGTTATAAGACGTGTGTGGCGTAAATTTTGCGACAGCGCGCCCGCTGAAAGGTAAATCCTCACCTGCAAATGCTGTATGAAGTAGTTCATGTTCTGCACGATGTTCCTGCTGGACAAGAACACCGTGGTCAATTTGAGGCAGAACAGGCACTGGATGGTCGCACCGTTGTCCTGTGTATCTCGCGAGTTCATCGGTAATAGACATAATATTGCCGATATACTAGCTTTTCCTTTGCAGGAATATTACGATATGATATTGATGAAAGTAGCGGGAGTTATAAGACGTATGTGTCGTAAATTTTACGACAGCGCGCCCGCTGGAAGCTAAATCCTCACCTGCAAATGCTGTATGAAGTAGTTCATATTCTGCACAAAGTTCCTGCTGGACGAGAACACCGAGGTCGATTTGAGGCAGAACAGGCTTTGGTAAACGAACACTTTTCTGCATATCTGATACGTCTGTACTTCTAAACTAAACTATAATATTTGAATAGCTCGGAGTTCAATATTCACGACTGATAGATGAAAGTAGCGGAAGTCATAAGGTGTGTGTGTGTCGTAAATTTTACGACAGCGCGCCCGCTGAAAGGTAAATCCTCACCTGCAAATGCTGTATGAAGTAGTTCATGTTCTGCACGATGTTCCTGCTGGACGAGAACACCGTGGTCAATTTGAGGCAGAACAGGCACTGGATGGTCGCACCGTTGTCCTGTGTATTTCGCGAGTTCATCGGTAATAGACATAATATTGCCGATATACTAGCTTTTCCTTTGCAGGAATATTACGATATGATATTGATGAAAGTAGCAGGAGTTATAAGACGTGTGTGTCGTAAATTTTACGACAGCGCGCCCGCTGGAAGCTAAATCCTCACCTGCAAATGCTGTATAAAGTAGTTCATGTTCTGCACGATGTTCCTGCTGGACGAAAACACCGTGGTCGATTTGAGACAGAACAGGCTTTGGTAAAGAAACACTTTTCTGCGTATCTGATACGTCTGTACGTTTAAACTACACTATAATATTTGAATATCTCGGAGTTCAATACTCGCGACTGATAGATGAAAGTAGCGGAAGTCATAAGATGTGTGGGTGTGGCGTAAATTTTGCGACAACGCGCCCGCTGAAAGGTAAATCCTCACCTGCAAATGTTGTATGAAGTAGTTCATGTTCTGGACGATGTTCCTGCTGGACGAGAACACCGTGGTGGATTTGAGGCAGAACGGGCACTGGATGGTCGGGCCGTTGTCCTGTGTCTTTTATAGGTGGTCGATAATAGGCTACTATTTGAGTATTTCGCGAGTTTATCGGGAATAGACATAATATTGACGATATGCTAGCTTTTCCTTAGCAGGAATATTATGATATGATATTGATGAAAGTAGGGGAAGTTATATGTGTGTGTGTGTCGTAAATTTTACGACAGCGAGCCCGCTGAAAGGTAAATCCTCACCTGCAAATGCTGTATAAAGTAGTTCATGTTCTGCACATAGTTCCTGCTAGATAAGTACACCGTGGTCGATTTGAGACAGAACAGGCTTTGGTAAACGAACACTTTTCTGCATATATGTACGTCTGTAGCTCTAAGCTACACTAAATTTTTTTTTTTTTTATCGATTGGAGCGCACGAAAGGGAATCCCTATAATGTTCAAAGAACATCGTGCGTTCCTAGGGGCGATAGGGACAGGAGGTAGGTATTGGAATTTTTTTTGAATTTTTGGAGATTATATGTTGTTGGGAATACTTCCACAGGCAATGAATTCCAGAGCCTAGCCGTTCTATGGATGAAGGAGTCTTGATAAAGTGCTGTTCGACATCTTTCGAGGTTGACGACGTAAGGATGTGCTGACTGGGCTTGTCTAGTTCGTCTGATTGGTATTGCTAGTGAAGGGATGATTGCAGAGATTTCCGAAGAACATTTCCCGTGGAAGTATCGATAGAAAATTGAAAGGTCGCCGACCTTTCTACGGTGTTCCAATGATGTCAAAGAGTGAGTGAATGTGGCGTCACCCACCAGGCGAATGGCTCTTCTCTAGATGGAATCTAAGAGCATCAGCGTATGTTTTGGTGCTGAACCCCATATGTGGGAACAGTATTCTAGAACAGGCCGTATCTGCGCTTTGTAGATCATGAGAAGCTGTTGAGGTGTAAAGTAGCTTTTCGCACGGAACAAGAATCCGAGTTTTTGTGAAGCAGCTTTTGCGATGGATCTGACATGATTATCCCATGAAAGAGTGTTGCTGATGGAAATACCGAGCATAGATATGGTGGGCTTGGTGGGGATGGTGGAGCCAGACATTACAATATCGGGCATACTGAGTTCCGCCTTTCTAGAGAAAATGCAGGCTTGAGTTTTGGTGGCGTTGAATTCAACTAGGTTGTTGGTTCCCCAGGCTGTGATTTCAGCAAGATCTTCATTGACAGCATTGACCTGCCTGCGCCGTAAGTTCTTAGTTTCCTGGGAAGAAATGGGAATTCTGGAAGAGAACGCAGTATGGAGGGTACTATCATCTGCAAAGCTGTGGATGGGGCAAGTTGTTACTCCCAACAGATCATTGATATGAAGCAGGAATAATGTTGGTGCCAAAATTGATCCTTGTGGAACGCCGGAATTGATGCCAATGGTATCAGACGATACACCGTCCACCACCACGTGAAGCGATCTGCCTGAAAGAAAACTCGATAAGAGATGGCATAGCTGAGGTGGTAAGCCGTATGATGGTAGTTTGTGGAGGAGTCCTTCGTGCCAAACGCGGTCGAATGCTTTCGATATGTCCAACGCGACAGCTAGAGATTCTCCGTGTTTTTCTATTGAAGATTGCCATAAATGGGTGACGTAGGCAAGTAGATCTCCAGTAGATCTTCGGTAGATCTTCGAATAGCTCGGAGTTCGATACTCGCGACTGATAGATGAAAGTAGTGGAAGGTATAAGACGTGTAGCGGAAGTTAAAAGGCGTGTTTGTCGTAAATTTTACGACAGCGCGCCCGCTGAAAGCTAAATCCTCACCTGCAAATGCTGTATGAAGTAGTTCATGTTCTGCACGATGTTCCTGCTGGACGAGAACACCGTTGTGGATTTGAGGCAGAACGGGCACTGGATCGTCGGACCGTTGTCGTGCGCCTTGTAGAAGTGGTCGATGGCCTGCTTGTGATTGGAACACCGGTAGCCGCACGTGCCGCACTGGTAGGGCAGCTCCGAGGGGCAGTGCTCTTTGGACATGTGCTTGCCCAAGATGAACGGGTTCATGTATTGGGTCTCGCACACGAGGCACACGAAGCCGTTGTCGAATTTCGTTTCGGCGGGGTGCGAGGAAGCTGAAAAACGAAGGCGTCTCGTCTCGCAAGTTCGATAATGGCGAATTTTCCCATATTGAGGTGAAGTTTGTAAACATTATAGACTGTATATAAATTATATACAGTATTATATACGTAAGTAAGACTGATTTATTTTCATAGCTAAGTAAACAATAATATAGGTACCACAGGACTAAATTGACCCATTTAATCCTGCAAGTCAAGGTTGTTCCCAAAAAAACATTCATTAAATAATAATTAGTTCTACGGTTATATGTATAATATATTTTTTTTGTATAATCAAATTTCACTCCAGAAAAAAATTAATGAAAAATGATCTTGGCACCTTCGCCATTCCTATGACATACAGTGGTATTCAATAAAAAAGCGTACCAATATTAAATAGAGGGGTTTACATTATCCTAGATCTAGTTATGTGGAACTGGTTCAGCCCAATGCTTTGTGTTTTTGAGAACCTATGACAACTTTACTGTGAACATTTGGTAATCAATCATTCCCGATAGCCCGTAAACGCAAATAGGATGACGTTACTTTCTCTAATATACTTGTTCGCTTTTTTTGAATACAACTGTACTTCATGAAAAGCCACAATCTCATTCACACAGAGTTAAAATACGATGTCTAGATTTCCGGAAATTGTTCTTTGAATACATCATAACGGCAATGTGATAAAATAGATTTTGAATTCCTACTTCGTCGAGTATTAGGAATAATTTCCATAAATCTTATTATCTGGAAGGAGTTGATTACTAATGAAGATAAATTGAGAAATTTTGCAATAGTATCTATAATTTTTCACTTTCGTTATATTACAAAATGATGATCATAACTAGTCAGTTTTTTTTTTTCAAATGAATGCATTCCTTCATAAAACGGATCAATTTTCTAGGAAAGTTGCAAATTATATCTTGCAACAGCGCATATTACTTTGAGCCCGTCCACACAAAATAATGAAAGGTACACCTCTCCAGTGATTTGTTGGCCTATGTCTACAGTTTATAGTTGTTTTGATAGTTGATCATCGTTCCTTTTCATGATAATATCAACAACGATACCAAATTTTCTTCTTTTCTATTTGCTAGCTATATTAATCAGCATCAGCTATATTCGGACTAGATTCTGAATGTAAAATTGTGTACATAAGCAAGTCGTACAAGGTTTGTATGGTGTAAACCTGCCTATGATGTTCCAGATGTCATTAAAAAGTAGTACACATTTGCGCGTTACTGAAAAAAATAGTTTGAACTTTGACACAACTTGTCAAAGTCGATAGGAATATTAATCAAGATTGACAAGCCTGACTACAATAGCATATAACTGCTGTACGACTTCTTTATGTAAATTAGATACTGCTTTATTTTCAAAATTAAAACGTCTTCGACTTCATCGACCGCCATTATGACGCGTCTGTCAGCGCATCTGTCACTATCCACACCTTCCAATAATGATACCCAATCGACGCAACTTGCACGGCTCCTACCGACTGCGCCAATTCATTGAAATTCCGTTTCTGGCTGTACCTCTGGTCGAGATCAGGGGCTCTGAAAGAAGATAAAAACGAGAAGAAACTCACCAACATGTTTGAGAAGATCGTTGGCCGTCGACACGCTGGTGAGGCAGTACCGGCAGAGCTGCGCGTCCTGAGACACGTTGTGCGCATGCTTGAACAGATGGCTCATCAGCTGGATGTTGTTGTCGAAGAGGTCCTTGCAGAAGGGGCACTTCATGTTGAGGACGATGGTGGGCGTTTTGGAGTAGGGATCGACGGTGCCGTAGTAGTAGTTCTCCAAGGGCACCATTTGCTCGGGCACGTCGGGCGAGGTGCTCTTGGGCGGCCGTTGCTCGGCCGGCGAGTTTTGGGCGACCTGCGGAAAATATAATACGGAGGGATTCATAGACATACCGGGTGTTTCTCAAAAGTGGCTCACCCACAATTGTTTTTGTTCGTCTTTTCAACTATGTCATTATCGTCTTATACAATTGAATCATTATCAACATTAATGTGAACCAACCTCAACATAGATGTAAGTAAAAATTTCTCTTGCTATAATTAATGTGACCTAATGGAAAATTGTTGTAGTACCCTGATGATGGAAATATAATATTCCGAAAGCTTGGACAAACTTTAAAGAGTACTCTTTTCACTTTGCTGCATTCCCCAATAAACCTAGTTTTACCTCTAACTAGGCAGCAACGACTACCCTCTCATATATATACAGGGTGGGCCACCAGTAACGCCTCGGTCTCTAGAAGGCTAACCACTTATCTTGCATGTCAACATAGGCTACCATTTGAAATTATTTTGAAACAAACAGGATGTCCCCAAAAATCACAAAACACTGAAGTTGAACTTTTTTCAATCGAACACCCTATATATTATTTCATTTTGAGATTTTCCCTGGTGAGCTGATTTCAACAATCCATCATACTTGGGGTCTAGCAGTTATAATTACTGAGATATAGGGTGTGAGAAATGTAGATTTTCCAAGTTCAAGAATTTTTTGTGTCTAAACCATTCATAATTGGTCAAAACGGCTCACATGTCCTTATCTCAACTTTTGATCAACTATCTACTGACATTTAATTGAAACAAATACAGGGTGGTGCAGAATTCAGAATTTTGATAACCCGGCATATGTCCCAATTAAATATCAGTAGATAGTTAATCAAAAGTTGAGATAGGGACATGTAAGCCGTTTTGACCAATTATGAATAGTTTCGACACAAAAAATTCTTGAACTTGGAAAATCTCGATTATTCACACCCTATATTTCAGTAATTATGACTGCTAGACCCCAAGTATGATGGGTCGTTGAAATCAGCTTATCAGGGAGAATCTCAAAATGAAATGATATATAGGGTGTTCGATAGAAAAAAGTTCAACTTCAGTGTTTTATGGTTTTTGGGGACACCCTGTATGTTTCGAAATAATTTTAAATGGTAGCCTATGTTGACATGCAACTTCCTAGAGAGGAAGAATTCCAAGAAGATAAGTGGTTAGCCTTCTAGAGACCGAGGCGTTACTGGTGGCCCACCTTGTATAATATATGATAAATGCTTTCCTCGTTCTCAAACACAGGCGATAGATATTTATGGTAATCCGCAGAAATTTGTCATCATTGTTTTCTGCTCAAAATGATGTTGGATCAGGACAAAATGTAAACAATTTTGTATCTCCTCTTTTTATATATCCATGGGGTAATAGGGAAGTTTCCAATATTGAGGTTTTTATCTCATTGTAAAGTTTGTAAAAAATTGATATATACGTATTTTTTTCTTTTTTTGGTAAGATGAAATTTCACATCAGAAAAAAATAAATGAAAGAGGAACTTCGCTCCTCCACCAATCCTATGACTTACGTGCCAGTACGACGTTGCCGACATCATCAATATGTCTAGATTTCCGGAAATTGTTCATGGAATGCATAATAACTGTATCATACCAGCAATGGGATATAATAGGTTCTTCATTCCTACTTTGTCAAGTATTATGAATAATTCCCATAAATCTCTTATTGGCTGAATGAAGTTGATTACTAATAAAGATAAATTATGATATTTTGCGATAGTATCGATAATTTTTTTGCTAATGGATTCGTTCCTTAATAAACCTGATCTTTTTTCTAGGAAAGTTGCAGATTATATCTTGCAACATCGCCTAATACTTCAAGTCCGTCCACACAACTCAAAATACTGACAGGTACAAGGGGAAGGAGCCATGGGTGTCGGCTTCATTCTGTTTCGACCGATGGCAGTAAATTAGGAAGGATTGTATCATTTAATGTAGCCGATGGTGATTCATTGATTCAATGATATTTTCGTTTAGGATCAAGCTCTATTCGAGATATTTCAATGCATAAATAACAAAACCATAACCTGTCAGAACGAAGCCAACTACCTTTTGCATTACTGCTCCGAGTGCATTTGTGGTTATGTATGTTTTTGTCTACCAGTTCTACTTCTTTTTCTATTTTTTTCAATCGTTTCTCATTCGTTAGCTATGCGCTAACTATATTCTTCACATCAGATATTTTCAGAATAGATTCAGAATATTCGTCACAGTTTGCCGCCCCGAAAATTAGAAATCGCTTCAATTTGAAAATGAAAACGACTTGGAGTTTATCGGTCGCCATTCTGTACAGCGTGGACATAAAACTGGAGAGTTCCGAACTTATTTCATGAAAATTCATCTGAAGGCAACTTCCCCATTCGAGGAGATAATCACGTGAGAAGTTTGAGGAAGTTCGGGCAGTTGGAAGTTTGAGAAAATAGTACTGGGAACATCGGACACGTTTGAGAAAGTTGTCGGGAAGTCACTTACCTTGGGGACTTCCTGCTTCCTGGCCCGCTGCTTCTTATTCGAATTCGGGGTGGCGTTTTCTACCACCTTGGTGACGTTGCCCACGGGTACCGCCCAATTCTTGAACGGGTTCTGCGCCACCTTGTTGAGCCGTACGATGAGCGTTTGGCCGCTGTCGTGGCGCGTCTGCTCCGACAGGTGCTGGATGAGGTTCTCGAAGGCCTGCAGGGACGAAATGCCGAACCATTCGCGCCACACCAACTCGTCAAGAAACTAAGAGGAAAATATTAACATTCATTGATCCTAAGAATCAAGAAACATGTCTATGGAGGGACACGAAAAAAATTGAATATCCAATCAAATGGAAGATGAAAAGTTTAAATCACATTGATCCTTCAGGTCACTCTTGAATTTTATTTCATTCATCATATATATCATATAACATTGATCAGAATAAAACCATACAAATATACGGTCCAATATCTATCAAGCATCGAACATATTGGTTCTTTCAGTCGGATTCAACCTTCAAGACTGCCAAGTTCGTCACAAAGGATACGGATCAGCATTCAAGACTACATGGAATAACAATAAATGCCAAGCAGAACAAGAGTGATACATTTTATTCTGTTGGGTAAACTCATGAATATTTTAACCACAAATAATGTTTTTTCCAAATTGGATTTGTATAATGACAGTTTCCAAAAGTAAGATTCCAATGTTTTTTATTGTTAGTGAAATGGATAAAAATGCCTACTTTCATTCTGAAGAGAGAGTCAATATCTAGCTGATCCTTTGATTTGTAGTCGAGATGTTGATTCCAAGAATGGAATTTTATGTATAATATACTAGCAGACCTCGCAAACGTTGTTTTGATATATACATCATTTCTATAATATATTTTTTCAGTTCAATATTCATCAAGACACTATTTTCATTTTATTATCTACATCTTTTTAGTTTCGCTATCTATAAAAGCGTGTTTCTTCAGTTTTTCAATTTACCATTTATTTCAACTTCATTTTATTACACTTGAATTTCTCAATTTTGACGAAAGAATCATAATATCCGACTCCTAAAACCCTAGATGAAAATTTTGAATAGAATCGGAACATAATTACAAAACTTGTCAGCAATATTGGATTGGACGAAGGAATCATAATTTTAAATCCCGAAAACGCCCACTTACAAATTTTGTATCGAATCGGTATATGTAATTACGAAACTCGTCCGGTATATTGGTTCCACCGTCTTGAATTTCGAAATCCCGCCCTTTCCAAATTTTGACAAAAGAATCATAGTCTCCGACCCCGATAACATCCAGATAACAATTTTGAAGAGAGTCGGATCATAATTACAATACTCGTTCGCCATATTGGGTCCGCCATCTTAAATTTCCTATTTTTGACAAAAGAATCATAATCTCCGACCCCGAGAACCACCAGATACCAAATTTGAATAAAATCGGATCCTAATCACAATACAATTTCTTAATTTTGACGAAGGAATCATAATCCCCGATCACGAAAACCCCTAGGTACCAACTTTGAAAAGAATCGGATTTTAATTGAAAAACTTGTCCGCCATATTGGTTCCGCCATCTTGAATTTCCAAATGGTACCGGGATAAAAAGTATCCTATTTCCCCACCAATTTTCAGCCAAATCGATCCAGTAGCCTATTCAATATATACAAACAAACAATCAAATCTTTCCTCTTTATAATAATTAATTTAGATTAGATGTTTAGATTAGATGGCTTCATTTTGAAGAGATTTCAGAGATTTAAGAACAGATTTTGCTGCAGTACTAGGGTGAAAAATGCTTCAAGAAAAAAAAACTAGTTTGGCGAATTTTCAAATTCTGACAAAGAATCATAATCTCCGACCCCGAAAACCCCCAGATACCAATTTTGAATAGAATCGGACCATAATCACAAAACTCGTCCGATATATTAGATCCGCCATCTTGCATTTCCTAATGGTACCGGGATAAAAAGTATCCTATAACCTCCTTCTGGTTCTAAGCTATCTCCCCACCAATTTTCAGCCAAATCGATCCAGTAGCTTCGGGGCCTATTCAATATATACAAACAAACAATCAAATCTTTCCTCTTTATAATAATTAATTTAGATTAGATGTTTAGATTAGATGGCTTCATTTTGAAGAGATTTCAGAGATCTAAGAACAGATTTTGCTGCAGTACTAGGGTGAAAAATGCTTCAAGAAAAAAAAAACTAGTTTGGCGAAAAAATTACGAATTTCAATGACACGTGTACATTGCGCAGATCGATAAAAATATTGAAGCTAGAATAAATGAACATATAAAATATTCGCACCACACCAGCTCGTTGAGACACTAAGGAGAGAAATGCTTCATTAAAAAACGAGTTTGGTGAATAATTAGAAAAATGCAATGTCTCGTATACATTGGGCAGAGCGATAAAAAGATTGAAGCTAGAATAAATGAACATGTGGAATATTCGCACCATACCAGCTCGTCGCGGAACAAAGGAGAAAAATGCTTCAATAGAAAACGAGTTTGTGAAGAATTTGCAAAATGCAATGCATCGTATACATTGGGCAGAGCGATAAAAAGATTGAAGCTAGAATAAATGAACATTTGTGAAACATGACTGAAGAATCCAAGAGATAATAGGAATAATACAAGTTGTCAACCATATCCTCTATGCAGGGTGGCTGGAATTAGAGCATCATCATTGGAATGTCGTGAACAGGAAGAAATACAGGGTCGGTTAAATAATGGCAAATTTGAGCACTTTATGCCTAACACAATGCCGTTTTGAAACTTCGAAAATTCCGAGTACTTTCGGATATCTGAAGAAAACGGAAATTGCCTAAAACATTTTTTTTTTCAATTCATTTGAAGAAATTAATCCAAATGGATGACACTTTATCATAGCCAAAATTTCTTCCCCACAAGTTCGCATTTTCAAATATAAATACGACGTTTCGTTTTCCAGAAACCACCAACAACTTATTTTTTTCAATACGGACCTGGATTTTATATGAGTTATCACAAATTTCTATTTTTGAATGTGTCGTTTACAAAATTTGACAGTTTCTGTATTTTTGTTAAATTCAATATGGTACCCAAAAAGGAATTGTCCATAAAGTTGAAGTTATTGTCTTTGATAATCTCTAAAAAATAACATCACCATGATGCATTTCAACGCCCTGTACAACTCAGAGAACCTTACTTGAAAATTAAGATTTATAAACTAGATCAATCATTCACTCCATTTTCTTGGAAATTAATTCAGCCTGTACATATCGATATAATAATTCATAAATTTTCAGAAAATACACTTTCGAAAATATCGATAGACCGACACTTAATCCCCTCCGCCATCTAGCGGCGACCCACAGAACTTTCTCGCCTTGCCAAAGAGTATCGACACGCGACCTCCGGAGTTTCATCCCCCGGCCAACAGATGGCGGCAGTTACAAAAACCAAACGGAGCCTTCGATTCATCGCATAAATACCGGCCGCAAATCGACATCTTCCTTCCTTGTCTTGGGGAGCTGGGTGGCCTATGATCGTCTAGTGAGTCCACCTCTGCTGAAGCCAATTCAAATTGCCCGCACCCACCTTATGGCGAGTGCAATTTTTGGAGGCGCCCTCTTACTTTACGAGGGCCACAAACAAAGCAAAATTATTCAGAGCGAATATTCGCGATAGAAAATACGTCGCCCTACCTGACGGTAACAACTTGAACACTTTGAGATTCGAAATTTAAAGTTTTTTCAATTTGTGTGAGCGGTTTGTTGATATAACCAATAAGAATTGACAAAAACAACTTTGTACCAATCAAAACGCCGCTTTGACGGCTTTCATCAACTCCGATAGGTGGCGTAAGTTTATTTTCTATCGCGAATAGATCAGAGAGAGGTGGACAACTATCGATAGTTTCGATAGTTTTTTCAAAAACAATCAATACTATCGAAACTTATATCGATCTAGAATTGAGTTGAAATATTTATTTTTCATTATTTTTCAATGTATTTTTTTTTTCACTTAGATCAATACTGTGGCGAAAACGGGTGAAAATAAACACATGAATAGCAATGAACATTCAATAGAGTCTATGTGGTGCTGTATATGAATGATTCAGGTACAAAACATCAGGAACAAAAATCTTCGAAATATTGAAGAGAAAAAAGACTAGCAAAAAAACTCATGCAAATTAAACATTGATTCTGACTGCTTCAGGCAAGTGCGATCTTGAGGTGAATCTTCAGGGAGGTAGTTAGGTTTGATTTTCAGAATAAATCAACTTTTCTGTTTCATTTTTAATTTTCATATTTTTGTTTGATTTCAGTTTCCAAATTTGTTTTATTGAATGAAATTTAAAAATCGATGTAATTTGACAATCTACCCCCCATAATACCGCCCTTGACTTCAGGTTTGAGCCTCTCCAGTGACTGATATATTTGTTTTGGAGAAAATTCTCTTGGACAGATGTAGCTGGGACCATAACTTTTTTTCTAGATACAACGAAAACATTGATCCAACATTATAAGTTCCATTTGAACCTATTATTTTTGTAGAAATTGGTTCATTTAGATTACCTTCGGAGCTGAATTAACTGTTATTCCGTGACTGTTGAACTCTGGGAGTCAAAATAGCTTGGTTTCTATACAAAATTTTGAACCGATAGTATTCAAAAACTATCGATTGTTTCGATAGTACAAAACTATCGATAGTTTTCCGCCATCAAAATAATTGTGCAGCTTCATGTTTAACTTGAAATATCTCGAAAAATAATGACCTAATCGCTTTGAAAAGTACGATATTCACGTGAAAAGTATTGTAGAATCAAAAAACTGTGATGAAATTGCAATTTCGCCAGTGGCGTAGAATTTAGGAGGGATCAACCAGTCACTTGCCCTGTCGTATGCCTCTGGTAGTAGCCAGAAATGTTCATCTAACATAAATCAGTAGGGTGTATAGTATCTACACTCCCCACCAAATATGACAATAATACTATGAATAGTTTCAAAGTACTGGGCACAAATGATTTTTAAATTCTCAAATAAAAACACCCTGTACGACAGGACACACATATTTTCTAAGTGATTTGGGTTGAATCATTATTTATATTTTGAAATCAGGATTCTATACTTGAAATATTTCCAATTAGTAATGAATCACCCTGGACATCTGCAAAAAAAGTTATCACTTTTTGCCCGTAGTATTATGAAAAGTTACATTTTGTAACCTGTCTACAAAGATGAAATGTCTAATTTCTTCCCCGTCACAGAATAATAACTAAACTATGCCACTCTTAATTTCGTCGCACCCCAAAATGTTGCCTCTGCTGAAATAAGAATATTTTTTTCTGCTTTAAAAGATTTGAATTTGGATCACACTGTTTGCTAGCCCAGTCGTTCAGTTATAATCTTGTAATTCTTTGAAACATAAGGTTCTTCACATAAAATCGCTACAGGGTGTTACCTGAAACTGTTGAAATTTCGAAAATTTCAAAAGTATCCCAGATGAAGAAAAACTTTTTTTTTTCAACTTTGACAGTAGAGGCATGTAGATGATCTCATTATCTCGGGACCGTTCTCGAATTGTCTCCTTATCTCTTTCATTTACAGAGTGATTTCAAATAATCAACTTTTTGGTTTTGCAGTCATAACTTTTTTCCTCGCTAACCGATTTTTGAAATCTCAGGCTCATTTTGAAGCTCAAACTTCAGATCAGATCATAATACAGTGTCTCACTCATAATGGAATCACCCCTGTATCTTTCGTAATTGTTGAGTTAGGATTCTGAAATTTGCAAAAGCGGTAGATATACTGAAGATACACACTATGACCAAGTGGAGTCGTCTACAGTGATATACACTGCTCGCCAACAGCCATGGAACCACCCACAAAAATGATATAAGTAGGCAAGATAGTTTGAAAATTACTCTGGATTCAAAATCAGGACATCCCTTTCGCTTCCTCCTGCAAATTTCAAAACCCTACTACAATAATTACGTGAGATACAGGGGTATTTCCATAAGAAGTGAGACAACATTTTATTTTTCTGAACTGAAAATTTTCCAGGAAAAATATATATAGTCAGTGAATTGGACGTCCTCATTTCGAATCCGAAGTGATGTTCAACCTATCTTCGCTCCTAATAACATTTTCTGGAAATTTGGGTGGTTCCATGGCTTTTGGCGAGCAGTGTTCATCAATGGAGATGACCCCACTTGGTCATAGTGTTAATTTTCAGTATATCTCCCGCTCTTGTAAGTTTCAGGATCCTAACACAACAATTATGAAACATACAGGGGTGCTTCCATTAGAAGTGAGACACACTGTATAAAGTTCATCTTGAGTCAATTCTAATCTTCATATCTCTTCATCTGAAGTTTCAGCTTCAAAATGAGATTTTACAAACGGGTTGACAAGGAAAAGAGTTATGACTGCAAAAGCAGGAAGTAAATTTTTTGAGATCACTCTAAATAAAAGAGATAAGGAGACAATTCGAAAAATGTCCGTAGGTAATGAGATCATCTTCATACCTCTGCTGTCGATGTTGAAAAAAAAGAGTTTTTGTTCATTTGGGATCCTTTTGAAAATTCCGAAATTTTTCACAGTTTCAGGTGACACTCTGTATCCATTTTATATGAAGAACCTCATGTTTTAAAAAAAAATACCAGATTATAGCTGAAGGACTGGGCTTGAAGCAGAACGCCCTGTATAAGTATCGCATTTTCTGAGGAATCAGTGTTTGTGCCAGAATGTTCATTTGGAAAACTTTTACATAGATCGTCCCTTGTTTTTGTGGCGCTAAGGCAAAAAACGCACTTGGTATCGTTTGTTCCAGCTCGTCTTTTTGATTTTGTGAGCATTTGTGATTGATGTTAGCTCTTAGTTACAGTGTGTTTGAATATTACTTTTATATAAAGTGTTGTCTTGCACCGACTGAGTGCCAGGTAAAGTAGTTACTCTTAATATTTTTCACGTATTTGAATGGTGCCTTATGTACATCTTCCAGATTTCATATACCACATTACACTTAACCACGTTGGTGGGTGATTGGCAAAATAAAACGACATACTTTCCATAACGACTCATTTCGCGACCTGAAACTCCCCCTGTTACAGGCTAACGAACGGTGTAATCCGAATTCAAATTGTTCTAAGCAGAAAAAAGTTTTTCATATTTCAACAATGACAAAATTTTGGAATGCGACGAAATCAGTGTTGCATAGTTTATTTTCGCCTCACCTGCTGTATGATCTGCCTGGACAGCAGCGACAGCGTGTTCTGGAACATCCTCGGCACGATCCGCCTCAGGTACTCCATGATCTGCCTATTTCCTCCGAACTCGTTCGACTGCGATTGCATCACGTTGGCGAAGCCCATGTTGATCAGCGTCTGCTTGTCGACTGTCAGATCGGCGACGAGGGTGCTCTGCGGGTGCACCCATTGGTGGATGGGCTCGAGGATCTTCGAGAAGCGCTTCTTGTAGTTGCGGTCGCCTTCCGCTTGAGGCTCCACGGCGCGCAACCTTATCAGCTTCGACACGGGTTCTTAACAAAATTGTTTAATGTTCATTTCTTATTTGACAATTTCTAGTTTTAATCTAGTAAATTCCATTATTTTTCAGTTTGAATCTAATGTTATATGACATTAATAGCTCTGATGGGTTCAAAATGGAATATTCCTACCGATTGCGCCAGTTACTCTCAAAAAACGTCCATTGACACTCAACTGTTCTTGAGATGCATTTATTTCAATTGGCAATTTCACTATGATTGAAAATAGCCTTTTTTATATGGCGAACGATCTCATACATGACTCAGTATATCAAATAGCACTTCCTCTTATGTATTGATTCCTTTACAACCGTTTAATTCATGCTTCAAAAGTGCTGCAAATTGAGAGAGTTCCAAACGACCATTTTTCGCGGTGTGAAGTCACTTGTATTTTCTTGAGGCTCCCTCTGACGACCCAAAGAGGATGCGTTGCACAAAACCACAGACACAGAACTCGAGCACAGAGTGGTTGGGTTATCTGTGGCTTGGGAGAAAAATTACTACAAAATTAACTATAGAAGAAGAACAAGATTAACCTCGAAATCTAGTTCATAGTACATTATTTCATTTCATTTTCAGTAATCTATTAGTGTCATATTATAGTTTTTATCGAGTGACAAATGCAATGACAAATGGTGACAAGACCAAGTGAGACGAATTACCCAATGAGAATGTCCGTCCGAAGTGTATGACGCGGTGTGACGCACCTTGTATTCGTCCAATGGAATGCCATCAATATTTCGCGCACATTCGAGCTATCGGTTGAATTTAGGTTCAATTTAATAATTTTTTCTGGGTCAACCGCAATCGTAAGGGAATTGAAAAAATGTTGGATTCACCCAGTATGTGTTCTAAATCGTGAAAAAAAATTCTAAAAATCATGGTGAAATTCCCTATTATAATTCAAACGTGATGTGACATTGATAGCTTCAATTGTCTCAAACAGACAAAAATCCTATCTTGCACTTCGACCACAACCTTTCATTTCACGAATACAGCATTCACAAACAACTGAATGTTCTATTATGTAATACTAATTTCCTTAGCAAAAAACTCAACTTCTAATAAATTTTACATTATAGGGATTCCCTTTCGTGCGCTCCAAGCGATAAAAAAAAGGTGTTGGACCCTAACTCAGTCATAGATATCACTAATAACAATCATATAGGCGTTAACTTACTTTATTGTTGAACTTTCTTATCGATTTTTTAGTACATTTTGATATGATTCGAAGGGCACATGACATTAGTAGCACTGATGAGTTGAAAATAGAACGCTCATACCGACTGCGCCAGTGACTATCAGAAACTATAACTAACTCAATTATTTAGACCTTTCAATTAGTCCTTGATATGCTTTAACGTCAATGAAATACATATATTTCAATCATAATTCAAACGTAGCCTAATTTCAATAGATCATTCAGCATCAATCTAAACTATGAACATGTTCTGCATTACAAAAAATTATATTTTCTTTAATAAAATCCGAAAGTTGGATGACTATGAAACTGGACTATTCCTACTGACTGCGCCAATCATTTTCGAATACGTTCTTCAGGTCGTAATCACGAGAGAAATTGATAAAAAGTGGTATTATGTAATTTGATGAACCTGAAAAGAGGATTTGTATTTCCAGAAATGACATGTATTGACCCCTTGGTCACCTCAAGTGATACTAATAGACGTATAGACGTTTAGCCAACTTTCTTATAAATTTTTTAGAACGACTGTCGTTAGTAAGGGGTTGAAACACTAATGAATACACCACGAAACCTATCCGATCAAATCCTACCGACTGCGCCAGATATTTTCGAACACATACTGATAATCATAAGATGAATGAATATGAATTGTGTAATATATCAGTGTTTTTACCTAGAATTCCGAGAACTTCGACTTTGACCTGCCTCTGATTTCCGTCCTGCGAAGTCGTCCCTAATGATATGACTCCCACCTCGACTTTGATGCCGGGACCGCCCAATGGTCTTATGTGCGTCTGCAAAGCTGCAGTACAAATCGACCTGAGCCAAGTGAACATACCCTTCACGTAAAGGTTGTCCACTTTAACCTAAAAAAATACAAACGAACTCTGTAAGTTTGTTGAGCAGTGATAAGTGGGAATACTGAGTGCAACGTTTCGTCCACATTGTGAATTGTTGCTAGCGAAAAACTCGATTTTCTCGTAATACAGTATTTTTTAGATGCGTTGCAAGACGTAAACTAGTAAGGACGATTGTGCGTGAGGTTTACTCAGCTGTTCAGTGTATGTGATTTGTTGTCTTTTATGGTCCCTTGATGGACATTGACGTTAAAGTCATCTTAACAGGGTACGGACAGATGATAGCTGCATTCTTTTTTAATGACCTAGAGACTTTAGTTTTGTCTACTGGCATCCCTGATCACGTCACGTCCATGGGCGCTACAGAAAATCATTCAAAATTTTGATAATAGGTATGTACAGGGTATTTACTTGTTGAGGAAGATCATATGGGGATCGAGTTTTGTAATTATGATCTGATTCTATTCAAAATTGGTATTTGGGGGTTTTCGGGGTAGGAGATAATGATTGTTTCGTGGAAATTGTAAAATTCAGGATGACGGATCGAATATGGCGAAAGACAATTCTAATTATGATCTGAAGTTTGGTATCAGGGGGTTTCCGGGAAGAACTGTATTTACCAAATGGTTGGAAAGAATTCTATTGCTAAAATTAATAAAAAAATTACAGAATTTTAGAAACTGCCTGATGTCATAAATTATACCGGGCATATTTTCAGAAGAACCTCGGCAAGTTTACTTGCAAATTCTGGAGGAGACATTCTTGCTTGGAAGTCTACGAATATCGCTGAAGGGTATGTGCAGCAATCTATCACAAAATAACAAAATATTTCGAACCAAATTGTGGGTCATCATTTATGAAAATATCACGAAAACTGTTTATATAATTATTACTCTACCACGAATTGAAAATATGTAGGATATGTAAGAGTGAAAATAACGTGCCCATGAGTTATACTGTATACCTACTTCTTTGTTACTTTCATCAATAAATTATTTGGAAATGACTTTTTATATAAGGGAGGCGGAAAAATCATATGTATAACATGGGGGTAAAGTATATTATATTCTTCATTTTCCTGCAATTTCACGTATTACCTTTTATAAGCCTACTTTTCGTCCTAGAATTAGCACACATGACATGAGTACAGTAGTTCAGATACCCACATCGAGGTTTTAACCATTTCTCAATCATAAGGCTCAGCTCATTCAGCTCATAGTTAAACTACTGCTCAGCTTGAAATCAGAATTCATTCAGTCAATTCAGTCAACCCTGGTATACAGTCTAAGAACAGTCTCTTTTGGTGAAATATATTGAGCTTTTAGTACAAATTATAAGTTCCCTACCTCGCAAAGATTATGCTGGAGTAGTAAACTTTAAAACTAGAGGATTGTTCAACTATATCTTAGTATAGTTGAATCATGAATAAATTACGTATGACACGCCAATGACCTCAATATAACCTAAAAAACAACAAATGTCAAAAATCTGATAGGTATTTTGAGCCGCTACCACTCGATACATCTAGAAATCTCAGAGTAGCTACTCCTTTGATTTATTTCCACTACGTGTGACCAATATTTTTAAAATAAAAATTGTTTGCCTGTATGTCAGTGTGGTAAATTATTTCTTGGTAATGGAAAGGGTTCGATCTCTACATATTGTATGTTAAGTTCTTCCATAATCACGAGATTTTTGGAAAAAATATTTTTCAGCCTATGTAAAATTCTTCCGTATCGTTAGTGATTTTCGAAAAAAATAGCACCTGTATACAAATTATCGCCCTCCCACCGTATAATTCCATTATCAACATTAGTCATAGATAAATAATCTTTTGTTCGGAAATTAATCGGTTAACAGCATGATTCAACTTATTAGTCATTCGTTAGGGACCAGGTCGTAAATCAAGACAGTCTTATATTAGATGTCATCATGTACGGTTGAATTTTGTGATCGACATCGAAAAATACGCGAAAGGAATTATTTATCGTTCCAAACTGAGTGTTCCCTAAAAATTAGTGATCGCATTGATTCGTATATAGTGTTTTTGTATTCTTCATTCGATTCAATAATAATAATATCGGGATCGTGTGTTGTTCTAGTGTTTCGTGTTGTTTCATCAAAGCCTCACTTTTTTCACGCTGGTAAGTGCAGAAAAATCATCTCAATTTTTCCTCATATTTCTTTGTTTTTATTTAACTTCATTACCCTATACAGGGTATGTCACGACGAGCTTACACTATCTTCAAATCGATAATCAGTCGGGAGAAATCCATGAAAATGTACATGCTTATATTTTGGTATACGCTCTTTTCATTAAAGATATGTTCGACAATGCAGTGTTGCCGCTTCTACTAGAAGTAGTAGTATTGTGGAGAGGCTGTAGCTAGGCAAGTAGGCTTCTACTAGAAAGTAGTACCAACATTGATATTTCGAACGGAACACCCTGTATTTTATCGCAATTTGAGATTCTCCCTGAAAAGATGATTTCATCGATGTATTATACTTGGGGTTTATCGAAAATGATTACGGAGATATAGGATGTTCAAAATCGATATTTTTCAACTTTACGATTTTTTTGTGTCGAAAATATCCATTATCGGTCAAAACGGCTCACATGTCCCTATCTCAACTTTTCTTTCACTATTTACTGATATTTAATCGGAACAGATACAGGGTGGTTCAAGATTCAGAATTCTGATCACATGCATAGTTTCATGGATTTCTCTCGACTGATTCTCGATATAGAGATAGTGTAAGCTCGTCGTGACATACCCTGTATGTTTCGTACCTTTTGTTGTATTTTCTCCGATCAAGGAATACTTTCTTCTGATTTTCGTGCTTTCTGTTCGAAACTGTATCTTTTAAGAATTTACCATCTTCAATAACTGTGATACAGAACGTAATCTTGATTTTGGCAAAATCTTCATCTATGGTCAGGTCATAACTTTTGAACCACTGTGTATAATCGAGTCATACTTGGTGGGTATATTCAACTCATGTTTCTCATCAAAACTAAATATGAATCGAATTTAGAATCCAAATCCGTCTTCAGGCAAAGCAAAAAACTTCTTTTTTTTCAACAGTGCGCATTCAATTAGAAAAATGGATTTTTTATTGAACTTGTTATTAAAAAATTCCAGTTTTCTTACAAAAAATAACCAATCCTCAAATTTCAACTTAATTAGAGCCGAATTAGGTAAACTATCGATGGATTTCGTTCCATAGAACAATTTGTCAATTATTTTAGATAGTTTCGAGTGCTTATTACATTTTCACCAACACAAATTAATTAAGTATTTTACACTCTTGAATTTTTGTACCTACTTAGTTTTATATTCCAAAATTATTAATCTCAGTATTTTCAATAATAGCTCTTCAAACGAACACACTACACTGTTTTACCACTAACCAAACCGATTATTTAACGCCTCGACACGTGTTTCACTAACTATGTTAGCATCTTCAGGAGAAGATTAAAACTCTTCGATATATCTTCAAACGAAATTCATATTTTTTCACCATGCACAGCATGCATCCTCTGGCGTCAATATACCTATAAGATCTGCGCAATCCAAGTAATTAGCACCTGTATACAAAATATCTCCCCCCCCCCGTATAATTCCATTATCATGTTTATGTTTTGTTCGGAAATTAATCGGTTAGCATGATTCAACTTATTAGTCATTCATTCGGGACCAGGTGGTAAATCAAGACAGTCTTATATTAGATGTCATCACGTACGGTTGAATTTTGTGATCGACATTGAAAAATACGCGAAAGGAACTATTTATCGTTCCAAACGGAGTGTTCCCTAAAAAATGAGTGATAGTAATCGAAAATTTCAAACAATGGAATTGCAGAAATCATTTTTTACCTTTTTCACGTTGGTGAGTTTTTTTAATTTTTTCATTATGAGTGATAGTATAATCTGATAGGTATTTTGAGCCGATACCACACCATACATCTAGAAATCTTAGAGCAGGTACTCCTTTGATTCATTTTCATATACATATACGTATTTTTTGTGAGAAATGTATGCGATTAGAACAAACTCGAAGAAAATTTGTCAATCCGTATCGCTGACTGTGCTAGGCTAGGTACCAAAACTGCCAATTTTCACAGAGGAATTTTCGAAGTCGTCAAAATTTCTATGAAATGTTCACACACGAATTGTCAAACTCTCATTATTATCCATACACTCAGATTGGAAATTTGTCTCGAAATAAAAACATGAGGTTCTTCATAAAAACTCGCTTTGGATTTTGAAAAGGATCCCAAATGAACGAAAACTTTTTTTTCAACTTTGACAGCAGATTACCTTGAGATATTTTTCTAATTGTCTTATTATCCCTTTTACTTACAGTGATATCGAAAAATTAACTTTTGGTTTTGCAGTCATAACTTTTTTCCTTCCCAACCAATTTTTAAAATCTCAGGATTATTTTGAAGCTGAAACTTCAGATGAAGAGATATGAAGATCAGAATTGACTCAAGATAAACATGGAAGCATCCCTGAATCTTTCGTATTTGTTTAAGTAGGGATTCTGAAATTTGCAGGAACGGTAGATACTGAAAGTACACACTATGACCACAAAAATGAAAAAGGCGAGTTAACTAATTATTTTTATTTCTCAAATAGAATCATCACTCAAATAACTTTCAATTTCATATACAGTTCTCAACACACCAAATGGACCACTCATAATTTGACTCTATTTCGAAGACCTTTACCGATCTTCATGCGGTTTTCGATATCAGATGTGATATTTCATGGGCTTCAAAGAGATCTAGAACACTCTGAAAAAGTCCGCAGAACAAAACTTACACAGGGTATGAAGTGGAACCATTACACTATGGTCTACATTTCCAATGCTACCAGAACTCGAGAAATTTTTTTCTGATCAAAAGTCAGTCATATACAGGGTGGCCCACGGTCGATGGTACCTTAGACGTATACGGAAAACGGTACATTGGATTATCCTGAAAATTTGGTTACTCTAATAAGCGTTTGTGATCTAACGATTCAAAATATTTTCAGCGAAGCAGCGTTGCCACTTTCACCAAAAAGTAGCATCATCTTTGTTATTTCGAATGGAACACCCTGTATTTTATTGCGTTTTTAGATTCTTCTCGAAGAGCTGATTTCATCAATGTATCACACTTGGAGTCTAGCAGGAATTATTACAGAGATATAGGATGTTCAAAATCGAGATTTTTCAACTTTAGGATTTTTTTGTGTCGAAACTATTCATCATTGGTCAAAACGGCGTACATGTCCCTATATTAACTTTGGATTAACTATCTACCGACATTTAATCTTCATGATAGACTGATTATGATTGGTGACTTGACAACGTTGCTTCATGAGTGGAAATGAAAGATTATTTTTGCATTATTGCAGTATCATTGCAGAGAAAAGTGTTGTTATCTGCCTGCCTCGTCTTCATTGAGATATTTGATGAATTGATGAATTACAAAAATATATCGCGTTCCAGCTACGAATGTTGGAAATATTATTCAGGTATGTTTTAGATTTAACATCCATGTTCCGCCTCATGAAAATCGTTATTAATTTTTATGGACTTCGATATTTGATGACATCATGTTTATTTGCAGACGTGAGAAGCAAAGTGTTGATACTTTGTCACTGAATTAGAAAAAACCATCCAGTCACGACGAATCGATCAAAGAATCCCCAAAGAGAACTGATCAGAGTATACTTTACAGAATTCAGATAATTATATTCGTACGGTAGGCGATATATTGATATCCTTTCCAGATTCTCAAGAAAACAGATTAGACAGATATTCAGCTTTATGTCTCTATGGAAACACGACAGGTACCCTTACGAGGGGAGAGTATCAACTCGGCGTTTATAAACCCTCTCTGCAAAGGAGGTAGACGCATGGTGGGTTAGGTATATACAGTGTTCTTCATTGCAGAGAAAATTGTTGTTTATCTGCCTGTCTCGTCTTCATTGAGATAGTTGATGAATTACAAAAATATATCGCGTTCCAGTTATGAATGTTGAAAACAATATCCAGACTTTTCATAGATTCATATTCTATGTAGGTCTCACGATTCCAATTTGAAATTGATACTTAGTTTTAGATCTGAGCAGCCCATTGTTAGGCCTTCAAGGTCCTTAATATTACCCACGTAATTGAACATGTGGAAGTTGCCTACTGGAAGAACCACTATACGGAAAGAAAGCGGATATCTAGCAATCTATTTACGGATGTTAAAAATATTATTCAGGTATGTCTCAGAATCAACATCTATGTATTTCCTCTTATGATATTTTCTGATTCAAATGTACTTCGATTCAAATGTGATGTTTAGTTGCAGATCCAAGAAGCAGTGTTTGATACTTGCCACTCAATCGGAGAAAACCATTCAGTAAATACGAACCGAACAGAAGATCCGCAAGGAGAACTGACGAGAGTATACTTTACAGAATTCAGATCATTATATTCGTACGGAAGGCGATATATTGATTACCTTTCCAGATTCTCAAGCAGACAGATAGACAGATATTCAGCTTTATGTCTCTATGGAAACACGACAGGTACCCTTACGAGGGGAGAGTATCAACTCGGCGTTTATAAACCCTCTCTGCAAAGGAGGTAGACGTATGGTGGGTTAGGTATATACAGTGTTCTTCATTGCAGAGAAAATTGTTGTTTATCTGCCTGCCTCGTCTTCATTGAGATAGTCGATGAATTGATGAATTACAAGAATATATCGCGTTCCAGTTACGAATGTTGAAAACAATATCCAATATTCTATGTTGGTCTCACGATTCAAATTTGAAATTGATCCTTAGTTTTAGATCAGAGCAGCACATCGTTTGGCCTTCAAGGCCCTTAATATAACCCACGTACGTAATTGAAAATGTGGAAGATGCCTACTGGAAAAAACACTATTCGGAAAGAAAGCGGATATGTAGCAATCCAGTTACGGACGTTGAATATATTATTCAGGTATGTCTCAGATTCAACATCCATGTAATTCATCTAATGATATTTATTTTCTGATATGAATGTACTTCGATTGATATGATATGTTCTGTTGCAGATCAGAGAAGCAGTATTTGATACTTGCCACTCAATCGGCGAAAACCATCCAGTCCATACGAACCGAACAGAAGATTCACAAAGTGAACTGACCACAGTATACTTATGGTGACTAGTTATGTTATATACTTGGTATATTATGATTTGATGACCCCGACGTGATATTATGGAGCAGTTGAGCGAAGGCGAGATAAATTTTATTCATAGAAATCCTGATTCATTAGATATATAGAGATAAAATCTATAAAGAATATCAATCATTGGCAATGATTCCACAGAGTTATCCCCACCATTCGAGATTTCTTTCATTTATCTGTGTTTGGCGTATACATTTTAAAGATTCATGAATGAATCGCGATGTCTTTCTGATGTTATTTAGTCTGAGTGTTGAACAGTCAATCATCGATATAAACACGACCACACATCACCTCGCAAAACTCAAACACATAGATATTATAGATAGTATCAAGACGCAACCTAGATTAAATTCACTAACAAGCTGATCCACTTAATTGTGGAATGTCGAAGCCAAATTTGACTTTAGTTCTTGGCTGGTTCGTAGGCGGAGTTAGCGAACTCAGCAAACTCTGGACGATTTGTCTTTTCTCTCGGAATCTGCTAGAGTCCATCTATCTGTAAGTTGCTAAGCTATCTAGCAATATCCTCCTTCCTGAAGCAGGAAAATTACTAGCTTTTATATCCTGAAGGTTTTTAAATAACAATAGTTATTTACACACCAAGGTAGTAACCAACCAACAACCAAGGTTTATATTAAATGTTTTTCACCACTAGCAATATAATTCAATTATTTTAGTTCTATGAAACCGAAATATGGACTTATATTCACTATGAAAGCACTTATTTTCAATACTTAGTCATGACCATGACAGCATAATGACAATAAGTCGTTATTGATAAATACCAACTAGATTCGAGTGCCATTCCTGCAAATATCTAATCAGAACAGTGCATTCGGGTTAATTTCAACAGAGATGGCTATGTCTTTATTGACTAGTGGTGTATAAAATGACAAAAACTACCTTGGCAGTAAAAACACACTTCACGCCTCTAGAAGGAGTAAATAATGGTAGGTTTCATAGCTAGTGGTGGAAAAATATATTTTAATCTGGCCCTGATGTAATATTCCTTCTCATCTCGAATATATTACCGATCTCTATTCTCTACCCTTCGCAACTCAACAAAAAGTAGTTCACCTTATCGCTCATAGATATCGCCACCTACTGAATATGATTTCTGGCTTCATTGCGCTCATGAGGATGGTTCATGTTAGTGTAAATGGGCAAATAGGTAGTACAGCTAAAATGAAGACTCAAACTCACCCATTGAGTAACATTCTGTATGTTTGTCTGGCACGCCCAATGGTACAGCAGCTTGAGAATGACCATGGGCGGATGCGGCGAACCCTCGAACAGAGACCCGCTGAAGACAGACACGAACCGCTGCGGGCAGCATTCGGATATCCAGACGTAGCCGCCTGAATAAGGGAACTTGGACACGTCGCTGTACATGCCGAGCTTGAGCTGAGTGGAGGTGTGCACCGAGCATTTTTGCTCCGACCTCACCAAGCCTTGTTGGATCAGCCTAAAGTAAAATATAATGATGAAGAAAATGAAAAAACTCCACCGCCCCGTGTGAGAGTCGAACTCACAACCTCTGGGTTACATGCCCAACGCTCTACCAATTTAGCTAACGGGACAACGTGACTCGAATATTTAAGGTTATGTGTATCGCACCGCCGTACAAGCATAGTTCTGAAAACTCGAACTCTGAGCGGGCATCGAGCAAGTTTGAAAGCCAGTGGAAATCATTTCTCGACAAAAGTTCTCTCTTGAAATTCTCAGTGGACCACGCAAAACGAACTCAGTGCCGATAAAGTTCTAGTGCTAGTTCTAGTGCGACGAGTAGAAAACGCTATACATAAGTACTTTCGAATAGGTACCTACTAAATATTTAATTGATTGCAAACTACAATAAAATAGATTTAATTTTTGTTCAATTTGCGGGATTTTATTTCATTTCATGTATAAATTTTAGTCCAATACAAAAAGAATATATGGGGGCACTAACAAATTCTCGTTCCTTGGGGCCCTGAAACTCTCAAGATGGGCCTGTCAAAGTGGTGTTAACGATGATGTGAATGAGCCCTGGGGTAGGCACTGCACTTCCATCATGGCCTATCCTACAAGTCTTGGGAGAACAGTTTAGATTGCTGTTCTATCAAAATAACGTACTGTATTCACTGCTAACACACCAGTAGGCCCTTTTCAGATAAGTTTGATTTTACTTATTTTTTTCTGTGGAATATTTACGTGAACTCCATGTTATCGCTTTGAATTCAATTGTGCCACTCACCATTCTGTGAATTTGGTAGGAGCGTGCATCAGGACGGACTTCACCTTGGAATCCAATTTGGGCCTGTCGACGGACAAATCCTGCACCCTGAGATGGGGCCTCGCCACTACGACTAGAGATGGGTATGTCTTGCCCTGCAACTGCACTCAAAATCAAAACAATCAACCAATTATGAAATTTTCTGCGTCGACTTTCTATCAACAAGGTTAATTTATGTACAGGGTGATTATACAGAGAAGTGCATAAAAAACGGCCAGGATTGTAACTTTTGAAATATTCTAGATAGGGTTTTGAAAATTGGTAGCAAGTATATCAAATAGCTCATTAATTGATGAAACAATGTTTCTTCTGTCACTTCCAGTTTCACCGGAAACGACCCCAACTTTTGATTTTTAAATGGGAACCCTGTAGTGTATTCTATCTATAATCGGTTAAGGATTATCATGACGAATTCAACGATACCGGGTTTGACAGTTATTTCAAAGGATTACGAAGATATTCGCGTTCGAAGTTTCCATATGCTCATTGGGTGTGACTTCTTTTTCGGTCACACTCATTGAACATATGGACACTTAGAAAGCGAATCCGGTATCGATGAATTCGTTGTGACAATCCCTAACCGATTATGGAATACAATACAGGGTGTCCCGTTTAAAAATCAAAAGTTGGGGTCGTTTCCAGTAAAACCGGAAGTGATAGAACAAACATTGTTTCTTCAATTAATGGTCAATTTGTTATACTAGCTGCCCAACAATTTTCAAAACCCTATCTCGAATAATTCAAAGGTTAGTCCTGGCTGTGTTTTGTGCACTTCTCTGTATATATTTTACCCAAAAGCTATCCCAGTTAATATTGATCTAATAAAAACGTTTAAATGGGGTGAAATGAAGTATTTTTATGGGCGTTCAGCTTCAAGTACTAGGAAATGCAAAAATGCATCGTAAATCTCAAAATTTTACATAAAATATTTGAACTACAGCAATAAACAACAAATAAGTGTACTGTATGTGCAAATTGCAAATATGTTTCAAATGTTTGCTTCCAAAGGCGTTATTGTAGCGTATATCACAATTGTGAGCCACGGGAGTCAACGTGATTCGATTGTAATTCCTGTTTTTGAATAAAAATTTAATTGCAGGACGAAGTGATGATGTAGTTGATCCGGACCGCCTTAGAAATGATCAGGAGGAATTATTTCAACTCATGGACGAACTGGGGTCGAATTTTGGGTCTGAAACGGAAAAAGATGAGTTTGATTTACCTGAGGAGCCACCAACTGAGAGAACAGATGGAATCAACAATTCTTCAGATTCTGAAGATGATCTACCTCTTTCATATTTTCAAAAGTTGCAGTGGACACGTAAAAATTTCAAAAGCAAAGATTTTCCTGCCAAAGAAAATATTACTCCAACCAGTCTAATAATCCCGAATGAACCTTTTGCTGAATATTTGAACGATGATTTCTTTTAATTAGCTGCAGGTTACATATATCAATATTTATTGCAAAAAAATGAAAAAGAAAACAACTTCACCCCCCAGGAAATAAAGAGACTTTTCGGAAGGATTATTTGATGGGATGTATTCATCTTCTTGTGCTTTTATATGTTCACTCCCAAGACTCACAATTGTGAACCCCCTGAAACACCAAGGAAAACAATCTTATTTTATTTATAATAATTATTGACATGCCCTGTTCACCTGATTTCATCGGTGTAAATTGAATATGAACTGTAAATTCAATTTTTCTTATCTCGGTTCTGTAAGGGTTAAAAAAGGTTTACCTTGTTGAAGCTGATCTCGCGGCTGTCGGGCAGATTGGCCCTGTTGTCGTCGGCGGTGAGGTCGACGACGACCTTGGGCTTAGGGGCGGCCGCAGCGGCGGAGGCAGGCGCGCCCAACGTCAGCCCGCCCTCGACGCTGGTCTCGGAGGGGCGGGCGGTGGTGTACGAGTTCGTTTGCAGCTGCACCATCGAACAAGTCATTTCATTTATTTTTCCGTCGACCTCGTATAAACGAAGTTTAATGTATATGAAATCGTTCATTAATGACCCCTATTAATGGACGATTTGTCTATAAATGCACGATTGTTTTATAGGCAACCAAACATACACCTCGTGCATTCATTGTTTATGCTATAACTAGCGGAATCTGCATTTAAATCGAAAATAAGGATTTCATCGACAATTTTCCGTTAACGGGTTCGCCTTTCCAAGTTTCTGACACGATTTTAATCCCTGTTTTCTAACAGAAGGAATTTATTTCCTATGTTGATCATTTCGACAAATGTCAAATGACACTAATGTCAGTAACAAGGCTACTGGGTGATTATTAACAGTTTCCGGATGGATGATGAATTCGCGAACCAAGTTTTCTTCATTGCAGGAGAAATGAGAAACATAGTCGACGGAAAAATTTTGTAACCAACTTGTATATTAAAAGGCGATTAATGATCTCGAACATTAACGCACTCGCTTCGCTCGCACGTTAAAATATCTCGATCATTAATCGTCCTCATTGATACACTAGTTGGTTAAATAACTATTTCGACTCAGGGCCACTTTATAAAAAACTTCCAGACTTAGGATTTAGCACCTAACATTTGAGGCTTATCACTTGTAACAGATGGAACATGTGAACTTTCTCAAAATTAGCTATATTTTCAGCCATCAATTAAATTTCACCCTGTATATTTTTTTAATAAATCGATTTATATCATAACCTTATATGAATAACTCACCCCTCTCGCTCTGGTATTCACAGTTGCCTGCGGCACAGGGGGCACTGATTTTTGTACTGCTGGCGAAGATTTCTGCACAGTAGTAGTCACCTGAAATAAGTGGGATATACAGGGTAACCTATCAATTTTAATAGCACAGTGCCTGTTGCATGAAGCTATCTGTAAACTCAAGGAGGAATCATCACTCCTATACAGGGTGTCCGGAAAGGTCAAGTCATAAATGATAGACTGAGACAAAATAATATTAGTACTTTATATAAAAAAATATCTATCGCACTTCGTTACGGAGTAATTGACCTTGAAAGTGAGAATAAAACGATACGCGTCAGGCATCATACTTCACACGCGGGAGGAAATGGAAACCTTTGCTCCCTTGATATAAAATAGAATAGTTTATTATCATGTAAGATATACAGTGTATATATGTATATGAACGTCAGTACAATGGAAAATCATGCAACCCTGCATTTCAAAACTGGAATTGTACCAGATAAAATGAAAATTGCTAAAGTCATACCGATACATAAATCTGGAAAAAGAGATGATCTTAATAACTACAGACCGATTTCAGTTCTCCCGATCCTCTCAAAAATTATTGAAAAAATGATGAATAAGCGCATTCTTGATTTTCTTGAAAATAATGGTCTGCTATACAGTGGTCAATATGGATTTCGCCGATCGAAAGACACTGAGGTAGCAGTTATGGATGTAATTTCGGATATTCAGTTTAAAATTGATCAAAATTATAAATGTGGTCTCTTGTCTTTAGATTTATGTAAAGCTTTCGATACTGTAAATCATGAAATTTTACTGAGCAAAATATATTCAATAGGTATAAGAGGAAAAATATTTGATTGGTTAAAAAATTATCTGGAAAATAGAAAGCAGTATGTTGAAGTCAATAATATTTGTAGCTCCGTAAGAGAAATCAAATGTGGTGTACCACAAGGTTCCGTTTTAGGTCCAATTTTATTCTTAATTTACATCAATTCAATATCATCTTTGAAACTGAAAGGAGATCTGAAGTTATTTGCAGATGATACTACAATAATCTATTCCTCTAAAGAATTTAACGATATAGTTGATGATATAAAAAGTGACTTGAAAATGATATCATCTTGGCTACAAATTCATAAGCTGACCCTTAACTATGACAAATCTGCGTATATGTATATTTCAAAAAGAAAAACTGATATGTCGAAAACAACAATATTTTTCAACCAGAAAGCCATAAAATATTTAGATATTACAAAATTCTTAGGTCTTTATATTGATGAACAATTATCGTGGACTAAACATATAGATCACCTGAGAAAAAAACTCAATCCAATTACTGGCATTTTATACAAAATTCGAAATTTCATTCCTCTTAGATATTTGAAGAATATATATTTCTGTCTGATTTACTCAAAATTACAATATTTAATATCAATTTGGGGAAGCACAAGTATATCACATTTGAAACCATTAATGAAATTACAAAATAAAACAATTAAGTGCATTTACAATTTACATTACCTGGAACCAACTATTAATCTTTACAAACCAAAAAATCTGTTGAATTTATCATCTTTATATAAAATGAAAATTTGTTCTTTCATCCATTTTGTGAGAAAAAAAATAAAAATATCCAACTTGAACTTTACTGAAGTAAATACAATTCATACTCATGCAACGACACAGTTGAATTCATTAATAGCAAACCCATATAACTCCATCATTGGCAAACAATCAGTATTCTACAACGGAATCATTTTATATAATTCATTACCTACCTTATGATTTGAAACATATTGATGATGAAACAAGATTCAAAGTCAATATGAAAAAATATATACTCATGACACAATAAACGGAGCAATTTATTCTCATTTGAATACTTGGAATGGTTTTATTTTAATTATTATGTTATATTGACATAACTTGTTAATTAGTTTTTTTTTTTTTTTTATTGTTTTATATATATATATATCATATGTTTATGTATCCCTATTATAAACAAATATGTTTCTTGGGGTAATAAAGAACAACAACAATTTACATAGTGGTTATTTAAAGATAAAAATGAATATAAAAGTTTGAACATTATCGATAGATGTATATATAAAAAAAGAAGTATTACTAACATGGATGCAAGTTACATAACATTTTTAAACACGACACATGTATAACAGATTATCACTAACATTTTATCGCTAACATTGATGGGGATTTACCTATTCATATATTCTTCTATAGAATAAAACGCATTTTCGATAAGGAACGCTTTCACTTCTTGATTGAATTTGCTGCAGGTTTCAACATTTTTAATGCTCACAGGTAACTAACTTGTTATAAAGAGTAATACCAGCATGGTGTGGAGATTTTTCATACAATGACGTAGAGTGGTGTTCTGTTTTCAGGAGGTGATTTTGTATTGTGTTATAGATCTTATTTTCTATGGTTTTTTGACAAAATGCAATATTCTTCCTAATGTATTTTATTGTGCTATAAATATATATGCAATGAATAGTTAGGATGCGCTCGTTCACAAAATAGGTGCGACAAGAATCCCTCAAGCCCAGGTCGAATAATAGTCTTATCAACCTTTTTTGTAACACAAATACTCGATTTACTCGTCTTGCTGCTCCCCAAGCAATAACATTGAATGATAACTGGGAATATGCCAGTGCATAGTAAACATTTGTCAGGTGTTTTATAGTGAACAAGTTTTTCAACTGTCGAATAGCAAAATAGGCACTATGAAGTTTTTTGCATACATGGTCTATTTGGAGGTCCCAACATAAACAGTGGTCAATTCTGGTTCCTAAGAACTTGGTGTGAGTGGAGAAGGTGTCTGTGGGCAATACATCTGTTAGATTATTTTGCGGTGTTCTTCTTTGTGAAAAATATATGCATTCTGTTTTACCTATATTCAGAAGAAGAATATTCTTATAGCACCATTCTTGATATGCTCTTAGTATTGTGTTTATTTTTTCTTCGAGTTCATCAGCGTTGCTGCCAGATACTATAAGTGAGTTGTCATCAGCATACATAACGATTTGGCAGTCCTGAATAAACTAGGGTAGATCATTCACGAACAATAAGTTAAATAGTTATTAATCATCTCACAAATGATTTATGCAATCGACCCTAGAATTATTGTTGAAACTTATTAAAACAAACATTTTATTGAACTTAATTACAAACTTCTCTTTGGGATTCCCTGTACCATATGGCTTATTCTAAATCGGAAGATCTCAGAGACAATCCATGATTTTTATCGTTTTCAAGACAATCTTTACCTTCTTCGCATTCGTCGGCGTCGTTTGCACGACGTTGGCCACCATCTTCCTGGTCTGGGGCACGTTCCACGTGGTGGGCGTGCTGGCTTGGGCAGCCATGCCGCCCCTGTAGCCGCCCCTGCGACCTCGCCCGCCCCTCGTCATCGTCGGAGTGGTGGGCGGCTGTTGGAGGTTCTGAGCGACCTGTCGCACAAAAAAATTCGTTCGATACGTTTGAAATGAGCTCCGAAATTCAACAATTTCGAACAACGCATACAGTCTGTATAATATTTCTTTGCGTGTGACTGAAATTAGCGTAGACCTACGCGCAACTGGCTATCCTCTTCAGACTAGCATATAGAGCAGCAATGTCAATCATGACGTTTGTTGACATAAGTTACGACATCGTTTTTGAACTCATCGGGTTAAAAGCTCAAACAATGACGGCTAAATGGACTGTCTGACGAGTACTACATGACTGTCCAATCACTCAGTACAGTGTATTCTCCACCAGAGGGGTTTACTTGCCGTCCTTTGCGGAGAAGTCATTTGTTTACCTCTTATTCGGTTGTTTTCCAATAACATAGGTTATATTGAATTATTATTATTATCAAGTGTCAAAACTGTGTCACTGTCAGGTCCCTGATGTGTTCTGTTGAATATCGATAAATTCCTTTACTTTTTAGGATTTTCATTCAATCAAGCATTCCTCTTTGTGTTTAGTTCTGGTAGTTTATTTATTCAGGTTTGCTAGTTGTGTCTTCATATAACCACTTCATTTTGTTGGCCTTTACACAGTTTTACTTGGTATCTCGAACAAAGCTCTCCAATCTCGACTGACAATGAGTGACAGGCTGACAGTGAGAAAATTTGTCAACAAAAGTTGCAGGATCATGAATGCAGGTTATGTTGAATAGCTCATTTGACACAGGAAATAGATGACGCCACTTGCCGTCCCTTCAAAATATCATTACAAGGCGATTTGGCGATTTTCGCTGAATGAACAGTCATGTATAATCCGTCAGACAGTCCATTTAGCCGTCATTGGCTTAAATACAGAGGTTTTCGTATGTCGACACATATTTGAATCGGCTGATTCAGAGGCGTGCAGTAGGTGCTGAAATGACATCGTTTTGCGTGGCCATTGCCAAATATTCAACATGCCAGGAAGACGTTTGATTTCGCAAGCACGAAGTCTTGTATCGAATTTGTGACAATATTTCACAAGAGAGAGGGAAATAATGGTCCTTTAATCCCGTTTACTTCCATACAACAGGTAAATTCTTCCTGATCAGTAATAAAAATAGTCAGACCGTACTTCAAGAATGTCACCATGATATACATAATTTTAGCGTGTCGCTGATACCCTTACGTTCTGAGAGAAAGTTTGAGTATGCCAGGGAAATCTAGGACTAAAATAAACCCAAGACAGTAGATCTGGATGATAATTTGAAAATGGAAGTACGCAATGTGATCTATATATACTATGTATGCAGAAAGTAAGTGATTTCATTTGATACTTCTTGACTACCTTCAACTGACTATTTTACAGAAAAATACATCACTCTTAGAATTTTGAAAGAAGAACTCAGAACTCAACATATTCTTGACGCAAGTATAGGCACATTGAACAAACTCCTCACAAATGTAGGATTCAAATATAAAAATGAAGACAACAGACGGTTATTGGTTGAGAAGACGGACATATCTATAATGAGAGCAGAGTTTTTCAGAAAGTTTTATGAAAATCGTAATTCTAGTTACCCTAGATGAAACTTGGATATTTGCGAAAGGGAATAAGATGAGAGCATGGCAAGATCAAAGTACAAAAAGTGTTCGTAAACCAGAAGGTTATGATGGGAAACGATTAATTGTACTTCATGCTGGCCATAGTGGTGGTTTTGTGGAAAATGCTGCATAGTAATATACCAAATACCTAAAATGATTCAATAGTGTTCGGCGTTGCCACGACCACAGAATACCTTCTTCTTCTTCTTCGAAGCACTGGTGGGCGGGTGAACCCCCTGCACGTGGGCCCCCTTATTCGGGCCCATTGTGCGCCCACATGTTACGACATTCAGCTGGGTATGCCGACTGCCTTGGAGAAGTTCAGCAGCTTCCTCAGCTGAATCTCTTTTACGTCCTCCTTCACAGAATACCTTACAAAAGCATTCAACAGATGTGTATATCGGGTCATATACCACCCCTCACGTATATACATACCAAAGATCTGATACATGTTTTTGCCGTCAATAAATTGACGAATTAAAGAGGTCAAAATTGAAATATATACCAATCCTATGTTTTATTGAATGTTTCTTACTCAAAATTACCTGGAGTAGTGAATAAAAATTTTCTGAATGAACCCGATTTCTGAAGCAGCACGGCACTGCTTCACTGGAACACATGACCTTGAATTGATTTGATTCGTTTTTTGAAGTTGTGAGGTAGTGCAAAGAAATATTATACAGACTGTATGCTCATTATTTACATAAAAGAAATGTGAGAAGTGCTGCAAAAATGAATAAAGGTCCCTAACTACACAGTGGAGTAATTGAATGCAAATAATTCATTATAAGTCCAGCCAATTGAGCATCTCATGTTTGAGTGCGGACGAAAAATATAATTTTATTAGAACTTCAACTTTAAGATAAAAAAGCCTTGTAACTCTGAAAAGAAAAAAGTAATTATATGATTGCAATGCAATCTTACCAACATCAGTTTTCATCAATCTAGTTTCTTCAAATAATATCTAAAATATTTTTCTTATTTGTCAATCAATTAATACACAACCTGAAATTAGCAATAATTATATCATGTTACAGCAAAAAATTGCATGTTTCAACTAACAATCAACAAAGAAATTAGAATTATCAAAATATTTTTTTTTAATTTTCATTTTGATCGAACTTTTTCGCTTACCTGTACTTTGCCCTGATACACTTTGGGTTGGGGAGTGGTAGGACTGTTATTGGGAGGGGGGCCACTGACTGCTCCCACTATCAACCCCAATCTGGGGTCCATGACCAGCTGGTAGCTCTGTGAACCACTGCCGCCATTGTTGTTTAGTACCAGGTTAGAAGGTGCTTTGGCACCTACACAAAAATTTACGATTTTCCCTCGATTCTCCTTGTACTTTTTCATTTTTTATTTCGTATTTTTGTAATTGGCTGGTGAACAGTTTTTTTTTATTATTTTGATGTTCACACCAAAGTTCTAAACCTCATTATTTTTCAGGAATGTTCTGCATGGGTTTAAGGTCTCAAAATAACAACATCATGGTTACAGTCTAATCCAAATGGTTTGAATATGCCACTCAAAACTAATGACGTCACGAGTGAAACACTTTAGGTTTGTACTATTGGCATTTTTTATGTTCTGTGGAACTGCGCATGCTTCCGATAGTTCCGGACTCTTTTAATTCTTTGAACGAGAACAAACCTATATTTGCCAAATGTCATCAACATTGCAGCTTGAATACTTCAAACAGAACATATTAATAGATTCCATATCAATAGTGTCCATTTTGAAGAGTCAATTTGATATAGAATACAGTGTCATAGAGGCTTTAGCTCGGCCTTTAGCCTTTTGAAAATTAGATACCTGTCAAAAGTCAAGAATTTAATGAAAAAATACAATGAAATCAAAGAATGTGAAATCTGAATTTTGATAAAATCAAACTGCTCATTCAATAATATAACATGATGGATTTGAGGCAATAAGAATGATAAATCCCTTTGTATTTTGGCTGCTGTCTTACTATGTAGGTACAGGGTGATTCACCATAAACATCCCCCCCTCTAGCTCAGTTATTTTTAACCAATTTCAAAATTTGGAATATCATCTTAAATTATTTTCGATAAAGTTTTTTTCCCGTTTATCAGGAAACAAACGATCTACAGGGTACTATTTGATTTTTTTAAATGGAACACCCTATTTTTAATTGTATTTTTAGGTTCTCCCTGAAGAGCTGATTTGATCAATGCATCGCACTTGGGGTCTAGCAGGAATGATTACAGAGATATAGGGTGTTCAAAATCGAGATTTTTCAACTTTAGGATTTTTTTTTACGAAACTATTCATTATCGGTCAAAACGGCTTCCATGTCCGTATCTTAACTTTTGATTTACTATCTACTGACATTTAATAATTAGAGCAGATACAGGGTGATCAGAATTCTCAATCTTGAACCACCCTGTAAATGTTCCAATTAAATGTCACTAGATAGTAGATCAAAAGTTGAGTTGGGGACATAGGAGCAGTTTTGACCAATAATGAATAGTTTCGACACAAGAAAATCCTAAAGTTGAAAAATCTCGATTTTGAAAACCCAATATCTCTGTAATCATTTCCGCTAGACCCCAAGTGTGATACATTGATGAAATCAGCTCTTCAGGAAGAATCTAAAAATACAATGAAATACAGGGTGTTCCGTTTGAAAAAATCAATTAGTACTCTGTAGATCGTTTGTTCCGAGCACCCTGTATTTTCTGAAGCAACGGGAAAAAAATTCTGAAAAATCATTTTAGAATATTATTAAAATTTTTTAATTGGTTCAAAAATAAGTGAGCTAGAGGGATGGACATTTATGGTGAATCACCCTGTACCATTCCATAGATTTGCGACGTAATAGTACGAAAAAAAACAACCCTAAATGTAATACCAGACTAACGGAAAAATCCAAAAAAATATAACTAAAAAAATTTAACCACATTTAACCTAAGAAAGAACTCATACCACACAATGGTGTTTATGCTGATGTGCTTTTGTTTCACCCAAACTTGAGGTTCTTGTTACATCTTATTCTAACAGATATCACTGTATGAATTATCTTTAAAGGACAATATCAGCGCCTCTTATGGATTTTCTATGAACAAGAACCTCATAAGTGTCATCAGTCTTTGACCAATGTAACCATGTCCACCGTCCTTAATTTAGAACACCATATTCACCAAGAATTATAAAAGAAGAAGAAGAATTGAATCTCACTTGCTATTGCACTTTGTACTTGTTCAGTGACTTCAATGATAGTGTTCAACTCCCCTGTGTGAACAACTTTTGCATTTTCAGTATGAATCAAGGAATCAAGCTTGTCCTGTAACTCCTTCTCTTCATCCTGCATCTTTTTAATCCTAGTTCTTTGCACCTCTTCTAATTGCTCTACCCAACAGTCCAGTTCCAGAGTGTTCTCAGCATTTCGGTTTGTGATTGTTTTCAAAACTAATACGTCCCTATCTACAAAGTGATGGAAAAATTAAGTGAATCCGTTTTATTTTGCTTGAGAAATCGCCTGGTTATCAGTGTATCATTTGAACCATAGACAAAGAAGGATGAGATAAACATAACCTCAAAATAATATCTGGAAATATTAGCACCAGAATAAATTCTTCAAGCATAGCTAACCCTGTGATAAAATCAACTTACAATTTCAGTTTACTATTGACCAAACAATTGGCCTTGAAAAAGAAATGAAGGACACTGATAACCTGACATCCTGTATCTCTATTTTCTTACCATTGCCGTCTGACGATTTTCTATGGCTCAGTTTATATTTTTTCTTAGGGGGTGGTGGTGGAGGGGGTGACGAACCAAGAGCAATGATCTAAGATTTAAAAAAATGCCCTCATAATATCTTGTCAACAATGAACAAATAGTATGTCAAAAATCATTGGGTTTTAGTGCACAACATGGAAACCTGTTGCTACAAAATAGCAAATTGGTAGACTGAACAAAAATTGTTAAAAAACCTTAGTATATTCATTGCTTCATCAGTAATCAACTAAACTAATGTATTGAAAATGTTTTGTGATTAGCATTATTCAATTCAAACAATACACAAAGCTTAGGTACTGGAAAAACAACAATCATGAACTCAGTGGAGTATAATGTTATCATCAGTTATCATATTAAAATAAAATAATGTCACTTACATCAAAATACTGTTGTGTTACCATCATTGGTGAGCATTACCGAGAAAAAACAACACTTTAATTTAATTATCTAAACCACAAAAATATGTTATTTCATCATAATGAGAATGAAAATATTCAGTTAATAAATCAGAATGTTTATTTTGTGAATAAATATTATTTTTATAGGTGAATGCCTCTAAATCCTCCTGTATATAGTTGTTGTACTTACATCATCATCAGGAATTTCAACAGCATCATCTTCATCATCCAATAAAAGTTGCATTTGTTTTAGGGCTTCTTTACTGGCAGCCCTTCTGGATTGAGTTCTGGATCTTGGAGGACTCAGTTCAACTTGTTGCTTTTTGGGCATTTTCACCTGACAACAATGGATGAATGCATTCATTTTGCTATTCATGATTATTATAATGGTGTGCCAAGAAATTTATGGAAATATTAGTTTATTAAAAATAGGACCCACTTCAAATGGAAGTAACTCTATAAAAATAGGAAAGGATCTATTTTTCACTCAATTTCATTAACTGATTCAACAATTTTCTTCATTGAATGCTCAAATACAGAAAATATATATACAAAAAAATTAAAATTTTGGCATTTTGAAATAGGTAATAGATAATCAAAAGTTCAGTTTCAAGATCTGAATATTCACGTTCAAATACTTTTCAAAGCTAAAATATATTGATTCAAAATTGATTGAAACAGTGGTAGTCCATTTTTTGAAATGGGTCAGACTGTATATCTCCTCATTTATATTTGTTTACTCACCAAAGTACTGTAGACATGAAGAGTTGGCCTTGGTAGATTTTATTTTCAGGTCATATCATGATGAAGAATTATTGGTAGGCTATGATTAACCACATGAGGACTATGCTACCATTTTTCATTTGTTTTATTGCACCATCGCCATTTTGGATTGTAATTTCCTGGGTTATTGCACTCCAATTTCAGTAATGTATCATAAGTTTTACTTTTTCAAATTCTATATTTTTTTGTACAAAACTCAACTAAGTAATCTTTGAATAATATAAATAACAAAGGGTGATCCAAGTGTTTGTGTTTTGAAGTGGATACATTTTTTGGATGTGACTTCTAGCCGATTTTTATTAAGTGAGTTTTTGTTTCAGTGTGTTCAAAATTTTTATGATTTTTTTCTGTGAAAAAGGAAGTTCAATGATTGATAATCTGGAATGGCACTTAGAGTAACTAACCACTATAACTTTGTCCCCATTGAATGGCAGGTAGGTAGTCACCTTTAGAGGATTCTTCTTCTGTCAAAAGGGCAACTTTGTGAAGTAAATTTTTATTAATGTTGAGCAAATCTCTTCACATTCCCGATTCACAGGTGAATAATAGGCATTCTTTAGAAGTTGGTTTTAGGTACCTAGTTCTCAAGATTTGAAATCTTCTTAAATTTACTCCATTTTGTTCATTTTGGCTGATTCAATAATTTTCTCTGAATGATAATAAGTGGTATACCTATATTGAGGATAAATATTGAGAAGAGATAAATGATTAAAATAATCAGTGAACCCGCCAAATATATCTAGGTAGTAGGTAGGTACCTATTTGCCTTTATTATTCTAGTATGACAGGGCAGTACCAAAAAATAATGCCCCCTAATCTAAGATCATATGAATTTACACAACAATATAGTTAGGTACAAACCCAATACATTCAATTTCCAAGCCAAATTATACAAACAAGTACCAGAGATTTCAAAAAAATACATAATCCCCTTTGAAAATATCGCCAACATTACGTCAGTTCAATGGCGGTAAATATTCTGTTGACAGTGTTGCTGAACCGGGTCAAAATCTGAACTCACTCTCTCATGAAATACACTAGTCAGAACCGCTAATACTACACAGTATAAAAAATGCTTACTGTTTTAAATCCACAAAATGCTATCTGATAAATCAAAAAACTGCTTGACTTCAATATATTTTGGCTTCCATTTTCATCCCGTTTGTCAAACGTCAAATCGAACTGTCAAATTAACGTAGTAGGCAGAGACCAGACTTTGGTGGTACATTCATAATTATTTTCAATAAATTTGAGGATGTGAAACAATTTCAGTTAGAAACATAATTTTATTAGCGAATAATCCTATAACCCTCGTATAATAGTAATGTCACCTGTGAACAATCATAACAAAAATTATATGGATATTTCCAGCCATTATCAAGCAGTGCGTCATCAAGATGGCGTTTAATATATTGTGGTGGGGGTAATTTGTATTGGGAAATTTCTACAGATTGTACCTTGAATGAATTTCTCACATAAAATTGTTGGCACACCTTGTATGATTACACTCGCTTTTGTGAAGGAGCCAGTTTGAGCATTTATTACCTTTTCAATCTTCTCTTCTTTTACTTTGACTTCCTCTACTTTAATTTCCTTGCTATTGTTATCTTTTTTGCTGATTTTGATCTTGAAAGTTGATTTTTGCGGTAAATTCAGAGAGGGCACCGCCTCGATTTTCAAAGCTTTGAATTCGGCTAAAAACATACAGGGTGACAACAGAAAAAAGTCGGTGGGATGGAAACAAATGCCTACATTGTTTCTTACTTGACGACGGGTTATTCTTACTCCCAGAACTGTAATTGAACCTGGTGACGGAGTAATCCGAGTTCTTGAAGTGTTTGTTGCACACTTTAGTACGTTTGTTGACTTCATCTTCAGTCCTGTTGATCGCCTTTAACCACTTTTTTCTGGCCTCCCCGTCTCTCGGAATCTGGTGGAACTTCGCTGTAGCACTAGTATTTGTTTCCACTGTGTCGCAACCAGCCACTATACATGTGATTTTCTTCATATTGATATCGAAAAACGGAAAATATCATTCACATTACAAGGTTATGTTAGCACTCGGTCACCACGACACAACTAGAGAAATCCGAAGCCCAAAACGAAAAACGAGCGCTCCGAACCTGATTCTCCTGAGCGCCATCTGGTTAGAGCGTTTCGGAACCGCGGACAAAGTTACAATGGGGATGTTGTTTGGCTAAATGAACGATAGGTGTCGACACATGTCACAATTGTTCTAGGTGGTGGAGTAAATTCGTTATCGTTAACAATGTTAATTATTCAGTTGATGTTATTTGCATAGAAAACGCGGTGAAGGAAAATGATTATTTACCTATGATACCACATTCCGTTGAAAATTGAAAATTTCATTTCAGAGTCATGGGATTCTGTTTTCTACAGGGTGTGGATGAACAAGTGCGAAAACGTTCAGGTCATTCCATTTCATATTTTGTAGAAAATAAAGTTTATGTATAAAGCATCCGTCGTAACCTTTTTGCTTGATACAGGCCAATACAGGGTGATTTTATAACCCCCTGTATAGGCTGTATAAGCTTGCATGGTGTCAAAGTATCACAGGGGACAAGAACGTTGTATTTCTAAATTTGCAATCTGAGAAAAAACAGTGGCGTACCTACAATGAAATTCACCATCAATATCGATAAAGAGCAGGTGTACAGCCCACTTTGCGATGTGCCACTGGAAACTGGAATTATTATTTAGGTACACAAGAATAATAAGTTTCATTGGAATTATTGAAAAATTTACTTTTGAGTAATTGATAAAAAAAAACGATTTTCTATGGCAACGAAGCAATGAGTATATATAAGGACAAATGTTTATGCACACTTTTTTCCATAACCTGTATAACTGTGTTCAAGTAGGTATAGATGTGCACTATAACCCCACATACAATTTTACTTGATCGAGACAACCCCTGCTTTCTCAACGAATTTCATCAGTTTCACCAACCTTGACAATCGTTCATCGAATTGAAAAATATTGAAATATAAATTTCCATCGGCTTATGCGAAGCATTAGATAAATCAGTAACAGGGTGTGCGAGAGAAGGAATAAGCCAATCGTATTAATGATTAATTTATTTTCAGAAATCATTTCAAAATTATATTATATATATAGGGTGAGTCATAACTATTGGAACATAGGCGGACCAAAATATGGCGATAGGACCAAATATGCCCCAAAGAAATATTGCTGTGGGAAAAGATACAGCTCAGGGTGTTTCAATCGAAAAAGTATTGACTATAAACTCGCACCAAAATTCATCCACTAACAAGAAATTAATGTAATTCACCAGCAAGTCAGTAACAATTATCTAAAGCATATTCTCTTCATAAATGAAATAATATTTGATATCCCCTTCCTAGACTTCGAACTGTTCAATTGCATTTTTTCTCGAAAACGGAAAAAAATATCGTTTTTAATCAAGAATACCAATAATATTAGGATGATTCCCAAGCAAAATCACGAAAAATGTTCGTCAAAAAAAATTATCAGTCGACTTCATCATCTGGAATCATTCACGTGGCGCCCCCGTAACAAATTTCGAAAAAAAATTATAAAAAAAAATGATAAATATACAATGAAATTATTAGCAAAAAACAAAAACTAAATAAATATTCAACTTCAACGCCCTGTATCTTTTTCCACATTAATATTTTTATCAGGGAATATAAGCTATGGCCATATTTTGGACCATACATAATCCGCCCTTAGCCTATGTCCCAATAGTTATGACTCACCCTGTATACCAATAAAGGGACAATATACTCTCCTGATATAATTTTCATATTGTTCTTTTCTGTTCCAAATATTTGTTTGAACATCATTGTAAAAGTAACAGAAGTTTCAAATTTCAAACTTTAACTCCCTCTATATATCGAATATATAAGCAAAGATTACTGAATTCTAGAAGATAGTTCACTTAGTGAAATCCGTTTGTCGGTACAGCCCAACATTGCATTTTTTGCTTTTCTATAAATCATTGCACCGCCAAACGGTTGCGGTCGGTTGACAGCTAATTAGATTGCGATTTCAAAGGCCCCGGCAGTCGTTAGCCGGCAGAATCCAGCGGTCGGCTAGGTTGCGGCGAGATCTCTTAGAAGTCGAAAAATGAACGAGTGAACTGTCTTATAGTTTATCTTCTGTAGTCTATGATATAAGGCTGCAGAATAAAAAGTCAGAGGAAGAGTATTGTCAACGGCCGTATATTGGGATTCCAAATTATACGACAACTTTCTTATTACTTGGAATTTATTGAAATTCTTTAAAATTCCTTCGCACAATTGGCAGACTCTTCGAATTTCTCGGTGACTCTCAATGGAAATGGTAGGTAATTTCTTGAAAACCTATACCCTCTGGAACCCCATTTTAGAATTCATTATTTTATTCCTTTTAGACCTTTAGAATTTGGACTAATGGAACACCCATTATTTGGTTTTAATTTTTGAATTGATAAGATCTTTTTCGATGCTGGTTTTACAAAAAGTATTTTTTTCATTTCAATTTCAACTTTCATAATCATAATATTTTGAAACTTCACCTGGTGCTTGACGCGACTATCTTAATCGACCTAATCAAATCTCAAATGCTCAATGAATGTTTTTCTTTTATAATTTATTTGTTTTCTCAAATAAGAAGATCGCATTGATATCACATTTCTCAACGGAAAACAAACTGTTTCGATAAAAGGTTCCCTGCAGAAGTGGTTCGAATTCCACTATAAGCAGTATACAGTGAGGAGGTAAAAAGTCCTCCCCCCCCTCATTTAACCTTTGAACGGAACAAGCTAGCGAGATCGGATAAAATTCAGGCAACTTTTTTTTTCAAATATAAAAAGGGGTCACGTAGTACCTTGTTTTGAAGGCCTTTCGATTCTCTATCCAACACCGCTTCATTTGTACAAATCAGCCAAGCCGTTTCAAAATGACAAGCGTTTGAAATTTGCTTCGAATATTAGGTAATATTAATGAATAAAAAACCTGAATAACTTTTATTTGCAACATTAGAATTTTAAGTAGGAATTGTAACAAGTGCTCGAAATGTTCATCGTTCACTTATTGACACGAAAAAATCGGCTTGGGAATCCAATCCGAACGTGAATAGAGAGTTGAAGTGTTGTCATGAACGTTAACGTAAACGTAGAAATTGACAGCTACGCATGCGCATTTTCCAATTCTTCACGTTTGCGTTGTTAGTGGGCTTACGGGTGTACGTTATCTCACGTTCCTTCACGTATACCTTAAATATCAACGTACGTTAACCAAACTATACTCGAAATATGCCGATGAGTCAAAATTATCAAATTCGAGATCACCAACGAGTTCTGCATCAAGGAGTCCTCTAATTTTGACAGGAATAAATGTTCGAATCTAAACACACAACCAAAAATGACTAATACAAACCGAAAACAATTTATTATACAAGGGAAAAAAGTAGTAGATTTTAGCTCCAGGTTGTGTTGTCTCCCGACGCGAAGCGGAGGGAGACAAAAAACCGTGAGCTAAAATCTAATATTTTTCCCGTGTATAATACACTATTTTTTTTTGTGACAGAAGGAAGGACGAATCAATATTGAGAAGATATTACATTATTTCGAAATCTGAAAATTATCGACGTGAAATTTCAAGTTTTTAACAGTAGGGACACCTGCGTTTTATAGACATCTTTATCATTCTTTTGAAGTAATCAAATATCTGATGTCACTTCTGTCAGTTCAATTCTGTGATTTGATTTTGAAAAATTGCGAATTCAGTAGTTGTTTAGTAGTATACGAAACCGCGAAGTCGAATGGAAGATAAAAGGACTTGCAGTTCTTTCTCGGAGACGGTATTATTGACTCATTTTTCGGAACTGCACAACAAAAGCCATTGACAGAGTATATAGTATATGTGATATATATCCGGGAAAAAAGTACTCACTTTTTGCCCACGGGAAAAAAGTAATTTATGAAAAGTGACATTTTATAACCTGCCAACAGAGATGAAACGCCAAACTTTTTTCCCGTCACAGAAAAAAATGTATTATTACGTTATGATGACAGTGACGACCAAAGTGGCGACTTCAACTCTTTCGTACGTTAACGTCGACGTGGAGGTCTACGTACAGTGATTACTTTAACTCTCTATTTACTGTTTCCGAGGTACATTTCAAACGCTTGTCACTTTGAAACGGCTTGACCGATTTGCACAAACTGAGCGGAGTTCGATAGAGAATCAAAAGGCCTTCAAAACAAGGTACCACGTGACCCCTTTTTATATTGAAAAAAAAAGTTGATGGTGCCCACTTGACACTAGGTCACGTGACCACAACCATTTTCATGCCAAATAGTAGTGAAAGAGGTACCTTTCGACGTCACCGCATACAAATTTCGGCTTCTGGGGAATAGGGTCCAATTTTGAAATACGTGTACCTACATCCTACCTCTCTTGAGATACGCCACTTTTTCAGTTAACGATTGAGTCATTATTGGATAGGTAAGGTGGTCAATTAGTTTCCACTTAATGACAATATTTGCATTTGACGGGAATAATAGAAAAGCCGGCAATTTTCTTGAAACTTGACCTGGTTCCAATAGACATTAATCACCGATAACAGTGACCTGTTTTATGAATTAAGACGAATAAGAGTAGGTACGATTTTTGAAGATATTGGATCTAGTAGATAATTTGTGTGCTTGTTAATTTTCAGAACAATTTTGTTTTGAGGGGTAGGTGAGTTCCTTATATAACTTCTCAGCATTATCAACTGTTTTATATTTCATTGTGATACAAGAGATAGATATGTACACTCGTCTTCTTCAGTGAATATGTCGCGGTGAGGGACATCCTTCGAATGTCCCTTAGGGATATCCGCCGGATGTCCCAATTGGTACATGAACTGTACCCTTCCAATGTCCAAGAAATAACGCCCTACGGACTTCCCAGTCGTTACTTTCAATATGTTGTCCCTGCGAGGACGTTTGAGTTTAACCACGTAAGTCGATTGGGCATCCTTGGGAACTTTTTCAGGATACAGGGACCTTCTACGGACCATCAACTCAACTGGATGTCCTCATCACTTATGTAAGAAAAATTCAAATCCAAGAATAATTCGTACGTCCCTGGGACATCCTATGAACATCCAATTGATATCCCTCAGCGTTGCTGATAGGTTGTCCTACGAATGTCCTAAGGATGTCCTCCGTAGTGTTTGATGACGAATACTGTAGGATTTAGGTATTCGATAGTTGTCCCAGAGACATCCCTCAAAGACGTTCCTAGTTGGTCTTTAAGTGGGACATTTGTGCGTCCCACAGACGTCCAATGGACGTCCTGAATATCCCGACAGGACGTCCTAAGGATATCCATGGCACATAATTCTGTTATTAGGGTAATATGAAGAAGATTTTGAAAATTAGTAGCAACTGTCTAAAACGGCTTGATACATGAGCTGAGTGTGGCGGAAGGACGGTGATTTTTTTTGATGTTCTGGTTCCCACGAAAAGGGATATCCTGTAACGTTCAGAGAACATCGTGAGAACCAAGAGGAATGAGGTAAGAATTGGTGTTCTTGAATTTCTGAAGGTTATATGCTTCGGGGAACGCCTTCCTTGGCAATGTGTTCCAGAGCCTCGCTGTTCGTTGGATGAACGAGTCTTTGGAAAAAGATGTTCTGCAGGTCTCCAAAGTGACCACGAAAGGGTGCGAAGCCTCAACTCGACGGGTTAATCTCGTGGGGACTGCCAAGGTAGGAACAATTGTTGATATTTCAGAAGAGCATCGTCCATGAAAATATCTATAAAATAGAGCCAGATCACCAACTTTTCTACGGTGTTCCAAAGAAGTGATTGAGTTTGTGAGTGAGGCATCACCCACGAGACGAATTGCCCGTTTTTTGACAGAATCCAACAGTTTCAGGGTATGTTTGGGTGCTGCACTCCAAATATGGGAACAGTATTCCAGGACAGGTCGGATCTGTGCCTTATAGATCATAAGCAGCTGACTGGAAGTGGAATAGCTCCTGGTCCGAAACAGAAATCCAAGTTTTTGGGATGCACTTTCAGCAATTGATCTCACGTGATTTTCCCAAGAAAGGTTTTTGCTGATAGTAATACCAATCATCGAAATGAATGTCTTCAAAGCTATGGTTACTCCTGACAAGCTTATGTTGGTCACAGTGAGATCGGCTTTTCTAGAGAAAAGGCATGCTTGTGTTTTGTTTGCATTGAAATCTACCAAGTTATTGGATCCCCATTCGAGAATTGTTGCCAAGTCCATATTTATGTTGTCAACATTTCTCCCTCGTTCGTTTCTCATTTGCCTGGCTGGTATTGGAGCCCTGGAAGAGAAGGCGGTATGGAGTGTACTATCATCCGCGAAGCTGTGTACTGGGCATGAAGTTGCTTCCAACAAATCGTTGATATGGAGTAGAAATAGTGTTGGTGCTAGAATTGATCCTCGCGAAACACCAGCATTTATGATAAGAGAATCAGATGAAACTTCGTCGACCACTACATGGAGAGACCTGTTTGAGAGAAAACTAGCTAGCAGAAAACATAGCTGGGGTGGCAAGCCATAAGATGGAAGCTTGGCGAGGACTCCGTGGTGCCAGACTCGATCGAATGCCTTGGAGATATCAAGTCGTGCCACGGCTAAGGTTTCACCATATTTTTCAATAGATTGCTGCCATATATTATGTGAGACGTAAGCGAGCAGGACACCAGTTGATCTCTGATGACGGAAGCCATATTGCCTATCGTTGATAATACCTGAATGTTCCAGGTATTTCATGAGGTCGATGTTTCTCCATGTTCTTTGAAATAATAGATCGCAGTGCGATCGGTCTGTAGTTGTTAGATATGGTCTTTTTGTTTGCCATTTTTAGGAACTGGTTGTACTCTTGCAATTTTCCAGTTGGACGGAAATATCCCCAATTTGTAAGAGTAGTTGAACATCTTGCAGAGAACAGGTGTTAGTTCGGGAGCACATTTCTTGAGAACAATCGGTGGGATTCCGTCGGAGCCACAAGCTTTGTTGGTGTTGAGACCCAATAAAATCCTCCTTATAGTACGTTGGCGAAAGGTGATCTCGTGCATATGACTGTCAATTGGCGTTATGTATATATGACTTTGGGTTTTCATCTATGTGTTATGTATATATGTTTATGACGCAATATTTGAAAATACATGTGGTGGGCCATCATAGGCAGGGGGCCATCATTAGCACATCTCCCCTAAGACGTTTTTAGTAGGGGTTGACAGAAAAAAATCATTCCTTCTCGCACCCCAGATTAGCTCCGTCATCATGCTGTACAACCAGAACAGCATCAGTCTCCTGGGAGGTACCACCCCCGAGCTGCCGCGCAGGAGGAGCGTTTACCTGGAGGGAGCGCAGCCCTACTACCAGAACGCTCAACGTGACCCAAATCCGGTCACCAAGGTGGCCCCTTTCCAGCCGAGCGCGCCTGCGGAGCCGCTTAAGGCATTCCAGGATCCCAAGCAGCTGAAGAGCTCACTGTTCGATGCCTTGAAGCCTGTCGTTTTCCTGATGAAGGCTGTTGGGGTATTTCCAATCGGCAATGAAGGTGGTATATTTCAGGTAAGAAAGGAAGAGAGAGATAGAGAGAAATTAATATATGAGTCTAACAGGAAAATATGTATTTGCCATAAAATTCGTTATGTGAATCGTTTTGTGAGGCACTATGTATTTCTGGCCATGATGCAATTCAAGACCCTGTAGTTCCTCAATGAATTCCACTTACTACCATATAATGTATGCATATATCCTCAATATACATCATATATATATTTTTTCAGTTTTCGGAATTTTTTTCATATAATTTTTTTCCAATTTCTATTTTTTTTTCTTGTTTTTTTTGTGTTCCTCCATATTTTTCATATTCCCCTATATATTTTCATATTTTCTGATATTTTTTTTCTCCTGTAATGAATTATTTCATATTTTATCATGAATTTCGGTATTTGAGTGGTTTTTTCCAATATCTCCATATAATTAAATACTTTCACATTTTTATTGATGATCTTAGGTTACAGTCCACATGATGGTATACTCTGTTGGCCTTTTTCTGGTGGTTTTCGCTTATATCGCCTACATTCGATGGGACAGAGTGGAGATGGTCAGAACAGCGGAGGGGCGATTCGAAGAGGCGGTAATCGACTACCTTTTCACTGTCTATTTGGTGCCCATAGTCATCAACCCCATAGCTTGGTAATCAATTAGTATCAAATTATCTATTTTCTTGATATATTTGATATTTTGATATTTTTGATATTTTTGATATTTTTGGTATTTTTGATATTTTTGATATTTTTGATATTTTTGATATTTTTGATATTTTTGATATTTTTGATATTTTTGATATTTTTGATATTTTTGATATTTTTGATATTTTTGATATTTTTGATATTTTTGATATTTTTGATATTTTTGATATTTTTGATATTTTTGATATTTTTGATATTTTTGATATTTTTGATATTTTTGATATTTTTGATATTTTTGATATTTTTGATATTTTTGATATTTTTGATATTTTTGATATTTTTGATATTTTTGATATTTTTGATATTTTTGATATTTTTGATATTTTTCATATTTTTCATATTTTTCATATTTTCCATATTTTTCATATTTTTCATATTTTTCATATTTTTCATATTTTTCATATTTTTCATATTTTTCATATTTTTCATATTTTTCATATTTTTCATATTTTTCATATTTTTCATATTTTTCATATTTTTCATATTTTTCATATTTTTCATATTTTTCATATTTTTCATATTTTTCATATTTTTCATATTTTTCATATTTTTCATATTTTTCATATTTTTCATATTTTTCATATTTTTCATATTTTTCATATTTTTCATATTTTTCATATTTTTCATATTTTTCATATTTTTCATATTTTTCATATTTTTCATATTTTTCATATTTTTCATATTTTTCATATTTTTCATATTTTTCATATTTTTCATATTTTTCATATTTTTCATATTTTTCATATTTTTCATATTTTTCATATTTTTCATATTTTTCGATTTTCATATTTTTTCAATTTTTCATATTCTTCATATTTTTCATATTCTTCATATTTTTCATATTTTTCATATTTTTCATATTTTTCATATTTTTCATATTTTTCATATTTTTCATATTTTTTATATTTTTCATATTTTTCATATTTTTCATATTTTTCATATTTTTCATATTTTTCATATTTTTCATATTTTTCATATTTTTCATATTTTTCATATTTTTCATATTTTTCATATTTTTCATATTTTTCATATTTTTCATATTTTTCATATTTTTCATATTTTTCATATTTTTCATATTTTTCATATTTTTCATATTTTCGATATTTTCGATATTTTCGATATTTTCGATATTTTCGATATTTTCGATATTTTTGATATTTTTGATATTTTTGATATTTTTGATATTTTTGATATTTTTGATATTTTTGATATTTTTGGTATTTTTGATATTTTTGATATTTTTGATATTTTTGATATTTTTGATATTTTTGATGTTTTTGATATTTTTGATATTTTTGATATTTTTGATATTTTTGATATTTTTGATATTTTTGATATTTTTGATATTTTTGATATTTTTGATATTTTTGATATTTTTGATATTTTTGATATTTTTGATATTTTTGATATTTTTGATATTTTTGATATTTTTGATATTTTTGATATTTTTGATATTTTTGATATTTTTGATATTTTTGATATTTTTGATATTTTTGATATTTTTGATATTTTTGATATTTTTGATATTTTTGATATTTTTGATATTTTTGATATTTTTGATATTTTTGATATTTTTCATATTTTTCATATTTTTCATATTTTTCATATTTTTCATATTTTTCATATTTTTCATATTTTTCATATTTTTCATATTTTTCATATTTTTCATATTTTTCATATTTTTCATATTTTTCATATTTTTCATATTTTTCATATTTTTCATATTTTTCATATTTTTCATATTTTTCATATTTTTCATATTTTTCATATTTTTCATATTTTTCATATTTTTCATATTTTTCATATTTTTCATATTTTTCATATTTTTCATATTTTTCATATTTTTCATATTTTTCATATTTTTCATATTTTTCATATTTTTCATATTTTTCATATTTTTCTTATTTTTCATATTTTTCATATTTTTCATATTTTTCATATTTTTCATATTTTTCATATTTTTCATATTTTTCATATTTTTCATATTTTTCATATTTTTCATATTTTTCATATTTTTCATATTTTTCATATTTTTCATATTTTTCATATTTTTCATATTTTTCATATTTTTCATATTTTTCATATTTTTCATATTTTTCATATTTTTCATATTTTTCATATTTTTCATATTTTTCATATTTTTCATATTTTTCATATTTTTCATATTTTTCATATTTTTCATATTTTTCATATTTTTCATATTTTTCATATTTTTCATATTTTTCATATTTTTCATATTTTTCATATTTTTCATATTTTTCATATTTTTCATATTTTTCATATTTTTCATTTTTTTCATTTTTTTCATATTTTTTCAATTTTTCATATTCTTCATATTCTTCATATTTTTCATATTTTTCATATTTTTCATATTTTTCATATTTTTCATATTTTTCATATTTTTCATATTTTTCATATTTTTCATATTTTTCATATTTTTCATATTTTTCATATTTTTCATATTTTTCATATTTTTCATATTTTTCATATTTTTCATATTTTTCATATTTTTCATATTTTTCATATTTTTCATATTTTTCATATTTTTCATATTTTTCATATTTTTCATATTTTTCATATTTTTCATATTTTTCATATTTTTCATATTTTTCATATTTTTCATATTTTTCATATTTTTCATATTTTTCATATTTTTCATATTTTTCATATTTTCGATATTTTCGATATTTTCGATATTTTCGATATTTTCGATATTTTCGATATTTTCGATATTTTCGATATTTTCGATATTTTCGATATTTTCGATATTTTCGATATTTTCGATATTTTCGATATTTTTGATATTTTTGATATTTTTGATATTTTTGATATTTTTGATATTTTTGATATTTTTGATATTTTTGATATTTTCGATATTTTTGATATTTTCGATATTTTTGATATTTTTGATATTTTTGATATTTTTGATATTTTTGATATTTTTGATATTTTTGATATTTTTGATATTTTTGATATTTTTGATATTTTTGATATTTTTGATATTTTTGATATTTTTGATATTTTTGATATTTTTGATATTTTTGATATTTTTGATATTTTTGATATTTTTGATATTTTTGATATTTTTGATATTTTTGATATTTTTGATATTTTTGATATTTTTGATATTTTTGATATTTTTGATATTTTTGATATTTTTGATATTTTTGATATTTTTGATATTTTTGATATTTTTGATATTTTTGATATTTTTGATATTTTTGATATTTTTGATATTTTTGATATTTTTGATATTTTTGATATTTCCTATATTTTTGATATTTCCTATATTTTTCATATATTCCATATTTTTCATATTTTCGATATTTTTGATATTTTCGATATTTTTGATATTTTTGATATTTTTGATATTTTTGATATTTTAGATATTTTTGATATTTTTTATATTTTTGATATTTTTTATATTTTTGATATTTTTGATATTTTTGATATTTTTGATATTTTTGATATTTTTGATATTTTTGATATTTTTGATATTTTTGATATTTTTGATATTTTTGATATTTTTTTATCCCGAAAATTCGTCCTTGAAATATATACATCGAATTTTGAATCACCCTGTAAATTAATATCACAGGTATGAGGGCAGGAAACACGCCAAAGTATTGACCAACATGATGTCATTCGAGAAGTTATACAGGAGGGTGACCAAAAAAAATCTAATGCTCTGCCTGGGCAACACCCCTCTGGTGATTGCGATTGGTTTGCCAGTGTTGGCAGTCTCCTGTATGGTGGTGACCCACGTGACGATGGTCCATTTCAAATTTCTACAGGTTGGTAAGGAGAAATAATCCTGATGATGATAATCGAATGCATTCGAAACGTTGCTCAGTGAATTTTCGGAATATTTTTGATATTCTTGTTTTCTAATAGTTTCGATATTTTTTGATTTCCGAGAATTTCAATATTGATAATTCAACATATTTTATATTTAGGATAGTTTTGATATTTTCGAAATTTCCAATTTTTGTTAGGTCATTCCATATTGTTACATCAACATGGTGACCTTCCTGATAGGCGGCTCGTGGTACGTCTACTGCGACCTGATCGGCAACGTCGCCCAAACAGTCGCCGACGATTTTCAATCGGCTCTCAAGAACATCGGCCCTTCGAGTCGCATCGCTGACTATCGCGCCCTCTGGATGATGCTCAGCAAGCTGATCCGCGACGTAGGGAACGCGTTCGGATACACCGTCACCTTCCTCTGCCTCTATCTCTTTCTGATCATCACGCTCACGATATACGGCCTGCTGAGCCAGATCCAGGTAGGGGTGTCCAAGTTGCTATATTTTTTCTTCTCTCGGAGCGCACGAAAGGGAAACCCAATAATGTTCTGAAAAAATCGCACTTACCAAGAGAGGATAGGGAGAGGAGGTAGGTATTGAATTGTTTTTTGAACTTGTGAAGATTATAACTACTTGGAATACTTCCTTTGGCGAAGAATTCCAAAGCTTTGCTGTTTTATAGACAAGCGATTTTTGCAAAGACTTGCTTGACATATTCCAAGGTTGACGACGAATGAATGTGCTGACTGGGCTTGTCGAGTTCGTCTGACTGATATTGCTAGTGATGGATTTCTGAAGAACATTTCCCGTGAAAGTATCTATATAATAGTTATTTCTTCACCAGGCAGAAAAGATTTGATTCATAGCCAAGGCGTAGCCGAGGCTAGGAAACCAGCCAATGCATTATATCTGATTTCCTGCCGTGTGAAAAATATAATTTTTTCTCTAAATTCGTCCAATTTCACGCAAATAATCCATCATTTTATGTTCACCCAACGTTAGTGTCAATTTTGATAACCAATTTGATTTGAATTATTACAAGAAACGTTGCATAGCAACAAACTTTTTTTTGCCTAGGCAGTAAATGTACACCTTTTCTGCCTGTTGAGTGTCATGAAAAAGTCACTTTTAATGTAATTTGGAGAAAAAAGTTTTTGTGAAGCAGCTTTCGCGATAGATCTGACATGATTATTCCATGAAAGGGTATTGCTAATGAAAATACCGAGCATAGATATAGTGGACTTGGTGGGGATGGTGGTACCAAACATTGTTAACGCCACAGCTAGATATTCCCTATGTATTTTTAATGAAGCTTGCCGTATATGGGAGCTTGGCATATATTGATGATTTCTATGAAAATTATATTATTAAAAAATTAACTAACCCGAGTTTTCCAGGACGGACTGGGCATTAAAGATGTCGGACTGACGATAACGGCGCTGTTTTGCGGGGTGATGCTGTTTTTTATTTGTGACGAGGCGCATTATGCGTCGAACTGTGTGAGTACAATTTTCATGATCTGTGAAGTTTATATGAACCCCACTCTATCATTTCTGCTACTTATTCAATTTTGGATGTATTGGAATGTGACAGCGAGATAAATTCGTCAAATGGTCGTCTGATTGCGAGATCATTCTCTCAATAAAACTCTTATATACTTATGAATGAAGATCTCACAATTAAGGTGAATAAAAGTAGCATAATCTATCAATTCAGCTCGAGATATAGGTATCATGTAATCAAGCCTATTACTTGAACCATCTTTCAAATGAGCTAAATCATAATGGAAGATCAGTCTGATAATTATAAGCCCAATATAATCGATTTGTGAAGGAACGAATTGAAAATAATGGATATATCGCGTGACGTCACTGGCCAGCCCGTGCCATGAGAGGTGCAGGCCAAATCAAAGACTACAGAAGATTAAACTTCGTTTTGCAAAGTTGTGCAGATTAATACTATGTTCATTATGTCGACAACTTCGTTATAGCATAGACTACAGAAGATAAACTATAAGACAGTTCACTCGTTCATTTTTCGACTTCTAAGAGATCTCGCCGCAACCTAGCCGACCGCTGGATTCTGCCGGCTAACGACTGCCGGGGCCTTTGAAATCGCAATCTAATTAGCTGTCAACCGACCGCAACCGTTTGGCGGTGCAATGATTTATAGAAAAGCAAAAAATGCAATGTTGGGCTGTACCGACAAACGGATTTCACTAAGTGAACTATCTTCTAGAATTCAGTAATCTTTGGTTATAGTCCGTCGAGATCGGAGTTGAAGAAAATATATCCGAAAATTTCTTCTGCTTCTCCTTAGCAACCGCAGTATTAATATTTTTGATAGTTTTCTTGAATCTGTGTTGATACACCCTGGCACCAAATACCACTTTTCATACGACATTTCATGATAGTATTAGTATTAGTTATAGTACGAAGACAATAACAAATACTGACTGAAATGAAAATGATGCTACGCTGGTTTAGGCGGGCATGTGGCAAGTCTAGGGATGGCAATCTTGAATCGATTTTTTCTATGATCGATCTTTTCGTCTGGAAAGTCGATTCTTTAGATAGATCTCCTTCTGTTCGATCTTTAGGTGAAGCGATTTTTTCCACATTACATCGAATCAAACAAAAATGCACACTGAATAACATATTTGACTATAATGAGAAACAAGTTATTTCACTCATCTACAAGAGCTATCCAAATAAAATGAGGAAATATTAATGTTCTTCAAGTTAATTGGTAATTTGTGATCATTCGATGATCATATTTTCAGAAGTCAAGATATTTTTCATACTTCTTCATGTATATTGATGAACATTTTCTATGATGATCTAATCGAGGATCGATTTTACTGAAAATCGATTATTTGCCTTTCGATTTTTTAATGGATCGATTTTTTCTCTATCGATCTATATGGATTCCAAGAATCGATCCTTTTCCCAAAGATCGCCATCCGTAGTGACGACACGGCACTGAAGATTCCTCGGCAGGTAACGTTTTTCTAGCACGTTCTGGCATGAAACTCTCAAATTGAAAACGACATTTTCAAGACATTTTGTGAAATGTATCTGTTCAACTAACCAATTACAAGATCAGTTGGATGGAAATAAGGAGATATTTCAATTTGCAGGTGAAAGTTCAGTTTCAAAAAAAGTTGCTACTCGTCGAACTCAACTGGATGAGTGACGATGCCCAGCAAGAGGTGATTATTAATCTGATGAACGAATATTTTTATCTGGATAGGTACTTGCTTGTATCTGCCTATATTTTTCATTGCACTTTTCAGATCAATATGTTCTTGAGAGCCACCGAAATGAACCCGACAGAAATGTCCTTGGGTGGATTTTTCGATGTCAATAGAACTTTATTCAAATCTGTGAGTATTATAAAAATATATAAAAAATGTATCTATCACGCAATTTTCGATTCCCTGATGTATATTGGAGTAAGTTCTCAATCCTTGTTGTTTTCGATATTCAAGAGTTACGAATTCTCCGAGAAAGTCTTAGCACTACGGCATTACAGCATTACAATTTGCTAAGCAAGTATGGTTTTTACTTGCTGAGCAGTTTATTTTGCATTCTTAGACCCTATTCCGTACGATATAGTCACCGAACCATCTTCGGACGGCCGAAATTGCCAGAAAACGGCGGAAATCCAAGCGAATTATCACTTTTCTAGTAGAAAATGACACAGTTAATCGAATAGGACAGATAATTTTCGAGATATCGACGCTCAAAGTCAGCTTTCCGCTTTTATTGCAAATAGGAGCACTCCGGTAGGCTATTACGTCTCTATTTCCCAAAATTCCTCGATTTTCACCACAGATTCGTTCATCACGACATCGAATTAGTCTATGTGAATTTTTTCAGATTTTTAATAAGGCAAATTAGAATTTTCATTTTCCCACCTGAGACTTCAGCACGATATAGCCACCGAGCCATCTTCGGACGGCCGAAAGTGCCAGAAAACGGTGACAATCCTCGCGAATTATTGCTTTTCCAGTAGAAAATGACACGCTGAATCGGATGAGATCATGATCAGCCCGATAGGACATATAGTTTTTGAGATATCGGCGCTCAAAGTCAGCTTTCCGCTATTATTGCCAATAGGAGCACACCGCTACGTCTCCATTTTCCAGAATTTTCCAATTTTCACCACAGATTCGTTCATTATGACATCGAATTAGTCGATGTGAATTTTTTCAGATTTTCAATAAGCCAAATAAAAATTTTTATTTCCCCACTTGAGATTTCAGTACGATATAGTCACCGAGCCATCTTCGGACGGCAGAAAGTGGCAGAAAACGGCAGAAATTCACGCGAATTATCGCTTTTCAAGTAGAAAATGACACGCTAAATCGAATGAGGCCATGATCAGATAGTTTTCGAGATATCGGCGCTCAAAGTCAGCTATTCTCTTTTATTGCCAATAGGAGCACACCGGTAGGGTACTACGTCTCCATTTTTCAAAATTTCCCGATTTCCACCACAGGTTCGTTCATTACGACATCGAATCAGTCTATGTGGATTTTTTCTGATTTTTAATAAGTCAAATAAAAATTTTCATTTTCCCACCTGAGACTTCAGTACGATATAGTCACCGAGCCATCTTCGGACGGCTGAAAGTGGCAGAAAACGGAAGAAATCATGCGAATTATCGCTTTTTAAGTAGAAAATGACACGCTTAATCGAATGAGACCATGATCAGTCCCATGGAACAGATAGTTTTCGAGATATCGGCGCTCAAAGTCAGCTATTCGCTGTTATTGCCAATAGGAGCACTCCGGTAGGCTAGTACGTCTCCATTTTTCAAAATGTCCCGATTTACACCATCGAATTAGTCTATGTGAATTTTGGCAGATTCCTAATAAGCCAAATTAATAACAATTATAATTTTCCCACCTGAGACTTCAGTACGATATAGTCACCGAGCCATCTTCCAATAGGAGCACTCCGATATGTATAGATATTCCAGAAAGATTTCGGCATTACAGCAGCGATTTGTTGGGTTAGTATAGTTTTTACTTGCTGAGCAGTTTATTTTGCATTCTCAAACCCTATATGTAGGTATTCCAGGAAGGTTTCTTCTTATGCGATTCCTTATGATTTATATACGCATCTATACGGATTCTGGTTGGTTATTTGTTTCCTTAAATTTCCAGTCTAGAATTTCCACATCCACTTCCTCTATATACCTACTTTTTGCAATTTTAACATTAACTAGGGATATTCAAAGTTTCGTTTTCATTTTATCTGAATATCTGAATCTGCTGATCCCTATTAGCGTAATCAGAATAATTCATGGAATATGAATTTGTAGTAAAGAACAGATTACTTCTTCATACTTACAGATGAATGTCTATGAAAGGGATTTTACTCAGCTCTGCACGAATTTTAATATCTGGTGTTGAGTAGATTAGATAGATACCTACTATTCAGATCTCAGTCTGTAGCTGAACAGAAATAGTTATTCCGCGCATAAAGAGAGAACAAAAATTTTTGTAATCTTCTACTACTGAAGAAGATGAAAAATTACTATGCAAACTCCTATTTTGGGTCAAATATCTCGATAACTGTTCATTTCAGCTCAGTTGAAGATGATGCAGTTTTTCAACATAATTGAACAATCAATTCGAGAAATTGGAAATTATCGAAATTTCATCAGTGGCGTACAAAATATGGGAGGAAAAGTTATCACAGCCCTCTGTAGCGCACCTCTGGGTAGAATTCTTGGAATGTCTTTCTTGTCAAAAAATGAAGCATTGAAAGATGAAACCATATACCGAATTCGAATGCATTATATTACATTTTTCTTGAGATATTGCGAAAAACCTATATAAATTTCTTAACGTCAAAGACCGTATGTCCCTCTCAGTGATTATGAAATCACGAGGGCTATCACCTGTCAAGCGTTGTCGACTTGTCGGTCGAATTTCGCAGCACCCTGTATTCAAGAATTAAAAAAGGTTTTCGTAGACATTACTGTGTAACATAAATATAGCTTCATCGAATTCGGTAATATAGGAGAGAGGCACCGACAGCTCTTGAGGCGTTAGTCAATCTGGAAATCTCAATCGCGTTGCAATCCGATAAATGGATTTCTATTTCCAGCTTATTGCGACTATGGTAACGTACCTGGTGGTGTTGCTGCAATTCCAAATAAGCATTCCGGAAGACATTGGCAGCTATCCTAACGTCGCTACCACCAATACGAATGCAACGAAAGATATCAATTGATTTGGAAACGAAAAATGACTAACATAAATCTTAGGATAAGTACCTATATGTATGAAATACCTAACTTTTTTTAATTGAAGTTGGGCGGCTCGCGCTAAGAAGGGAAGATTTGTATTGTAGACATTAGAATACTGATGGGAATATCATTTTGATTTTTTCTACTCCTACCTGTAGTGTCTAGGATCGAAGTTTAGATGATGTTTAGTATCCATTTTAGATCATAGATGATCTAAGGTATTCAATGATATTTGTATTGGTGAGCCTGTCGTGAATTCAGACAGAACATATGAGAATTGACAATTGACTTGCAGTCAGTTATGGAAGAAACGGAAAATGAAAGAGATGTATGTATGAGATACCATGGACTTTTACCATTGAAAATGTATCTTTATTCTAACACGAGGTCTAAACAAAATCCCGAGCAAAATCCTACACTATTATTCGTCATTAGGTACTTGGGATTTTTATTCTTGTTACACGAAGTAGTTTTTTCTATTGACTATTGAAAGTGAAAGTTTTCCTTTATTGGTCATTTTGAGCTTGACTATATTCCTTCTGTTCATAATGGTTCATAATTCTGAATTTTGAACTACCCTGTATTCGTCTGAATTAAATATCAATAGATAGTAAATCAAAAGTTAAGATATGGACATGAGAGCCGTTTTGACCGATAATGAATAGTTTAGACACAAAAAATCCTAAAGTTGAAAAATCTCGATTTTGAACACCCTATATCTCTGTAATCATTCCCGCTAGATACCAAGTGTGATGCATTGATGAAAGCAGCTCTTCAGGGAGTATCTAAAAATGCAATGAAATACAGGGTGCTTCATTTGAAAATCGAAAGTTGATGCCCGTTATATGATAATTGCAGAAAAATGTGCCCCCCGCCAAATTGAAATCGACCTGTCTTAGTTGGGACACACTGTATAATATAATCTTTGAAAGAACTGAAACATTATTTTTGTTACTGGATTGAAAGACGATTAAAATAGTTACGTTTTGTTCATTTGCAATCAAACTAATGGTATATGCGGTTATCAAATTGTTGATGGATCAAAAGTTATTCAATTTTTCTGAAAAATGCATTTGGACAAAAAACAATAGATGAAAGGCTCTTTTGAATAACTCCATATACAGTATGATGCAAATGTATGGAATAAATTCATTATTTCAGAAATGGGCGACATTTGAAGAAATTCCAAAAACACGTGAATTTTAATTTTTGAAGCCTCATCTCATGACATTCATATGAGAGATGTTACGTCACTGGTGTAGAAGTAATGACGTAGTGGACGATTTTTTCAAATACAAGAAGGGGTCATGTGACACCTCGTTTGAGAGGTCTACTGATCGTCTATCCAGCAGTCAAATTTTTGCATAAGAATATTGCAATTAAAATGGATTATCATTTGGTTAACTGAATCTTGCAGAGGTCTGCTACTGAGAATTGAACATCGAAGGGTCGTCTAGTTGAAAAAATACACAATAAAAAAAGTTCTGAACTCTAGTTTTTGGATTTTTTTCGGAAATCGTCTTGTTTTGAAATGAATTTATTCCATACATTTGCATCATACTGTATATATGTTATAACATTTCGGAATCTGTCTTAAATGGGCAACTTCTTCTTATAATTGGTTATCTTTGTGGAGTATTTTATAAATCTGCCAGCTGCAAATGCAGACATAATGTCTCGACATTATTTTCTGGGGAAAGGTGCATCACAAATGTCACATAGTTTTATTGTTATACATTTTTTTTAAAGAAATGAAAAAAAAAATTAATAACTTTAGAACCATCAACAATTGGATAACCATATACAATACGGTTAGTTTGATTGGAAATGATCCTCGCTACCACCCCACTACTTTTGCTCCATAACTTATGGGACACCCTGTATATACTTACGTTGAAAATTCAATAAAATGTTATCGAACACAGTTTTCCACGAGAAAAAATATTTTCGATATGTTCACCCTGTAGATTTGCTATTTCTCCTTTAATTACGATTTCGTAATATCTGGCTCAATAGGGCAGTTGAAAAGTGAGACATTGATGAAATATTCGAATTGGACCCTACAGCCCTAGTCCCAGTGCGAGGGTGCAGGCCGAGGGTGGATTAGCGTATCTAGAGACCTTATTTACTCGGAAGGAGGGGGTGGTCGAATGCGATGTTGCCATGTCGCGCTAAATTTCCGATATCTACAGAAAGCTAAAATTTGAAGTCACAAAATGAATAGGTTGGTAAGTGTTGGAGACAAACGTTGTTTCCATCATTGATTTGATAAAATTTCGAATAATATGATTTAGAGATATCGAGATATACCTACCGGGCGTTGATGAATAAATGAAAAAAAAATAGAAGGTGATTCCTTGTCATATATTTGTAAAAAAAGTTTGTATAAACATGTGTCCTGCTTTATTTTTTGAGATACAGGAAGCTGAAGTCTGGAGTAATAATTGATTTTATGATTCCTATCTGTATGAGTTTTCAGTCTGGTTGGTACCTAACTGTCCAAAGGCTATATTCCAGAATGACACTCAAAGGGCGAGATACAAAAGTGAACACAAGTGACAAGAAAGTTGTATTTTGTATCAAATGAAAATATAAAACTCAGAAACACCAGTACGTGTCGTAATAGTTACCTAAGTACAATGTTTACAATAGTTACATAGATAATTTAGTTAGTGCTAAATATCCTCGTGCCCAAAAGTAAAGTCGCAGGGAAGAGTACAACTCTCAAAACGAAAAATCGTATGAAATAGTATTTTGTATAACGAGCACGAAATGTTTATCAATTCCCAAGAGAATAAAGCTTGCAGCATGAGCCGTATAGTGGGAAATTAGCCTTTCGTGCGAGTTATACACTATACTTTTTCTACGGCTGCAACAGATAACACAGCGAAATTTTGTATTTCTTCGGCTTGTAGCAATCTGATTTTCTTTTAAGTAATGCTCATCTATTAGACAGAGCTGTCATTCCTTGAAATTTGATATTTCACGGAATTGAGATTTTGTGAAATAAGAACACAATAAACAATAACAACACAATAACACAATCAACTCATTGTGATATCAGATACGGAAATGAAATTGATGACATACAAAGTACCTCATTGATTTATCGAATACAGTAAAACGAGAGCAATTTTGTATTATAACCATAGAAAAAATAATATTCTCGATAAATATCGATGAAATTACCCAAAGCGATGCCACTGAAATTATTATTCAGATTCTCATTACACCATGTTACTATCGCAAAATTGACAAAAAGACTTTTGAGTAATTAATACATTTGTGTATATAAAAACAATGATACCCTATATATTTCGAAAACAAAGCAAGATAGGACGGATATTTTCAATATTGAATATTAGATAGATAGATACTTTATTAATTTCTAGGTCATTTTCACACCATAAGATAAGTCAAAAAAGGATATATTTATATGTACTACATATAAATAGATGAAAATTAATTAAAATTAGAAACTGTAAGGAGGAGATTGCACGGTGGATCAGAAATTCTTTCAAGGGTACCTTGAATAGATTTTATGCTCTCGGGTCCTGTGCTGCATTCTGGGTGGAAGATGCAAACGAAGATCATTTCTTTTTCTATATAGTATTGTATCCGTGGTAGTTGTCATTTCTGTTTAGCTTTTCCATATTATTGAAGGTGAATATTAATAATTTATATAGATATATAGAGGTTGAATTTTCTTGCATTCATCCATCCATTAATACATCCTGTATTTTATCACACTGCACTAAAATGGGTCTGTAACCTGTGAATTTTCTCAAATCAAACCCATTTCAAATATTCCTTTTAATTTCATCGATATTTCAATTCCTTTTTGAAGACACATTTTGATTGTTAATGTTATCTAAATTAATGACATGTCATGTATCAAACAATCATTTCTTTATTTTCACGCAAATTTTCACTTGTTTTCGAATATCAAAATATCTCTTTATCCAAAATGAGTGGTCAATATATCGTAAAAAGTTCAATGGCAATTTGGCAACGTCGCACCACCGTCGCGACGTCAGGAAGCACCGGCAGCAAAGCACGCATTCTGTTTCCTTTCAAACATAAACAAACACGCGCATTGGTGGCAATTGACGTGTTTTTTTGGAGAAAAATTACGTAGTTAGTGAAATAGTGTTTTCGGAAACTGTGTTGTCTCATTACTGGTAAGATACCTGAATTAATATTTTGGTAATTTGAACACGTGTTTTGTCACAGGGCGAGTTGATTTGTGATGAAAAATGTGTGATTGTGACCATGATACAATATAACATGATATAACCTCCAATTGAACATGTATTTGTTATTATAAATCTAAAGTATTTAGTAGGTGGGTCCCTTCTGGAAATAAATCAATAATAAGCTGGAAACTAATTAAGATTCGATATTGATAATTCACATATACAATTCGATTTAAATTATATCCTAGATGTACTCATAAATAAGATCAACTTTTTGAATGGAATCAATTTTCATATATGTAGGTAGACCAATTTTATTAAAGATAAATAAAAAACATTTCCTTTTTACCCAACCAATTAAAAAAAAACATTCGAAGTTCAAAATTTTGGTAGTGAAATTGAATGCGGGGAAATAGAAATATAAGTGCAATTTGATTCAGTTTTTTATGGTCTTTTTGAAATAAAAGTTTCGAAAGAAAAACCGTGTACCTACCTATAATTCCTGAAAACTGAATTGGAGCCTGAGAGGTAGATATACAGTGTGAATTTCGAAAATAGATTTAAGTATAGAATTTTTTTAGTGTCAGTAAAACTTTTTTTTCGAAAAAAATATGTAAGTAGGTCAATACCGTTTTTCGGCAACCGTCCGGGAAGTGCTCACTTTTTGAGAAAGTAGCATTTTTCCAACAAAGTCCGGGAAGTATACGTACTGGACCGTTACCATCTGGTAACGACTGGACCGGGAAGTATCACATCGTTGTTGTCACTGTAACTATGAAAATCTTGGTAGATATGCTTTTGATAAATGCGGATGATCATCACCATAGCAGTAACATATCGGCTGATAGCTATTTGACATGAAATAAGTTGACATTTTGATTTTTGGAGGTTTGGTTGCAATTATCGCAATGAACTAGCGAAAGCAGCTGCGATAGTGAGTTTGAAGTTGAGTTAGTAGTAGGTATAGCTATTCTGTTCAAATTTCAGTATTTGATACAAATGATAAATAATAAAGAAGAAATTGTGTTCTACAAAGAAATATAATATGGAAATGTCTCTCATAGATTTGTTATTCTACATGGTTGCCGACAGTATTTTCCGGACTTGTTACGTAAATCACTATTCCCACTCGTCTCACTAGCTGAAACTTTTTCCACACTGAATATTTTCAGCATATATGGGGAAAAGTAATTTATCTGCATCTGTCAATGTCAAAAAACGGGGTCAAAATTGATATTGGTGATTCTAAAAATGTCTTCAAATATTTTGAATCAACCTATTCATATTTATTTTCTGATACTGTTGAGAGAAGGCAATCCATTTTTCATCACAAATTGCATAGTTGCGCATGCAAAAAAATAAACAATACTTAAAATTAATTTATACCACTTTCCAGCTCCAATAACCTTCAAATCCACTTGATTTAATCGTTTATTTGAGCAAGCAACGATTCGTCATGAAAATAAATAAAATATCCGTTTTTTGAGTGCAAATCTCCAGAAATACCTAAATTGAGGTCGGAAAATTCTCGAGGAAAATCAGATGATTTTCGCTAGAAGCAGCGTGGAAAACTGTTGTAATGTTGTGGAAAACCAGGAATAGGAAGAGGAAATTACGAGAGGTGCCAAAAGGGATATGTTCCTTTTTCTATGGATTTTGATTTTCGGTTATTTTCGTCTGACGAACAGTGGATACGTAGGTAAGACTATTTTTAAGTATTTCTATTATAGAAGCGCGTTTTACTATGTGGAACTGAAAATATATGAATTTTCATCTTCCGAAGACTTAAAATTTTTGATGGAAATTCTCAATCATATTGGAATCAATATAATGTGTATTATAATTTTTCTAAATAATTCCAATTATCTTGACAATGCTGCGAAGTAATTGTGAAAATGAGACGAATCGAAATATGTGAAAAATATATACTGGATGATATATATTCATGTACTCCCGCATTCAAAAAATCTACGTTGACATCCGGTATATGAAATCTCTAAAAGCTCAAAGGCTCACCGATTGAATTGATCCTGATAAACATTCATAAACATTCTTCGAAGTTGTCAACATTTATAGTTATTTCCAATATTGTACAAAGTTGTCACAATTTATACTTATTTCCGATATTTTTTCACTTAACCAAACTTTCTTTCTGTGTAGAAATAGTCGAAGCAATTGGCTGTCATTCCTGCAACTTGTTGTTGACATGTCGCCATCTCACCTCCATCATCGCCATTTTAGAAGTCGATTTTTATCCTGACCTTTTTGTCGAGGAAAGTGCAGAAGAAAATCCCGTGGAAAGTCTCAGGGGAAACGGCAGTCAGCTTTTTGCTGGACTCTATCCCAGAGACGTGCTCAATCAAAGGTAAGTGCACTGTAGACCCTTTTGAACCATTGAACAGATTTTTTTATATATTCGATGTTTTGGTATCAGGGTAGTATTTTTTGATGATAAATAAAGAAATGACTTATCCATAAGAATATAGTTTTGTAATAGTTATTATGCACAAGCGGGCCGTAAAGTGCACTTTACCGCCCGCTGTTCTCAGTCACCTTATATCCACATATCAATTCATGAAAAACCTATGATCATATTCCTAGATTCTAATATATCCACCAGTATATCATAAACTTCTTCTTTATCCGATTCCATAGTCTCGCTATTATTATTATCACTAATTTTACTTTTCAGTCAAAGAATGACAATTCAGCTCGTTTATTGGATGTTTTGCTATTGACAACAACCATCAGATTGATTGACAACGTCAAAATTGAATAAGTTAGGTTTATATACTGGGTATGCATATTGTAAAACTCTGAAGAATGAATCTCTTCTGGAGCTGAAAGAGTTTTACTATTACCATAATCGCAATATTCGTACGATAATTTTCATATGTAAATCATCCATGAACAACATTACGCTTCTCTTGATTACTGAATTAATACGTAACAAATTAAATTCTGGGAAATATTAGTTTGTCGAAATCTATAGTCATTACTTATGAATCAGAAAATTAACCACTAGTGCATAAAATTTTGTATGTATCTCGTGCGTGAAATGCGTTTATGGCCTTCAGCGTGTAATGGCCCTCGGCTAGCGCCATCGGGCCATTATTCACGCCACAGGCCATAAACGCCTACTTTACGCCCTTGATACATAAATAACTATTAAACCAACTCAGCGTATTAAGGATTAGTGGTCGAGATATTTTAACTTGCGAGCAAAGCGATTTTATTCAAATTTGGTATCTGGTGGTTCTCGGGGTCGGAGATTATGATTCTCTCGTCGAAATTAGTGAATTCAAGATGGCGGACCAAATGTGGCGGACGAATATTGTAATTATGATCCGACTCTTTTCGAAATTGTTATCTGAGTGTTTTCGGAAGTCGGAGATTATGATTCTTTTGTCAAAATTTGGAAAGGCCGGAAAGGGCGGGATTTGGAAATACAATACGGTGGAACGAATATACCGGAGGAGTTTCGTAATTATACAGGGTGTTTCAAAAAACCTAACCCCCTTGATAAGGTAGGTAGAACACTGCAAAATAAGTTGGGTTTGCCCAGTGAAAAAATGTCGTAACGGCATCCGTTTTCATGATACAAGCTGTTGAAAAAAAAGATTTTTTCACACATTTTTCACGATTATGTTGAAACTACTGGCAACATTGTGATAAAATTCTATATGGATGTTCCTTGAAATCTAACATATCGCATGAATTTGTTTTTATATCTGACTCTCATAGAGGGCGCTAGTTACACGGTTCGTACCGAGTAGTTTAGAACATAACTTTTTTGAGGTTAGATTTTTCAATCCAAATTTGATGTGAACTTGAGCATCATTCAATTCCACACCAAAAAGGTACTCTCGATATTATGTTCCGTTTTCGGAATATTTCGATTTGAAAATAATGGAGTAGTAATGATGCTGATATAAAATTAATTTTATTGAGTTCAATTACCAATTTATTTAGATTCATAAACAATAAAATTATTTTTATGCTGAAGTTATTGATGAAACAAAGGATCATAAATAGAAAATCAAGAGATATTTGACTAGAAACATGAAATATTGAATCAGTTAGAGTAAGTGTTCAAAATGTCCTACGTTTCGACGAATTCACGATTCTTTATTCTTTTCTTAAGAATGTATTATTCTTCTAAACAGTTGAGGATCAGCTGTTAGGTCATTGAAGTGTTGTTCAATAATGTCTTACAACTCTTGACGTGATTTTACCTAATATGTTAGCATAGACTGTCTGCTCAAGATACAACAAAACTGTTGTTCTTAGTCAAATCTGTGTCGATGTTATTCTTGTGATTCATTGTTAAACAAATGAGTTCAGCATCAGAAATGTATTGTTGTTTTTGGTTTTCAATAAATAGGTGATAATTTTCCATAATACTCACTCTAATATACATAGCTTTATACCAGCAACATCATTTTCAAATCGAAATATTCCGAAAACGGAACAAAGTATCGAGTTTTACCAATAGTACATTTTTGGTGTGGAATTGAATGATGTTCAAGTTCACATCAAATTTGGATTGAAAAACCTAGCCTCAGAAGAGTTATGTTCAAAACTACTCGGTAGGAACCGTGTAACTAGCGCCCTCTATGAGTGTCAGGTATAAAAACAAATGCATGCGATGTGTCAGATTCCGAGAAACATCCATACAAAATTTTATCACAATGTTGCCAGTAGTTTCGATATAATCTTGAAAAATGTGTAAAAAACCATTTTTTCAACACCTTGTTTCTTGATAACGGATTACGACATTTTTTCACAAACCAAACCCAACTTATTTTGCAGTGTTCTACCCACCCTAGTAAGGGGGTCATGTTTTTTTGAAACACCCGTTATACCTATTCTATTCAAAATTTGAGAGTGGGCGTTTTTGGGATCAAAAATTATGATTCCTTCGTCAAAATTAGGGAATTCAAGATGGTAGATCCAATATAGCGGACGAGTTTTGTAATTATGCTCCGATTCTATTCAAAATTTTCATTTGGGGTATTAGGAGTGATATTATGATTCTTTCGTCAAAATTGAGAAATTCGAGTGAGCTAAAAAGAAGTTGAAATAAATGGTAGTTTGAAAAACTAAAGAAACACGCTTTTATAGATAGCGAAACTAGAAAGAAGTACAAAATAAAATGATAATAGTGTCTTATTGATGAATATTGAACTGAAAAAATATATTATAGAAATAATGTATCTAGCAAAACAACTTTTGCGAGGTCTGCTAGTAATTAATAAAGGTATAGGGTGACTCAACAACAAATAATGGACCACACTATCATTGATGAGTTTTGATATAACATTTTTAAATTCAGTTTTCTTTTTTTTATGTTTGAAGGTTTGTTATTGTCATTTCCACTTTTGTCCAAGCTACACCCTTGATCACTAACCTCATTTCCTTTCAAATCTGCCCCAGTAACCTTCTATCGATATTGCCAATATCAATTCAGTACCCACACCCCAACTTTATCTCTTATATAATATCTAAATAACGAAAACGTGTGCTGGATACTTTCTTTAGCCACCCCTAGCGCAAACCTACCCCAATCCAGAATTCACTGCCGGCACGATATAGGTTCGTGGTACACAGGGTGGTAATTTATGGAGGGAGATAAAAGGGAACCATTACTGAAAGCGTGATCAAATCAACATAAAGTTTTTTCGGATGGTATCGCTGGCATTAATCTAAAGAGGAATGATTTTTAATTGGTTTGTACAATGGTTCGAGGTTTTGATGAATTAACAAACTGACTGTTGTTACGGTTGAGAACAGCTGATGTGAAGGGTTAGATAATATTGCATATGTTTCCGTAATCATCTGCGTGAAAGTTGATCAATTGGTAAAGTTAAAATATAAACCATCAAGGATGTTTATTCTAATATAAAACATTTTGTGATTTTCATATAGTTATGTAGCACCTTTGATTACATATCGACGGTCATCTCACGTAGTGACGTATCTCAGTTATCTTAATTTTACAGCAGAGCAGTTCAAAGATTTCCAACATCTTAAATCGCTGATAACTCAGAGGTTCGTTCATGAAAGATCTTTTTTTTTTTCATTTATTAGTGGATGAACTAGAACTAGTTGTTATGATATGGTGAGATTTTCAAAAAGCATCGCCAAAAACGAGAAAAAAAAGTTGTAAGATACGTCGTCACTACGTGAGATCATGCTTTTCAATGTGGCCTTAGGTACGCTCATGAATGTAAATGAATAACAGATCTAAATATTCATTTCAATCGATAAAAATACAGAAATCCATTCGACTTGTGATTGACTATGGATTTCTCGACTTCAACAGCTGATATCTCGAAAACGACAAAAGATATTTGAAATTTGGAAAAAGTTACTTGAATGAGATGTCATTTCCTTCTGGAAAATGTGTTCTCTGCTTGATTTTATCATTTCATATACAGGGTTCGTGAAAAAAATTTTTTTTTTCAAATGAAACTCCCTGTATATTATCGCATATTGCGAAGGAGCTATCTTTCCTGATTTCAAAGATATATACTTTTCATATATTCTATCGAGGGCTTGACGAAATATCAGCAAAATTAAATATTAATATTTGGTCCAAGTTAGCTATGGTTGAAATAGAATGAGATGATGAATAAGTGAATTGACAGTTGGCCAACATTCCAGTGACATAAGTGCGCAAAATTTCGACAATTTTCTTACGATGCCATATCCACTGGAACAAAGAAGAGATATTTTGGAGTGCTATTTTTCAGTTAATAAAAATCTTGCTGAAACACTTACACTTATAATTACTTAAATTTAATCTTTCAGATATGACAAGACAAAATTCAATCCGCTTCTCATTATCATCATAATTGAGTTTGTGGCATGGTCTAATTCTGAAATCCCTATAATTATATTTCCTCAAGGTATGTTGAACAAAATAATAGCTGAAACCAAACTCTCTCACTGCATTTCTTATTGACCGTGAAGGATCCTCAACAAAATACTGGATTACAAGAAGTTCGTCGTCTTCGTTGTCTTGCCTTCAAACTATTCTCTTGATATTCGACAAACTGGAAGTTCTGTCAAATTTAGCAGCCAAATACTTTACATAATTCTTACTTGGTAATCTCCTGCCTGGATAACTCCTCATAAACTTATGAAGTGTTTCAGCAAGATTTTTATTAACTGAAAAATAGCACTCCAAAATATCTCTTCTTTGTTTCAGTGGATATGGCATCGTGAAAAAATTATCGAAATTTTGCGCACTTATGTCACTGGAATGTTGGCCAAATGTCAATTCACTTATTCATCATCTCATTCTATTTCAACCATAGCTAACTTGGACCAAATATTAATATTTAATTTTGCTGATATTTC